CAGAATTATACTGGATCTGGATGTCGTATGGTTGGAGTTGTAGAGCCCACTTTGCCAGACGTCCTGTGGGTGTTTTGATGGACATCACCCACTTAAGGGGCGTGTGGTCTGTGATAATGGTTACTGATCCACCTTCAATCTAGACACAGAACTTTTGGATGCCCCAAACTGCTTCTCGCTCCAGTAGCATAGTTCCTTTCTGCCGATGTGGTCGGTCGATTGGCGTATTCGACACGTATTCCTGGCCACAGGCCACCTGCACCAGAACTTGTGGTAAGGAACTTTCACCGGTGTCAATCCGTCAATTCAGCGTGTCGCGATGGTTCCGTGGCAGCCGCTAACACTTCTTCATTTTGGAACAGTAGCTGCTGGAGCGTACTTCTTTCATCTTTGGGTAAGAGGTCTTCCTTCTTTCGCTCCTAATGCCATGAGCAAAACATCCATATTCATTACTGGTTGGTCGTCAACGTATATCTTTTCCCAGAGACGATGGAAGTCGATTTGTTGATGTCGCTTAGATACTCGGGTGGGGAACGGAGTCTGGCTTTCTAAACTGATGATGTGCAAGTGCCATCCGACGGTGGGCGACGTTTTTGCCCAGATTACTGCGGCTTCCTCGTTGGTCTTTCACAGAGGAGTCCTACTCTCGAAGTGAGTAGCGTGGCAAGAAGGTACTCCTAGCGCATGCAGTGCACTGCTGGTTTAGCTCTCTAGCAAGTTGACTGAGGTGAGCGGGGTTCTTTTCTATGAAAGAAATCAATCACATCTACCCCCAAAATTGGTAAAACAATTGTTACCCTCGATCACTATGGGCACTAAAGCTAGCCTTTACGGTGTGGCGTGTTCTCTTCCCATCAGCCAGGGTGGCGTCCGTTTCTGTATTGGTGAGCTGGTGGTCATGCTGTCCCAATAGCCGTTGCAGTTCGTGGCTTCCAACGCCGACTCTGCCTATACCAGTATACCCTAGTACGGATACAATGATGGCTGGGCGAAACCATGTTATAAATGCCGCATTCAAAGCGTAGAAACTGACATCTTGGGATTTAAGAAAAAAGACAAATTAGTAAACCAAAAACATCTCAGGAATGTAGATTATTCCTAATTCGCTCCAAAAATGTCTGATCGGCTTTTTAATGGAAGAGCACATAATTAAGTTTAACAGAGCATTCCCAGAAATGTGCGACCTGGTCCGATAGACGACAAATTCATTCCCGTATTCCATGAAAAAACTACGGTAGAAATGCAAATCGTGATTTTCTAATTAACTAAGCAGAATAACAACCTCCTTCTGAACGATGAAAAGAATGAGTTTAATAAAACTATATATTGATCTCAAGAAATCCTTGTTTATAGACACTAACAAGGACTACTACTTAAGGGAGGTAGTTTTGAGTGCCTGACGGAGCGAGTTTAATCCAATTTAGCTAAAACTGAAGTTTGTCCCAGTGGCGAAGCGTTCAAACGTATGATTTCATAAAGGTCGGGATCAATTTCTTATGCGCGCAATAAAACGAATGTAAAACATTTATTTCCGCTAAAATTTATCTCCCATATTTACTTCGCTCGGCGCTCCTCCCCATATATTCATAAAATTGAACGAATATTGAAGAATTCATATTTTCTGATACGTAAGTGGCTAACATTTTCAACTTATTGAAAAATTTGTTTGCGTATGAATCATGCTTCACGTCGAAGCCGTCAGACGTGGGCATATTTTATGTTAGGGGCGCACTTGTCTTCTGGGACTTTAAGGTTTGGTAATAACGATATTAATGCTTGTTAATAATGTGAATCATAGATTTTGTTTCTTGGCCAGAAGGTTACAGTTGCAGTGGGTATGCACGGAAATGTAAACTTTAATCGCAATTTTAATTACCGGTTACTCTGCACAACCCCAGCTTATTTTACTGCATTTGTGTATTTATAATGTAAAGCATTGACTTGACAGTCGTGTAATGAAAAATGAGCTTGCTTAACATTTTAATTTAATAGAGGATTTGTAATTTTCTTGACAGTTTGCCAAAGCGGTTAATTAATTACATTATGGGTGATTACTACCAGAGTTTGTTGTGGCAAACGGTATCGTATTCTTTGGTCGTGGAGAAGGGCTTGAATAAACTTGCCATATTGGACGCCAAGCGTCTTGAAAATGTTCATTTCTTAAATTGATAACTGACAATATCGAACCCAGCAGTACCGAATACGGCAGGTATCTAAGAAAATACTTCCATGATTTGGATTTTGTGTTTCTTCGTAGTGTTTCTTTAAACGGGTTTTTAGTGGTTGTGGTTTCGGCCGGGAGAGCTTTGTAGTTATGATCGTAGAAGTGGCTTTGGAAGCTGGGTTGCTTGGAGTTGAGGAAATTGTTGCGGCATAGTTCTTTCTTCTGATATTAAGAGAGGGAATTCCAGATTCGGCTTCCAGACTGCTGGCTGGCTGGGTTTGTTCGGAAAGCACCTAGGCATATGCGAAGTGCGGTGTTCTGGATCGTATCAAAACTGTTGAGACTTGATGGCTTAGCAGAGCTCGTATAAGTAATTTGAGAATCTGTATTCGTTGGAAGCAGTCATTCTTAAGTTTGGTGATTTGGAGGACCCATATGACTTTAAGATCTATAGTGATTCCCGGGATTTTCATGGTGTATGTTCTTTTGATTGGAATGTTGTTCAAGGTCAGTCTGGTTTTTTCCTCGATGGGTGTTCGGCCTTTTTTGATTAGCATAAACTCTGCCCTGTTCGTGGAGAATTAGAATCTGGTCTGGTCTATCCATTTCTGGATCAAGTTTAGCGTTTTTGAGTTTTGAGGGTCAGATCCAGATTTTTCCCCCGACATAGAAGTCATCTATGAACCACTCTTTTTTCAAAAAAGCCTTGACGATCTTTAATAGTTCGTTAATGGCTAAAAGGAACAGGGTAACGCTTAACAGATCTCCTTGTGAGAGCCCATTTCTTTATCGATATGGTTTTGGAAAGAATATTGCCAATTCTAACCCTGATGGTTCTTCTTGATACGAATTGCACGATGTATGCTATGATGTTGCTATTATCTTTAAGGGTTTTCAAGATTCGACCGGTCCAAGTCATTTCGTAGACTTTTCTATGTCCATCGATACCAAGAGGATGGCTTCTTTAATACTTGTATGGCAGTTAGAGTTCTACCATGGGATCCGTCTTTTGGTATGTCTATCACTGGTCTTGGGAATCGGATAATTGGCTGTTTCGATAATGAGGTTAGTGAATTCTTCTAAGATGTGTTCTATTGAATCATTCACGGTATGGTTTAGCATTACTAAGTTGTCTACGTGTTCTTTTTTAGCCTGCAGTCCGTTGGCGTTCCACTGTAGGAGTTGCATTTTATCTACTAGGGATATAGGTTTTATTGGCCACCTCCGTTCACTGACGTACTTGCGTCGATGGTGTAGCCGTCTGAGGAGTCTGAAAGCTCCGCTAGTGCTGCTGATTCAAGTATATTAATCATTCTGGTGAATCGGCTTTTGTGGTTCCTTTGCTCCAAGTGATGATAAAGTTTCCTCATCATTAGGGCCAGGGTTGTTGGGTCTAGATTGACAGCTTTGATCGGCTGATCCAGTCGTTCCCCCTCTTAATCCGGTCAAGTAAATTACTGAGCTGTTCAAAATCATAGTAGTTGTTTATAATTTCAGTTGCAATGATAGGAGGGAAATCCGGAATATTGCCTATAGCTTCTTGATTCATAGTTTTGGCTCTTTTTGTATCAGGAGCTGGCGTTTTTTGGTGTGATTTTGTGCGTTTGCTCTAAAGGCTTCTTGAAACTCTCGTTGGATGATAAAAAAGAGGGCGCTTTGTTGGTAGTGTGAGAAAGCAGGTTGGTGGGTCGCAGGTTGGTGGGTCTCAGGTTGGCGGGTAGGGTCTTGAGTAGGTGTTACTAAGTTTGTCGTTGTGTTGATTTGGCTATTGCGGTTCATCAATTCAAAATGTGTTTTCCGTTCTTTCACTTATCGAACCTTTCTTTTTCTGCAGTTTCAGATCCGTCGTAAGTATATCCTTTTTGAGATGCTTAGATCAAATCTTTCAAATCTTTTAAAATCGTCCTGTTTATTCAGTTCCTTCGAATTCATTGCAGTTCTTCAAATTGTTCAACATTTTTCAATCCATAGGGTTCTTTCGATCGTCAGATTTTTAAAATTTTTCCGAATTTCAGATTCTTCTGGTGTTCAAACTCTTCTATGAATTTCTTCAAATTCCTTTAATTTTTCAGTTTGCAATCTTTAGTTATCCTGGGGGTTCATCGGCTCTCTAAAGATTTTCAAATTTCTCAAAATGTTTTCAGATTCTTTCTTTTTGTCCAAGTTTTCCTATTCTTTAAACTCTGATGATTCATGGGATCCGATATTTTGCTTTCCTTTCAAATTCTTCCGACCCTTTCGATTCTACAGACTCTTGAGATTTATTAGTTAATTCAGATCCATCTAATTTTTCTGCTCCTTTAAATTACTTTTAGTTTCTGCAGATTCTCCAGACACTCCAAACATTTTTGATAATTCGGATTCTTCGGCGAGTTTTTCCGATTCTTCAATTTCTTCACGTTCTTCAGATTATTAAATTATTTATACGGTTCAATTTCTTTATCCCCATCACGTCCTTTTCATTTAAAAACAAGAAACAAAAATCGCAATGTAGTTTCGCTTTTTTTTTAAATAAGTTTGGGCGATTTTCCTTTGTAATTTACTTTAGAAACATTTTTCCAAACTCTGAATGAAATAATAGGATTCTCCGTTAATTTTGACGCAATAAACGTGGGTCGAGTTAACGCAATAAATCAGCACAAACCGAGCACAATTCAAACATGAATTTTTTCGGCGAAGGGAAACCTTCGTTCTTGAATTAAGTTGTAACCCCAAATTTTAAATGGACAAAAATTGGGAGTAAGCGCACAATCAGCGTCTTCGTTAATATTGACGCATAAAACGTAGGTATATTATAATGAATTTCCATACCATTATCCTCATATTATAAACAGCACAATATTCAACCACCTTTATCTCGCATAGCATTTCAGAACATGAACTAAATTTGTACACGGAATTTCACCCTGAATGTTTCACAATATATTAATGATACATCTTGTAATACTTTGTTGTAGAGCAATTACAAAAAGTTACCTTTCCTTTGACATACGAAATAACTATATCCTTCCCGCTCGAGGAAATACGCTAATAAACAAAACCCTGGCAACTTATATTATTGTAAAGAGACAACTTCGCGCAACACAAGGAATCCTATAATTATTTATTTATCACTTTGAATTTGTAAGACCCACGCCCAAGATACTTCGACAGTGGCTTTGTCTGGAAACTGTATACTGATATGTCCATTCGAATGCTGCCACTAAAATCATAAACTGTATGAAACCAGTTGGTCATTAAAGCTCTTGATTACCGCTAAATTCTCGGAATGTCCCAACAAGCTGACCGTCGTACCTTCCTTAAATAGACTTACGGCGGATCTTAACACTAGTGTGTTATTTTGGGGCCATTCGAGTACAATAGCGTTAACTGATGACTTTGAGGCTGTATACCATACTGTCGATAAAGCATCTCTTTGTACAATCCATGGTCGAGTGCCATAAATAGCTGAACCGTTAACTGATAGCCACTGCCCCACGCCTAACAACCTATCCTGAAAGACGTACGGGATTCGTCCATCGCCTGTCGGGCCAATGTTCATTAACAAATTACCGCCACAACTAACGGTCTCGACCAACATGTGAATCAGCTCTTTAACCGTGTGATAGTCCTCATATTTGCCATTTCGTCGATATCCCCACGATTCTTTGTCAATTGACATCACATTCTCCCACTTGTGCTTATGGAGAACACCTAAAATGATTTGACTTTTTGCCAAGAGGAAGAGCATACATACGAGGGTTGTAGTTATTGCCACAATTGTGATAACCCCCATGCCGACCCGCCGTTCCTTTTCCCCATTTATCGTTGACAACAACGGTATCCTTAACTGGACTGTCATTATACAACCAAGCTAAAAACTTTGTAGATTTCCAATACGCATCTTCAGCTTCGCCATCACCATCCGACCAAAATATGTCAGGTCTATACTTTAATACCAGTTCAGTCATTTCTGGCAGAGTCTTCTGCGATACGAACTTGTCTTCGGTGTAGTTCTGAAGTTTGTCACTCTGGTACTGTGGATGAAACCACTCGTACTGGGAGTAGTAGATGCCAAACTTTAAGGCTGTTTTTCTACGAACGGCCATACAAAGTTCACCTAGAGCATCTCTATGGGGGCCTACCTCTTTGGCATTCCAACAGAATGCCGACTGAGAAGGCCAAAGTGCGTAGCCATCGTGATGTTTACCAGTAAGAATCACGTATCTACAACACGAGGCGTCAATGAGAAAATTAATCCTGGGACACCCACTTCGCGCCAGATTTTTCAAAAAGTGTCGCCCATGATTCTGGCTCGTACAAATTCGCGGTAAAATCCCTAGCGAGGTCTTGATACGTAAAGTTTGGAGGGTAGTTCCGTGTCATATACGACACGGCATCTTGATCTCCGTCTTAAAAATAGAAGAATTACAAAAAATTAGTCTAACGTACGGCATACCTGACCAATTCTTCCAAAACCATTCGGATCCAATCCCCGGTACGGAATATACGCCCCAATGTAACAGGATACCAAACTTTGCGTCATCGTACCACTGAGGAATGGGTCTTTTATCTAAACTCTCCCAAGTGGCTTTAAATTTATCTTCCATTACTACGATGATTATTGTTGCTTGTTGACCGGCACCGGGGAAATTCCTATTGCGTCAGCCTAAATCTAACCATGCGCACGAATACTTTATTAAACAATAATAGTATGACCTCGTCCTTGTCGCAAACACAAAAATTAAAATTGCCAGCTGGAATGAAGATATGCACCGAGTAGATATTGGAATGAAATCCTTATTTCACTTGTTCACGAACAGTAATTATAAATATAAACTTTGTTAACTTTATTAGATAAGATAAAAGAGGTAAATAAGTATACAGGATGTCCCAAAATAGGCAAAATGCATCGGTAACTTACTTACGACGGATAACTACTAGTCTAGGAGCTAGCTCATGTCACGTGTGCAGTTGTATGTCCCCTAATTTTTGTTGTGGGGATTTGGTAAATACCCTTAGGAGTACTGAACAAACAACCCAATTATGGTTTCGTTTTTTTTCTTTAATTTCAATCAATTATTGCTACCTTTTAGTAGCAAGGTTTTTCCAAATTTGGTCAAACAATCCCCATTCTCCTTGGTGTTGCGATTTCCGTGTCGCTGAGGATATACCCCCACACAATGCTCCGATTTTTATTTTTTTAAGACAGTTTTCATAATTTTAACCTCTTTTTTTAACATTATCCATCGTTCCTCTAAATGGGGTTGAGTTGAGGCTTTGAGAACCTCACCAATAAAAAATTGGGTAGTTATTGCAATTTTTGGATTTCACAGCATCTTTACGTTTCAAGGTCCTATAGGAGTCCAAAAAAGTGCTTGTCTGTCTGTGCCTCTGTGTGTGGGCGTGTATGCGTCATGATTTTTGTACACAAGGGTTAGTTGAAACTATCTGACCGAATTTGGTTGAAATTTGAAACAGATGTTCCTTTAAATGGTCTCGAGAGCTGAAAAGCTTTTGGAAACAATTTGAAAATGACGGAAAAAACGCAAACAATAGCACATTTTTTTTTATTCTTAAAAAATGCGCAAAAAAATAGTTATTTAGTATAAGACGATAAAGGGACATTTTAGCCATTGGGAATGAACTTTCACGGGATGGTTAGTTTTGCTTTATCGTCGTGTAAATACAAAACTTTAATTTATAGCAGAAGCTTCGGACAATTCTGAATTTAATTTAGATGTCAAAAATAACAAGCTGAGGTTCTGCCGTCGCGTTTGTTTGTTTCCTTAGTAACAGAATTGTAATATGTAATGACCGTCATTTTATATCGTGCCTCCCGTCACATTTGAAATAAGAATGACATATGTCATTAGTGAAATTGGCCAAAACTGGCCAAAACTGGCTGATCTCCCAACTGCCAATAGAAAATGATACCACCGTATGACCCCACACAGTCTCTATAGTCACTGTAACTGACCCTAATCTTAGGGTGATGGCGCCCATTTGGATTTTTATGCAATTTAAAGCCATGCCACAAGGGTTACATTCTGTCACGTAACTAAAGGTTTGATGTAATTAGGGTAAAAAGTGGGTTCCAGTTTATGCATGGTTTCGGATACATTAACTTCAATTACAATGTATCCAATCATTTACTCTTAATCAGAATGGAATTTTTTTAATTAAAAGGAAGATCAATGCTTGCTATAGACAAAATAGCAAAAAAAAAAGTTGACGTAGGAAAGCTCTCTTTTAGCAATTTGGTGCTTGAACGCTAATAGGATCGGTTAACGCTTCACCGATAGTTTCGAAATTAAACCCGTTGAAAAGACAAATTAATTTGACAAGATTTTCGTTGCAGTCTAAAGCTATCAGACAGTTTTTTAGTACACAATTTTCCATTGTGTAATAGTTATGGAAGGAACGTGGTGAGGTCATTAGTATACCAATCGAATTCTTTGATGTGAAGTAGGGATTAGTGTATGCGACTGACTTTCAATCGTAACGCAACTAAAAATTGTAATTGGAAAACCACCCCGCTACCAAGAATATAATTGCACTTACTGTCGCATATGTTGTGAGCTTTGCTGTGTGCAATAACGTTTTTGGCTTGCACGGCTCCAATTCATACAAGATGATTAAACGCAGCTGTCGTATGAAGACATTTTAATTGGCTTTTGTTTGTTACCCACCTATACCAGAATTACATTTATCTCTTTGTTTTAATATCTCATAAAATGCGGTAGATATCGCCATAAAAATGGGAGGGTGAATATTTTTCTGTTTGTGACACTCGAGTGTGTAATTAATTTTCTTGGAGATTGAAAATGTGCCGGTCATTAATAGGCTTCGGAAACCGATTTTCGTTCCCTCTATTTTATGAAGGGTAGCCAAGTGATTTACATAAAATTCATAAAAATATTTCAATCTCGTAGATTTATTTGCGAGGCAATATAAAATTATGGACAATAATTCAAACATAAAATTTTGCTCTGCCTTGCACTTTCTCGGAGATGCACATTAGAAACCAATATCAATTTTCTAATGGTCTATTGTACACAGTAATAGCTTTTTATTTATAAAACTTGTCAAACATTATATTATGTACCGAGGAACTAAAGTGTGTTTAGTCCCGTGGGTGCACTCGAAAAATTAGGCGACCCGCTTTATTCTTGTGGTATATTTGTTGTAGGGAAATTTCAATGGTAGTTCTAAAAAAATCGTTGGATTATGGAATCAAAATACCTGGTCATGTTAAATTGTGCCGTCAGTATAATTTAAAGATTCTCGTTCAAAACGACAGCGCAGAAATGATCGTTTATATCGTCGCAAAAGAAGCCACGAGGAAATGACTACCTCCCAAATTGAAAAGATGTCCGAAAAACGGTGTAATGACTAAAATATGATAGAAGAACCAAAATGTACATTTGAGGGTATGTTTGACACTCCACAGGGCACAAAAAATTTGCTCAATATTGATTTTGTACAAAACGCCCAATAAAGAAATCATTATACGTTCAATTTTAGTGTTACCAGTGTTACACATTATCATTATCAATATTAACTTGCTCAATGAGCGATTTTGAATAAATTCTTGTATTTGACTCGTCCGTCAATGGTTCTTTATCCACCCGAGAACAATTTTCTCGCTAGATCTAGATCATGCACTCATTACTACCAATTCTAGGTGGTAGTTCTTGAAGTGCGAATTTGTTTAAAAATGAAAAAGGAGTTAAATCCTGAAAGTTTCTAGTAAGGCCGTAACGTTAATTTTTCTCAAAAAAGAAACTACTCCACATCCTTCACCTCCGTGGAAATAGAAGAAAAATAACGCCTGTAAAATTTTTAAAAATACTCGAATTGCCACAGGGGTACAGAATGACAGGTTCTTCGTATGCTAACACGAAAATTTAAGTCTAAATTATAATGGCTCCTCTAACAAAGCAATTGTAAGAGCTCACGGAAAATGCTGACCTAGGATTACGTCGAACAGTGAGACGCGTATACATGGAGGAATCTACCCCTATAAGTGAGAACAAAAATAAGGCCAAATAATGCATCGATAAAGCTCAAACATACCTTTCTAAAGAATTATCCTCCCTAACTTGATACATATGTCGATTGTACCATTAACCTGAACTATTACCAAAAATCGACTACACCAAAATTTCTCGGCTAAACACTTTTTCATATTAATTTTGGTGCGTAGAATCCAAATCAATTCGTACTTTTTCGATCAGACTTCTCAATCAAAAGTTATAGACTAGAAACCAATTTCGAAAGAAAATTCAAAGGGCTGTAACTTTTGAACTAGTAGCCCAATCTTGGAACTGTTTGTAATTATTACTTTTACTCCCCTTAAATTTTTATATAACAATAGAAATATAAAACAAGCTAATCCCATACAAAGTATAACATGATTTTTTAAGTAGTATTAAGACTTTTGTCTAGTATACTATTTTACATTTTTAATGTATTTGAGTCACAAGTATTTGAATACTTTTTACTGTATTCAAATACTTTTTGAAAGTATTCTGCCCAGCTCTGGTCTATACCTTCATAAATAAATTCTTTTCACGGAGTGGAGCTTTTTGTTTATTAAGTCTCTTAGTGTACAATGGAAAATGTGCTTAAGAAATTATTATTGTTTTATTTAACACTGTAGTCTTGAGTCATTTTGATCGTGTTCTTGTTCAACACTATAATAACGCGAGTTCATAACAAATAGGTTGCTAACATACCTGCCATTCTTGTCCTTATATTAATTCCCATCCAGTCTTTACATCTCACTAGCACATATTTGCAACTTTAGATCATGCACACACGAAATAAAAATCATTACTTTCACTGTCAAAATTAGACAAACAAACTCATTAATAACTCGCAGAATAACACTCCTGATTTTAGAAAAATGAGCTGTATTTGCAATAGCACCTTACTATCTTCATCGCCGTAATTCACACAAAATGAGACGCTAACGTTTGTAACGTCGGTAATACAGAACACGCATGTATCAAATCCAAAACGCATATACATAACATATAATCCCATGTATATACATAGCACATCCAAAATGTATATTTATAGAATATCCATACTGAACATAAAATACATATGCCTATCCTATAATGAATACATACAGGATATTCCCTGTACATTATGGATTTAAAATGTATATACATAAGATATCGAATGCTATGTGGGAACAGATCAATAATTCTTGTAATTACGATTAGAAGTTTGTATTCGCAACCTTCATATTTTTGAACGACTACCTATTTTCCGGACTATGTAGCTACAGTTTTTAAAAAATAGTTATTTACTTTATAAAAATCATTGCTGGCGAGGAAATATTGAAGTACGAGTCCCTTTGGGGCCGACTACTTTCATTTCCGAGTCAAGTAATGTCACTTTTGTATTAAATATTACCCGAAATCGTGTTTTAATATAACAGTTCAATTTTTATATGGAACTTTTGATTCATGTCAATCTGTTAGTGATGACAGTAGTCATTATAGACATTTAGCAATGTAACAGAATCGGCCGGTAAAATGACGGTGCGGCCGGTAAAGTGACATGTGCGGCCAGTAATGCGACAAGCGCCAGGAAACGTTGTCTGTTCTGCCTCTGTCATGGAAACCCAAATTTCCTGACAGAAAGTAGGCATGAAAATGAAGGTTTCCATGCAATTTCTAGGTGGGAAAAAAAGTTGCCTGCGCCACCTAGAAAGCACGAACGGGAGTTACGTTTGGCATCTGGTCTTGAATGGAGGTAGTGAACGTTTCGCTCCATAAATGTTTGTTGTTATTTTGTGTTATTTAATGCAGGTAGTAATTTTTGCATTTCTTTATATCGTATTTGTGTTTTGTATGCCGCATTTTATATTTGTTGTGTGTTTGAATCTCTGTTTTTGAAATTTACTTTGTTTAACCGCAATGCAATCATATGTGTGATACCGTTATGCTATTGTTTTTAATTGTTTACATTTTTGGTGTAATGTTTGCTTAATTTATGTTTATTGATGTTGATTACTTGGTCTTGTCCTTGAAGTTACATTCATGTAAGTTTTCATTTTATTTTAATATGTGGAAATTACCGATTCGTTTAATGTATGTACCGACTTGTTGTATGTTACTAACAATTTTCTCCGTGAATGAAGCAGTCTCGGGAAGGTGGAAAAAGAAACTGTAGTCTATATTTATGTGTTAGGGCACCTAATTCCGTGCACTGTCTTCGACATCCAACTGTAGGTTCGAAACCCCGAAACCAGGGGCGGACTACCCATCTTGCAGGAGCGAGATTACGCTAATCAAAGCTCTTCAGTTTAGAATCTATGTGTGATAAATGAGTGGCGATTCAATAATTTCCACATATTTTGTTTTTAGTCAAATTTGCCTACAAGGCCATGTAGTTTTCCATCTTGCTTTCAACAAAAGGACTTTATTGCACCAAAGATGAGTCACATCCTGTACTTTTAACCCTTTCTCAGAATCTTGGTACCTGCTTCTACCTGACCCATTGTCCCCAAAAACTTGCTTTTAACCTTGAGTGTAACCATCCTTGTGTATATGCATTTACTATCTTTGATAACTACTGCTTAAAACTTTTACAAAATATTTTGTTAATTAACCTTTGGACTGTTTTAATCAAACTGCAAGGTTTTTCTTACGTCGTACTCTTTTTATCCTTGGCAGTGACTTTTGCGAGAGTACGACACCTTTTGGCTTTGTTTGTTTTGTTTATATTAATGTACATCAACTAAATTTCCGGGTTTTCACAATCATAATAATTACGATCATTATTAAACAAACTTCTCACAATTTCAGTGTTTTATTTAAAATTCCTTCCCTACTGTGCTTCAGATCAAAGCGTTGTCTACAACTAACGTAAGGAGGCCCTGCCTTAGATGTTTTATCACGTGCCACTTTTCAAATTTAAGCGGGTACTTGTTTAGTTTTAGAGGGAATAGTCATTCGGGTGGCCATTTTTTAAAACGTTGCTGGGTTTATTTTATTTCCGTGTTCTTGTAGTGTGAAGTTAGCGTAGAACCTGGGGGTTAAGTACACTACAGTACACATTTATTTTGTCTATGTAGAAACCTTATAATATAAGGGTTGTGCTATTATGTTATCACAGGATCCAAACGGAACTCCAAACTATAAATAATGAATCTCAGGAGTGGAATTTTTTGGTAGTACCTAAATTCATCAGTCCTTATTCTAAAGCGTTCTGGGATTTTTTGGCAGCTATACCTTCTGGCTATTTCGACTGAAGAAATACGTCATTTTATAAACTTTGTACGTACTGCTGTGATATTTCGTCTGGCAGGACGAAATTTTGGGATTAATAACTAGGATGGACAAGGGCGGTTTCCTATTTCCATGTGATTAATGTTCTTAATCTAAATTTTTGTTTTGTTTTGTTGGTTAAGTACTTCAACAGAAATTATTGTTACGAGAAAGAGGTCAAGGTTTGTATTTGTTTACATTTTAATCTCATCTTTAATTTTATTTAACTTAGATTTCTGAGAATTTTATATCACTTTTATTCTGTTATCATTGTAAACGCTTAATTTAATTGACAGGTGGATGTTATTTATCGCCTTTTCATTGTATTTGAAAGATAGAAAATTCTATTTTTCCTAGTATTTTAAGCTTTGTGTTATCTCTTAATGTCGGTTAAAAATTGATTATAAAAATAATCTCTACCTCTGGTTTAACGTGCGTTAGGGGGGAAATTTTCTGTTGTCAACTGCTTATCATTGGCTGTTTTAATTTGTAATTTTGGAAGAAGGGTTTCCACCTTAAATAGAACGGACTGAGAAAAGGAAGGGCATTTTGCCACTGTCAACGCAGAACTACGTTTGTTTGAAATTCAAATCGCCTTTTGCCAAATTGAGAGCAGATCCACGCCTGCAGAATTTTGAAGTTTGTTTTGGAGTTGTTAAGTTTTTAATCGTCAGTTTTGTTGCCAGTTAAGGCAGTTTTTGAGTTTAGTGAAGAAATTTTATTTCGCTTCGGCGAGTTACCACCGTAGTTTGTATTGTGTAAAAACCAACCAGCATTGGACGTTAGTAGAGTTTCCGTTTTACGGGGTGGTAAGCCGAGTTGCTGCATTTTTGGAAGTTTGGACCTTCAGTAAAGTGCGTCACTAAGGGGTGTTCAGCGCCGACTTGGTGTTTTTTGTGTAATTTTGAAATTTTGTTGTTTTTTTTGTCTAACGTATTTGGATTAGCAGCTTTGGACATGTACCGAATGTAAGTAAAATTAAGTTTTAATTTTAGTTTTTTTTTGGTTTTTTTGTAATAATTGTTCGTGTCTCTTGTATAATTTTCATTGTGTGTGTGACAATTAAATTTGAATTTTGTAAATTTCACAATAATTTCTGTGTATGTCATTCGAACGATTTCATTTCCTTTAATTTACTGTTTTCTTTGGATACTTGCCCAAGGTCCATTTTATTTAATCAAAATGCTTAAGATCGATTTGGAATTTAAGGTATTTGGTCTAACCCACTATCTGGTAGCAGTTAATGGTGTAACTGAGAAAAGAGTCGAATTCCTCCTCTGTGCTGGAGAGAAGTTTTGTTCCGAGGAAGATAAAGGTTTGAGCTAGCTAGGTTTGTTTAGGTGTTATGTGTACGGTCTTTTTGGCCTCCGGACCGGTGCACACAGCAGTACACACATCCGTTGGAAAAAAAATTGTGAAAAGCAAACATTCTTTAGAATTTCTGCAGATGAAGAATCGAAGAATCTTAGCATTCGAGTGAATGACAAAACTTAACACTGAGGTGTCTTAGAAAGCTTGTTATGCCATTTTTTAGATTTAGATCTTTCATTAATGTTGAGAAAAGAAATTTTACCGGAAAATATCGGCAAACTTCGAGGGAACTCTTCATTGACAATGAGCAAAATTCTCATCTATCCATCAATTTCGTCGGGGAAATAGTAATGCACTGTACATTAGTGTTTGGAAATAAAATCCGCTTGTTTTGGTCACCATTCTTGACAGACTGATTTAGCAGTTTAGCCCACAGCATTTTTATAAAGTGTGTGTGATACTTTACGACTCTTAGATCGTGATTAAAATCATAAGCGGTTTTTCTTCCTCTCTGAGATAAGTAATGTACAGATTGCTAAAAACTACATCAGACTTTGTTGAAAGAGTTAAAAATACGACATCTTAGTATGTACAGTTATTTTTACTTATTTAGATATCATTAGGTAGTCATAACTAATAGTTAATACAACATAATGGCTCCATTTGTTTTTTCCTCCAGTACTGGATAAACTGGCGTTGACTCTTTATTTTCACTATTGGCTATATGAATTATAATAATATCCACAAATGTTGCTGTTGCTGCACCCACAACAAACCTAAAGTCAAAGTAATTAGCCAAGTCTTAAAACTTACTCACTTACCAGAATGAATATCCTAACTCTGCCATTCCCTCAGATGTCCAATTATTGTCTTTGTCCTCCCTCGACATAACATTATATTGGATGCACAGGAAATACTGCGCCGTCCATAAACCAACCGCACAAAGATCGGCTAGAACTAGAGAAGAAAGGTAGGTTAAAGAATAAGTCCGTTAGCCACTTACGTGCCAATGTATTCCACACGTACAGTCCACGCGTTCCTGCAAAGCACGTCGATGGTGTGGTCGCGGCGTTAACTGCAGCAAATACTCCACATACGGCCGACAGCAAGAGACCCGCACAAACCGCCACGATTGTGCCCATCCAAAATCCGTACACCAAAAATTCCGGTTCATATTTGATTAGATGTATCACTGCAACAAATTTACTATATGGTAGTTTGCTTGAGGCGATATTAAAAATTATTATTTCGTAAACGTGCCAAATGGAAAATTTCGTTTTGTAGCCCATCAAAATGCATAAATTTACACGACATCCATTCAATAATTGTTACTGACCGCAGTAAAGAAAGCATCTTGCTGACCTCGATATCTCGTAAAGTCAACGTCTCGCGTAGCTTCCTACCTACATACTTATTCTGGTCAATTGTACCCAATTTTATCAGTCAAAATGTTGGTAATTTAAAAGTGCTCTCTAATTGATCAACCTGCTACCCATTCGTAGGAATTGTGAATCAACGGTATAGTGTAGATCTACTTGTTGAAACTTCCGCCTTCTTTAATTTCATATGTAGGTGACCACACTTTTTACATTTTTAGTAACCCTCGATACGTTACTTATTGATTATAGAAATTTTGGTTAACGGCAGTTTTAGTTTTTGAACTGAAGTGAAAGAAACTGCAGCAAGTACCTACTGTATGTGTAGCTGTAGGTATGGTCAGTACCTAGCACATTATTTTTATATGACAGGGTTATGAAGGGCTTAGATTTTTCAAAAGAACTATGAAAAAAAATTAAAATTATAACATGAAATCGTATGCTTAGAACGTTTTGCTGAACAAATTTGTGGCTAATCAAATGATCCAATCGCACCTAAGGGTGTACCCTAAAATGCACACTTTAATGAAGTATGTATATGTGCCTTTAAGTTTTCTAACACGGATAACAGTGCAGTTTATTATACATACTAAAGTACTAAAACGAAATGGCTTTTTTTAGTTTAGGCGCTTTAACAATATTCAATACTCTCACCCACGCGAATTCAAACCATGATTCACATTCAATCGTTCCGTTTTATCTGTTACGCCGCAGAAGGCTTCTTGTTGAAGAGCCCTCACCAAGTAGAGTTCCACCCGTCGTAACTCACGAATTGATAAAGAAGGCTCCTTTTTAAAAACCGTAAAATCAACTCGTAGCTTGCACGATTTCTTCGATAAGACGACGATTCCACCATCATATCCAAAGATAGAATGCTGATTTTTTTAAATTTCAACTTCAATTTCTTTTTCGTTATAGCTAGAAACAGAGACTGGCTAACCATTAACAGGTTGGTACAACCACTCAGGACTCTCCCGCAATCTGAATGTAATAAATTGATGAGGAGGGATAAGTCTGCTGGATGCGATTACCGGCGATATGTATCCATTGGTCCCGTCTAGTTGGTTTAGGTATTTCTCTCTACCGAGTACCGATTATAAAAAAAACACCGCCAAAACCCCATTTCTTTGGATCCAAGCGAGTGGAACTAAAGAATCAGTCCAGAAATGTGTATGGATTTCTTCATATCCGACGGCTTCTCGAGTCTCGCTCCATTTATACATCCCATCATCTCTAACCTTGGAATGCTTGTCTTACTGGAACTTTTTTTCGTAACGGGGGTAATTTTGCTTTCGAAAGTAACAATTGCACTTTCAATCCGCAGCTATTTTCACTCCTCACGAACACAGCATCGGCATAGGCATCCTTGAGAAGCGTCAGAAAACAAGCATGAAGTTGAGGGTTAGACGCGTTCTCTATACAAGGGAGTGCTACAATGCATTATCTTCCCTCAGTGTTAGTCATAGACGTGAGTAACGTCGGTAATACTCCTCCAGGGTTATCCAAAGATAGTTTCTATCGCCATTCAAGTTTGACCGCTTTCCCGGTTAAGACATCATTCCAAAAATCGTTTCCGATCAAAATCTGGATGCCCGATGAGGATTCTCCAACAGCTGAGAGCATTATTCTTTTTCTTGAAGTCAATGTCCTTCGGGAACAGAATGAATATTTCCACAGAGCTGCCAACAGTTTGAAAACAAAGTGCTTGCTTGCTCCGTATAGAGGTTTTAGTCCTATGCGAACCTATCATATTTTTCGAGTGGCGACAGCCTTTCTCCAAAGACTACCTATAGTGCGAGAAATTCTTCTCCAATTTTTACAGCATTTCTTTGTCGCGCTGCTTCAGTAGAACTGCGTTGACTTCTGACGTCTCCAAATATCCAACCTCCATCCTGAGACTGCTTTCCTAGTTTCATCAACGATATTCACTTTCAAAGTGAAAGTAAAGACATTTTATTCTTGCATTTCCTGGAAGGATGGCCAATTTGGCAGAGTCGTGATTTTTATCACAAAAAATGCAGAAATTTCTCCCCACCACATTTGATAACAATCCGGAGACTGTGGGAACATATGTATCTTCTTGAATATTGTTTTTATTCTGGCGTTCTCCCCTCCTACCATTCCATTTTGATTGGTGTGGGCTTCTTTGCTAAGCTCGAAGTAGTGACTCGGGAAGGCTTGATTCGACTAGAGGGAATATCCATATCGCTGGATCAGCTTTTTAAGTGGTACTGTCCAAACTGCGAAGATGCGATTCCAGTGTATCAAGTGGGTGGAAAGTGAAAACATAGAAATCCTGATTCTCATATTCCAGATTCAGTTCTTCCTCCGAAACATCACCCTTCAAAAGCATCAATATCTGAATTGCATGTGGTAACTCTCGAATATCACTCTTTGACTATCCTTCATTGGGCATCGCAGTCAATCTTATTTCTAGAGTTCTGGCTCATCCTCTTCTTCAACACGTTGATGTTACGAGTAAACTGCGCCCTGGCAGTTGACATCAGTTTCTTTAGCGTCTCCATCGTTTTGTCCTAAGTTTTGTCTCTTGTTTCTTAAGTTTTTAAGGTTGTAAAGGTTTCTGACAGGAATTTATACACCAACTTTAGTTAATAAAAGATTTTAAAAAAATTCGTTAAGCCGCTTATGAGCAAGAGGCGAAGAGGCCACTTTTAAATTTTTTTTCGATTTTAATAGCCCTTATGTGCATTTTATGCCTTAACAAGAATACAATAATGAAATAATTTTTAATTTCTGATCAAATTACACCAATACAAAGTCTGTAAGTGGTGTAGTTCCGGAGCCTTTGTGACTCAGACAGACAGACAGGATATCAAGAGCGCAAAAGTGCACTTTTTGAACTCTGAAACAATCTCAAAATGAAGATTTTAGATAATACGTATTTTAAAGCTTTAAGAAGTCAATTACTGAAATGCTTTAAATGTCGGGCAGTCTCAAAATTAAACCTTAGTTTTTTTTAGATTCAATTTTTGAAAGAAAATCCAAAATGGCAAATTCCAATATATTTTTTACTCTTGCAAGAGGTTTAGGAAAAATTATTTTTTTACATAGTGATGAAATTATTGAACTTTTTTTAACGAAAAATCGTATGGAAAGTGGTACTTTTTTTCCATGGTTTCCATGTCTATGAACAATAGCATCCGTTTTTGAGTGACAGTAAATCGCGAATGTCAATAAAATTTTTCAATTATGGGTTATTATGGATCACTATGAAAGAAATTCGTGTACAACACGTGTTGAAAGTGTCTTTTTTTCATGAATTTGCAGTTTGATTAATGAGGGCACTTTTAAAACTAGTTGTACAAATAACTATTGATACATAGGTCAATCCAATTTTTCTTCCTTCCCTTAATGTCCGTTAACTTAGCACTCCCACCATCGAATTTTGTTAAATGGCACTATTGTTGTGATGAGGAATATATTGCACCGCTCATTTAGCATAATTGTTAACGAAATTGGGGTGCTAGCTTAACATTAAGCTGGAACCCCCACAAAATGGGTAAAGTGTATTAAGCGAGATTCCAGATAAATTACAAACGAGAATGTACATTTTTTTTATTAACTTATTGGCTTATTTGTTTAATAATAAACTTTATATGATTTAATTTAATTGCGGTGATATATTATGTATTAAGGTTTAGAGGTACGATAAATACATTAATTGCTCCATTTATAACTTGTTAATGAAATTGACAATGCCTAGGGTGCCAGCTACTCGTAGGAGTAAAGTGCCTTACATACATTAATTGCGTCTGTGGATTAACGCTAAACCACTCTCTATATTAATTGCTTACTAAACTGCAAGTTTAAAATTAAATGATCTTATTTAAAAAAAGAGTAAACTGCCTTAAATAAATGCTAAACGACAGTATATTAATTGCTTACTCATTTACAAGTGCGGAATTGATTTCTCCAGTTATAGTTTGCTAATTAAATAGAAACTGTTTGTGGGTGCCAGCTACTCGCAAAACGCGTCTTAAAAAATTAGTCACCTCAAGGCCCCATTCTCAAATATTTGCCATTTAGATTCAGTCGCGGTCTTTAGACTAACTCAAAGGCATATTATATTTACATCCTTTTCCAATTATTTTTGCAAGACATCACAATGTACTCGTATAATATCAATTTTGCCTGTATGTGAGCACCTATCTATAGGTAATCTAAAACACTCAATAAATACGTAACACAAGAGTTTTCGTTTTCTTATAACTGTGGTAGATTAATTGTTATCATTATATCAATCTCATTCAGTAGGCAGATTATGATCAAAACATAATGGTACATAATAACACCATCCTTATGCATTAATTGCCCATATAATTCTATTATGAATGAGGCAACAAAATCATTCATTAGAAGAAATGGTATGAGGTTTAAAACGGTTTCAGTGCCTTCATCAATGAAAATTGACACATTTTGGTTGCGGTACGGTACAAATTTAGATGACATAATTGAGAAACATGATGTAACACTTTAAAAACACGCAAATTTCCCATCTGCGGCTTTTAATCATTTGTTTACTTTCGTAAATTTTCACGTAAACAGAAAAGTGTGTCAAAAGAACGACGACCACATTTTTAGAGGTTTAGAGATGAACTCGGTAATTAGATACCGACGAATGTTATAAAAACGTGGCAGAAACGAGTTTTCGTCTATTTGGACCAAAGGTTTAGATGAATGTAGGCAAAAAGTGAAAAATTAAAGGTTGAATGGGTAGGAATTTTGAAACGTATCGCGTTAACCTGTTAGTGGTACCATTTGATTCTTATTTCTGTTGAGTAACGTATAATTTTGATTTCACGGTTTGTGACGATTAATCGCATGTTACTGACTAAGGTTGCCTTGATAGGTAAGCATTTACATACTGTGCATTGAACCTGCGATTTAATTCCAATTTCAATAACGCTATTTATGAAGTTACGGTTAACTATACAAAATCGAAATCGAAAAATTACACTTTTTTAAATGGAACGAATTTTTCTGTCATCTTTTATCTCCTCCTTCAACTAGTTTTTTTTTAATTTTTTAATTATATTTTCCAAAACATTTGATAATATGACTCCATATTAATCATGTCCTACTTTATCGTTGGTTTTGTGGCATATACTATATGTTTTACGTAACCCCATAAACAAATCTAAATCTGATCTAAAGACCACAATATCAAAAACTAATAGATGACAGAAAAATATACAGGGTGTTACCTTTAAAGTAACCTTCTAGTAAAATTTTTATAAACAATTTAAGAATACTTAACGTTTTCCCTAAAGTGCTGATAGTCCCATTTGAAAATCTTGTCATCTTATGAGACGCAATAATTTCATATTGATGCAATTTAAATTTTTTGGGGAAGACTTCATCACAAAGGATGCCATCTGTGGTTTGAAGAAACTAATTTTTAACGATGATTTTGGTCTGAGACTCTTCCCTTACTATTCAAATCCGATTAAATTTTCGACCAACCTCATAAATTACCGAACACAACATATTAGGTGTAAAATTGTCTGTAGAATTTTTCCTTTCTACCCTTACATGACCAATTGTTAGAATTTTAGTTATTTTCTTTTTTTTACATTTTCCCTGCTAGTTACAACATAATTAGACAAACATAGGATGTATTTCATTTTTGTTTTCATAAAAATTGGGCAATTTTAAAGATTGCACTAATTTAATTTAATGAATGTTGTATAATTCCTTGTTTCCGTTAATAAACAAAAAAAAATAAGATTGTGCCATGCTCAGACACACGCGAAGATTACAATTTGAAAGGCACCACGAAACTTTGATTAGGTAATATACTCAAAACATACCGTAAAGAATCCTACTGGAACTTAAATTTCGGGGTTCATTCGATTCTAAAAAGGGTTTATTTATTCTAAAGCTTTATTACATTTAAATGACACGGTCTCATGAAGACGGTTCTAAATTATTATTATGTTCGCACTTTCAATTTTTTTCTAATAAACTTCTTTATCAAGGTTAATTAAACAACAGTTATTGTGTGTATATTAACAATTACCATGATACAATCACGTGCGTTTATATTGAAAACACGAATTTTGAAAGTAAACAATCTCTAAACAATAACTGTAAATACTTTCTAATATCTTATAAATGTGTCATAATGATAATTTATTAAACCTGCAATTAGTGTTGTTCACTTACAACCATTATTATTACCTACCAATAAACATTTCGGTAGCTACTAAATTAGTAGCCATTTAATTAAGTTTCTGGCATATAACGCGTTCTTGGGATGTATGAACTCCGTTATAACATTTAACCTTAATATCTTTGTTTATCAACCAGGAAAGTATGGAAGCTTTTTTTGTATAAATTTTTGATGAGACCTAAAATATGTACCTAAACGGTTTAGAAACTGTACAATGGGACACTTGCGTTTGAGCTGTACTTTGTTATTAATTGCCATTCAGGGAACATTAATTCGTTGGTAAATATACACCATTGAAATTTTAAGGTATAGGTATACACAAAAGATAAGGATTTATTGATTTGGTATAATTTTACGTATGTACTTATAAAAGGTTTTCAATATGCGGCACCAGGCACGTAGTTTTTTCAGAAAATTCGTGAGGTCGAACTACAGGAAATTAAATTACAGAACAATCAAGTAAATTATGCCTGGATCGTTGTGGTCATACTGTACATTTTCCTCGGCTAGATTTGTTTTAATTCTTTTTTTTGTAATATTCGCGCACTTCCAGCCATCGGACAGACGGGCAGATAAGTGATTCTGCTCTTCATGCGCCGGTAACCCTAGCATTGAAAATTTGATTATTCCTCAACGCGGAAAAGGCTTTGTGGCTATTCTGTAGTTGAAAACCAAGGATTTTGACTTCATATACTTTGCTTCAAAATAATTATTGTCTCATCCGCCAATTTATCCTGTAACAACGACACGTAATTTAATCACGTTATTTAGTTTTGTCGTTGATAAAGTTATTTAAGGTTATCAACTTTGCGCTGAACCGTTAATGAAAATTGGTATGAAATATTCCCGTACTGCTGTCACAAATGATCATCAGGATGTTTTGGATTCAAATGGATGCATATGATTATTATCTATTCAGACAAGATGCATAATAAAATTTTGATTGTAAAGTTGTTGCGGGATTATGTACGGCAGATACACTGGGGGGCTAACTAACTTTATATGCATACACTAATACCACATATCTACACTAAAATATTAACAGAAAAAAAAAGTTTTATAAATAACGCGGTATTAAAAAAAGATAGTCGCGTTAGCAACATAAGACGTTATAACCCTCTCATCACAAACGATCTTACTTGAAAATGCGGTTGGTTGAGAAAGGTTAGCTCCTTTTTCTTCTTGCAGTTTGTGGTTTTCGGTTAACCTTATAATTTGAGTGGTTTTAAGGTGTCGTCATCTGACGAGTGGCTTCGTACGGACGCGAGAGGGAAAGGGTTGTTACATCCTCCCCCTTGTGGATGAGGGAACGTCCCGGTACCTGTCCATATTTCGGATAGGGTTTTTTCTGCCCCTCATCCTGATGGGTGCGATAGGGGTTGTGGCCTCGTTTGTTCCCTGGGTTGAAGTGATAGCTGATGTGTGATACGCTCCCAATGGTTTGCCTAGATGGGCGTCATCTTGGATTTTTTAAGAGGGGGGTGAGATTTCTTGTATAATAATAATGTATATTTTGCCCAACAGATAAGTATCCAATTAACGGACAAAATCCATATGACAAATACCCAAGCATGTATAGTAACAAAAAAGAAAAATTTAAATATATAAGTAGAATAACAATAAAATTAAAAATACTTACCTACATCATATAACCAAGACAAAAAAGTATTTTAACTATAATATAATTACTAACAATAAAAATCTAAAAATTGAACCGTAGATAAATAGAAAATATAGTTTTAGAAAACATGATACAATACTTACGCATTCTATAACAATGCGAATTCTTCAAAATTACAAGATTTACAATAAGGTATGTAAAATGTATCATTAATACGATAACCAAAACGGGGAACATAAAAGTTAAGGTACTGTAACAATAGTTATTTGTATAACTAGTTTTGAAAGTGATACTTTTTTTCATGAATTTGCAGTTTGATTAATGAGGGCGAAGCGAAGTAATTGAATTTTTTTAAATAGCAATGTATTCTTTGATTACTTTTTCTTTGCATTGACGCAAGAATAAATTTAAAAACTGTTTATAATGTGATTACATCAATAACATTAATCTAGATATCATATATCCAGTGTGTCTCAAAGGTCTAACTGTATCACCTCAAAAGCGATCAAGTTTCCAATTTTTCAGGGGGGGGGGGAGACTTTTCAAGGGAAGGAAGGGACGGATTCCAGTGATATCTGTAAGTTACTTTAATTTTACCACCCGCACGTTAGTAAGGAGTAAGTGTTGCAGTCTTTTCAAATTAAAATTAATGGTTTTTATATGCAAGTGTTACATTGTCATCTGCAAAGAACACACATTTATTTTTCATAAAATAATAACACTCAAAAGAACATCATATCTGACGCACGCCGACATGACATAACGTCGAACAACAAGGGAGGTCTCTAGTTATTCACCATAATCGTAAAAGTATTGAAATGTGACTATGCGAACAAAATGGTTTCGAAAGCGTCGTTCCTTTCAGCACGATGCATTATAAAGACAAGGCTCCATTTCTGTTGTAGACGAGAGGATATTGGCTATTCCGAAAACATTGTCACTATAGATATGGGTACAAAAGTAATTTCAAAACCTCGATGGACCCTATACTCGTGTAAGGATTCACTTCACAATAATTTTACACAATAAACTAGTCACTCTGTTTCTACTTCGTATTCGTTCATTATACATTATTATTGAAAGCAAGAAACTGCTAATAAAACATGAGTACTTATATGTACTGCAGTTCTTTCCTATTGGCTCTCCTAGATTTGATTTGCCCATATTTAATCCTTTGCACCTAGTAAAGTAGTTATCGTTTCTTCATTTAGAAACATTTTTAGGATCTAAAAAAAATGGTGCATGTCAAAGTCGGAGAAAGGAAAGAGGGCTACTTCACCATTTTAGAAATATAGATAACCAGCACTTAGAACATGAACTTTCCGCAAGTAGGTTTCTAAATTCCAAAGCAAAGCTACACAAACTAGCAAAGAAGGTTGTAAGACTGTTTTCGGTTACAATGGTGGTATTGTATTTTCGACACGAATCGTACCAAGTCTCGATACCTATAATCTCAACATTGGACTGTGCAAACAAAGAGATTCAACCGCTCTCCAAGTTAGACATTAGTCAATTTAATTAACAGTCAACAACCTCATTGTTTCAACATATTTTTTCCCTATTTATAATTATCTAGATTTATCTGTTAACTTTGCACTGAACCGTACACTGTGTACGCAACTGTTATTGTGACCATCCCAGTGTAAAGAAAAAATTTGCTTTCAAATGGAGGGATATCTCGGGGTAGTTCTTATAGTTTTAGTTTTGATATTCATTATGCTAGTTGTGTTTTGGATAAATTCATATCATACATACTGGACTAAACGGGGTGTCGATGCACTACCTACGGTGCCACTAATAGGAAACACCCAAAACGTCTGGCTGCTAAAGGAATCCCTAGGGGTGAATTTGAAAAAGACATACGACCATTTCAAAGCTAAAGGTAAAAGATATGCCGGATATTATCTTCTGCTAAAACCAGTCTTTGTGCCAATCGATCTCGATTTAATCAAGACGATTGTTATTGAGGATTTTAATCATTTCACCGATCACATCGGGCGCATTGACGAAAAAGGTGACCCCATGAGCGCCCATTTATTTAACCAAAAAGGAGATCGGTGGAAATTTCTAAGGCCAAAATTATCTGCCATGTTCACCTCTGGAAAATTAAAGGGAATGTTCGACGGTATGCTAAGTTACAGCAAACAATTCGCGGACTTGGTGGGCAAAAAGGCCGATGGGGACGAAGCCATTGATATTGAGCATATAACTTTGCGGTGTACTGCCGATATTCTTGTCTCTAGTCTCTTTGGAATTAAAAGCAGGATACTTATGGGCGGTGAGGTCGAGTTTGAAATGTGTATCAAAAAATTGTTTGGTTCGAATTTCAAGGATGCGATATGCAAGTTGTTGCTTTTCACGTATCCCGAATTGTTTGTCGCGCTTAAAATGAGAACCTTTGATAAGCAACTGACCGAGTTCTTTATGAATTTTGTTAAACAACATTTGGAGCAACGTTCAACAAGTAAGCTAAAGCGGAAAGATTTTGTTCAACTGTTGCTCGAGTGTGGATCAAACGAAGGGGATGAACGTCCATTGAGTTTGGAAGAAATTGGTGCACAATACCTCCTTTATTTTCTAGGAGGTGTAGAAACAGTTGCTATGACAGTATATTTCACCTTATTTGAGTTGGCACTAAATCAAGACATCCAAGAAAAAGCTAGAAACGAAATCAAGACCATTCGGAACAATTTCTGTTACGAGTCCACGCTTGGATTAAGCTATTTATCCAACTGCATCGCAGGTACGTAAATGGACACACTTGCCTTGTCACAGGTTGCATTCCAGAAACGCTTAGAAAGTACGCACCGGCATCTCTAGCTACCCGCGTCTGTACCAAGGAATACACAATTGCGAATACTGACGTCACAATCGAGAAGGGAACGTACGTTATGATACCAATCCACGCAATACACATGGACCCAGAGTACTTTCCGAGCCCATGCACTTACGATCCGGATAGGTTCTCGAAAGACAGCGAGAATTATCGAGATTCCTTTGCATTTATGCCCGTAGGATTTGGTCCTAGGATGTGCATAGGTATGTAAGATTCGTCAATTTTGCATATGATTAGAGATTGACTTACAGGGCAAAGGTTTGGAATGATGGAGGCAAGCGTTATACTGTCCGTTCTCCTTTCGCAGTTTAGATTCTCCATCCATCCTAAGACGAAATTGCCGCTACAATATGCGGCTTGGGCTATTACCCCCGTTCCATTGCCCTCGATAATGCTTACTGCAGAGAGAGTAGATAAGCGATGATCAACCTCAACTGTTAGTACCCGTAGCATTGTCACTATTGTAGATAAATACGATCTCAGGGAGAAGTTCAGATGGATATCACATGGTACCCCTGTTCTTCCATTACAATCCTGCTCAGACAACTGCTAACCGAATATGGATTCTCATAGCACTACGAAATTACTATAAAAAAGTTCACATACGTTTCCATATTGCATAGAGTAAATACTCTATGCACATTGATATAGATAATTACTTTGATTGTTCATACCATTTAAACGTCCTACACATCTAGGAAAGTTTGTTTCGGACCATTTTTCTTTTGTGGAATTCGTCATTTGCGTGTCCTGTACTATTGCAATAAGCAAGAAGAAGGGCACTTGTAAGTGGAAGTGCTTATGATAAGGCTGTGTTTTCGGATTGGCGACTGGTGGTCCTGCAATGATACTGTGCCCAACGACATTATTTGATCATCGCGGCCATCATTATCACAACACCCAACTGCTCTGACGATGAAAGCAACCTTTCATTCTTACTGGCATATTATAATAAACGTGCCGTGTGAGGGGAACTGATTTCGAGAATGAGTAAATCAACAAACCGACAGTTCATATTTGCCTTTTTCCTTAAATTGTGAAGATCCCTGAGTGAAACTTTGTACATTTCACATGGACACAGTGATGTAGAAAGTTTTTTTCAAATTCCCAACAATAAAATGCTTTAATTTTCCATTTCTAAACATCTATCGATGTGTCGAATATAGGCATTTTTACTGAAAGCTCGATAGGTAAAATCTAACTTTGTTAATTTTAATGTTTTTTGTATAAATAACCATTTTTATTTTGTTAATCATTGTTTAGTCTTTTTGATACGATTAGTACATGTTTCGTAAGAGATAGTCACGTAAGTAAGTAAAATTTCGTAATGTTTTTAAATTTATTTGACGTAATACACAAGGGTTCACTCGAAATCAATAACAAATTATTTCCTATTATATAAATTACTTTTTTTTAAAAAGGCTTTTGAGTCATTGCATCCTTCTCAAGATCGAGCCTCAAATCTGAAGTGACGTATAACTTGAAAGATCCTACTCTTACCCTTTACTCCCTAAGGTATTCCAAATTCCATGTAGGCTACTATAGTCATTTGACTATAAAACTATTATCGCAAAGGTGCAAGCCGAATTTTAACATTGATGATGATTATTATTATTTATTTCCATGCTTCATTACAGGAATTTCCCAATTACAACGAAGCAGTTCACTTGCAAATATATACATTCACAAAACAGATATTTGTATTTGTATATTTTATATTGCCAGTACCTACATTCCGTATGTATGCAATATTTGTCATAAATTGTAACAGCAGAAATTACATAGAAAAGAATAACACCTAACAAGATTGACAAATTACCAATATAACATAATGTAAATATAAATATAATGAAACAATATAAATAAAAATAAAATTATCTACAGATATACTAACATGCCAATATAACTACGGAAAGCGTTTTCTTTTTATTTCGATAACGAGATGCAATAAAATGTATATTGTAGTAAAAACTGTTTGAGTTTTAACCTAAACTGTCTAAAGGTAGGGATATTTTTAATTGCGTCTGGTAGTACATTAAAAATTTTGCAGCATTGATAAATTAAATTATTCTGGAATAATGCTGTCCTGTGTTTACCAGGGTTTAGATTAGTTTTATGTCGGGTGCTATAATTATGTACAGGTTGAATACAGCGAGTCTTATTTTTATACCCGAAGCAGCATATTTCCAAAATGTACGTGTCTACAACTGTTAATATATTTATAGTATTTTACATTATTAGCCAGGTAAGTGAGTTTTTACTGGCGATAGGAGAAGTTGACTGGCGAGCCGTCAGGCGAGCCTGTCATCTCCTAGAGCCAGTAAAAACTATTACCTGGCGTATAATGTACAATATTTTATTTGTTACTCATTTGTAAACGTAAATAATTAGTTCTTAAATTGATCTTGAAGAAATGTCTAAAATATCATGTGATCCATGTAACAGAGACTTCGCATTAATTCTGGCCAATGAAATTACTAGATTACTAACTTGTAAAATTTTTACAGGTCTGCTGTCAGTTTTACAAGTCTGTAGCGTTTAAACATGACGTTTACCCGTTTGCGTTTTGTCTTGTTAATCAACGTTTACAACTGAGTAACAAATAAATTCTTTAAAATATGATCGGCAGGAAGTTCTGAAGGGTAGATTGCAGATGGTTCTAATCGCCCGTTTTTGTAGTATCAGCACGCGTTGTACTTGAGCACTACCACCCCAGTTTATTATATTGTATTTAATGTGCGAGTGAAAGTTCGAATGATACAGGGTGAGAAGCGTAGATCTAGTGCAAAGATTTTTTAAAGCATTTAGCGAGTAGCAACAATTTCGCAATTTTTTACATACGTTATCAATATGCAAGGACCATATGGATAGACAGAAATAAAGAGAACTAAACCTAAATTATAAAATCGATACTAATAATTGTAATGGAAATCATAATGCAGGTGATGGAACCTAAAAAATTGATTAATGACATTATTTAACGTAACTTATTTATAATTTATAGATGATATAATTTATAATTTAAACTTAAAAAAATAAAAAATTATAAAAGAAAAACTATTTAAAAAAAACTATAATAATGGGCAATGAATTCATAAAAACTACACAGTATCAATACACATTGAGAAAAGAAGATTGAGAAGCAAGAAATATGTCGATATGCAACGAAACATTGTTATAGAGGCGTAACATGGCAATTAATGGCGAATGAAACATCATATTTGTGTGTGAGTGAGGAATATGAAATAGAAATTTACTACGATTGAAATAAGTTGGTACTAAAAAATTAACTTGACTCAGTAAATTGATGTCGTTAACGGAACCATGAATTAAGTTAATTGAATGATTTTTCGTCTCTTATCTAGACTCTGCATCTGAAATAAATCTAGCAATCTTGTAATAGAAACCAGTACTGGATAATGACCCTCAGTCTTAAAATACAAAAATCTCATCGTCTAGGAGGTCTCAGAACTTAGATCTTAAGCTTTGCACTGACGTGTATGGTGTAGGTAAGTAACGCACGAGGTAAAGCACTTGGTCTACAAAACCTTCCTATGCTCGCTATGCAGAGATTAAACACAATTTCTTCCTACTGATCAAGGTGTTTTAAAACAAAGCCAGTAACGCCTAGATACCTTACGTTTAATCGTAAAAACCTCAAATTACCCTTTACCACAAAGCCATAGATTTCTGAGGTCATATTTTTAAGTTGAAACTACATTCGTCAGTTTGGTGATGATTCTACTGCGTAATTTTTTCTTATCTATACTATACAATCGCCAATTTATCCTACAACCCACGATACTCCGTTTTAAAGATATTTAAATTTATATATACAGACCCGGCACTGAACCGTAAACCTAAATAGGTTATGCAATGTTATTTTGTCACAAATGATTACAGCAGTGTTGAAAGAACTTTTACTTTCAAATGGATGACTCTTATTACATATTGAAGGAAAAAGGGTACCGATACACTGCCTACGTCGCCACTATACCTGGAAACACGTAAGAAATCTGCCTGCTAAAGGAACCAATAGACATCTACTTAAAAAAGACAAAACCAAAGGTAAATGGTATGCCAGATATTATTTCCTTCGTGCCAATCGATCTCGAAATAGGTAATCGAGGCGATTGGTATTCAGGATTTTAATCATTTCACCGATCAAATCAACGAACAGGATGACCCCCTCAGCATCCACTTATTTAACCAAAAGTATTGCAGTATTTGAACATTTGACATGGCGTTCGGAAGAGGAGGCATGAAGTTATCGGATTGAACTCTGTGGGTCGTTAACATTCAAAAGCCTATACTCACAAAAGGTCTCCCAAGTGAAAGCAATCAACAGAAATGAGCGCGCACTTCTCGGTCAAATTCTAAGGATTTTTATTTCCTAAACGATTACTTTGGAGGCCAGTTCTTCGACAAGCACTTTTGTTATAGTACAAGTATTCCTTTATGTTATCACAGACATGAATTATACACATTGAATAAAATTCGCTCCCATTATGTTGTAGCTCTACGTGTAAGAGGAACGTTGATCATGACTTATCTATTCTCTCAGCAAGTAGCTTTATGGGGGGTGACGGATGTCGCGAAAGGGCCCAAGCTTCATACTTCAGCGGTATTTTCGTATCAGGATGGACAGAGAATCTGAATCGCGAAAGGAGAAGCGACAATACGATGCTTACTTCCAACATTGCAAACTTGGACCCTGCGTAGGTTATCATCTAGTAATGTAATATGTTACCACATGGTACTTGCCAATGCACATCCGTGGACCGAAACCGAAGGGCATAAATGCAAAGGGGTTGGGATTTGTTTTGGTTCCGTCCGTAAATCTATCAGGATCGTAGATTTCAGGACTTGGAAAATATTCGGGATCCATATGCATAGCGTGGATTGGAATCCAAACATACGTTCCCTTCTCTATAGTAACGTCGGTATCTGGCACTTTGTACTTTTTGGTGCAGACTCGCGTGGTTAACGCTACAGGCGGGTGTTTTCTAAGTGATTCTGGAAGGAAAGCTGTGACGTGGCAAGTGTGTCCATCTCCACATACCATACCTGTGATGCAGTTTGCTAAATATTTCATTTCAAGAACTCCCTCATAACAAAACTCTCCGTTAAATTTGTTTCGAACGCTTTTGATTTCATCTCTAGCCTTCTCTTGAATGTCCTGATTAACCGATAACTCAAATAGTGTGAGCGATATTGCTCTAGAAATTGTATCGGTACCTGCAAAAAAGTAAACAAGGTATTGCCCGCAGATTTCTTCCAAACTCAACGGACGTTCGCTTTCTCCGTTTGAAGTTGAGCCACACTCGAGCAACAGTTGAACAAAATCCTTCTTCTTAACATTACTTTTTGAACGTTGCTCTAAACGTTGTTTAACAAAATTCATGAAGAAGTTTGTCATTCTCTTATCAAAAGTTCTCATTTTAAGTGCGGCATACAAGTCGGGACATGTTAAAAGAAGTAGCTTGTGCAATGCGTTTCTGAAATCCGCACCATGCAATTTCTTGAGACACCTTTCGAACTCAAATTCTTCACCCATAATCATTCTGCTTTTAACTCCGAAGATATTGTAGATGATGATATCGGAGGTGTATAGTAGTGATATGTGCTCAATATCAATAGCTTTGGTGCGATCAGCCATTTTGCAAATTAAATCAGCTAATTGCTCGCTGTAACGTAACATACCGTCGAACATTCCCTTTAATTTTCCCGACGTAAATGTAGCTGACACCTTTGGTCTTAAAAATTTCCATCGATCTCCTTTTTGGTTAAATAGGTGGGTGCTCAAGGGGTCACCCTTTTCGTCCAGACAACCGATGTGATCGGTGAAATGGTTAAAATCGTGAATGCCAATCGTTTTAATTAAATCCAGATCGATTGGCACAAACACTGGTCTCATAAAAAAGTAGTATCCGGCGTATTTTTTGCCTTTGGCTTTAAAGTGGTCATAAGTCCGTTTGAAATTGATCACCATGGGTTCCTTTAGTCGCCAGATGTTTTGCGTGTTTCCTATTAGTGGCGTCGTACGCAGCGTCTCGACTCCCCGTTTTGCCCAATACGTATGGTATGAATTGACCCAAAATACAATTAACGTAATAAAAGCCAAAGCTGCAGATATAATACCCAACAAGGCATCCATTTGAGTGGTAAACTTTATACACTGAACGATCACCTTCTGCATGCACACCATCTCATTTTGCGTTTGTATGGTTCTGTGCAAAGTCTAAAATGATAACTATTTTTTAAATGATAAGAGTATCATGGAATATAGACCAGTAGCGGATTTAGGAATTGGTCTAGGGAGGGGCACATACAATTTTTAAAGTTAATATATTAAAAAAAACATTTATTATACGTTTAAAAATAGAACATTTTTGGCATAATACATAATATATTGAACAAATAGCTAAATCTTTATAAACTAAGAAAAGAACAAACCAGAAAAAGGCTAAATGACAAAGTTGCGATGTTTTCTACTTTCCACGAAATTTGGCCAATATAGGTTTCCTTATACGATTAGGGCATTGTGCGAAGATACACCATCTTGCTGAAACCGAGGCTAAAACCAACGGTTTCCAACTTTTGTTTTCTTTTGTGTGCCGTACATCGTTTTATTCGTAGGAAAAAATGCTACTCAATATAGTATCTACCACTGTCTAGGAGTGTCTAGGGGGGACGGTCGCCCCCTGCGCCCCCCTTTAAATCCGCGCCTGATATAGAATAATTAGTGAGCATTTAACTTAGATAACTATATAAAAAATGAATGCTCACATTTGTGTTCTTCGACAAGTAGTTCAACATTATCAAGACATTATTCTATATAAAATCTTTTGTTTTTATGAAACTAACCGTTTCCAATAGTTTATAACCAAGGCTGCTCTATAAAGGAGAAATTAATAATTAAAAGATGTGATTTTCCTAAAAGGTAAAAAAATTTAATCGATCGGAAACCATTGATACCTGATCATGCTTAATCAATGAGAGTTTGTAAAATAATATGTCCATTATCTTCATCCCCACCATTTACATGATACGTCAGTGCTTATTCACTGCTACTTTATTGAAGGGGCGACCACATTTTTTCGTAAAGGAACAATTTGTTACCAAAATTTCACATCAGCTGCACCTCCCAGTTAAAAGTAGATAAACATCGACGGATGACAGCTACTTTTCTCATTCAAGAAAAGGTACAAACACGAGAATTTTGACATTTTTTTAAGAACAATTATACACCTTGACAAAATATGCCTTTTTATAACGCAAGCGAGACAGGCCCGTCATAAAAATCGGCTGTTTAGACAGTGAAACCTAACACAGTAGGTAGTCGTTTACATTTTTAATTATAGGTTGCTTTGATTTAAGAACACTATCATGAAACAATTGCTATTGTGCCAAGAATCAAAAACAGAATAGTATATTAAAGCATAAGTTGCAGAAGGCGCTATATTCTAGCACGAGTTCAAGTTTGAACGAGTGCTAGAAAAGCCTTCTGCAACATATGCTTTATACTATTTTCTCTGTTGAGCATTTTAATTGTATTAAAAAAATTAACAATTCTGACATTTTCTGTAATAAATATTTCAATAAAGAAATTAAGTAGGCTACGCTACATTTTGAAAAAATTCAATTTAATAAGCGCGTCAAATACGAATTTGTGCAGTATATTTTAGTTTTTCCAATAAAAAGTGAATAATGTGCGAAGAAATTCTTCCTTCCACTCCTCCAGAGCTTAGACAGTTAGCAGAAGAGACTGTTCATAATTTGCTACCAAGCAATAATTCCACAATTATTCTAAAAGTTTATAATAATTGTACATTTAGTGACAAAGATTAGTTTTGTAATTTTGTTAGGTTATAAAACCTCATTTGTATTAAATGTGGATTTCTCTAAGTACCTACACTGAATTTTCAATACCTAATGATTTCAATTACCCGTATCGTTAATAACTGTAACATAATGTTATAACAATAAGTGAAAGTAGTCCACATTTTAATAAACCGTTGAGATAAGTATTAACGTCTAAATCATCCAGGCAGAACTTTGAATTGAACATTCGCGTACATGATCAGCCTGGATGATTTAGACGAGCATGCCAACCACTGAATACGAAATGTTCTTAAAAATCTGTCAGTTGTGGAAAATAGTTACCAAAAATAGTGTTGGAATGAAACTCATTCCAGCACTATTTTTGATATCGGAATACTGTCATTATAAACGCAAAACAGAGAAACAGATTTCTTCTACTGCCTACTGCTTTCAGAATGTTCTAATGGAATGCAACAAATGTTAGAGACATTAGGACTAATTAGACGTTTAGGTCCACAAGCTGAATTTGATCACAGCATGCAGACGATATATCTACACTAATAACTTTGAGCAGCATTGGTTGAAATCCCACCCACTACTTAAGGGAAGTTAACAAATATCAAAAAAGATATCACTAAAACCATAGAACGATACAAAATTGATGATACAAAATTAGTTTTTTTTACATAGGTTCAAATATAATATAGAAAATACCTTGAGAAATCTATTTAAAATACAAAATAGAAAATAGTATTTTGTTTGAGTGACTTTGAGGAGTCGAACGAGTCTAGTCAGGGAGGTAGTATCGTAATCCAGAATTCAGAGGAACCATTATGTATGCATTGCGGTCAACTGTAGTGTAAAGAGCAACTTATTATATGAGGAACTCATTACTCATATTAAGGCATTAAGACATCAAAATTCATACTCACTGCGCTGACGCTTTGAACTACTGTCAATAAAGAAAAGGAATGAATGTCTTTTAAAGAAAACTTTTAGAGAAACTTTTAGGGAAGTGTTGTGTCTCCTTTATCTTTGATTTCGGTTCCTTATTGATAAAACATGGTCAAGTATCAAAGGTTTCCGATGCATATTTATCAAAAAGTTTGCTGCATCCCACTTAGAATAGTACCTATTAGGATTTCTTGTTTAGACAACAGACACATCTTATTTTAAATATCACTTCAAACATTCGGTCGATTAGTGGACTAATATTAAACGGATCTCTTAAATTTTCTTCCCTTTTTGGAGCATCACCAGGTCGGTCCTAGTTATCCACCTCTCCCGTGTAGCACGCAGATCTCGACGCAGATACCTTTTCGTGTGAGTACCCATTTTTTAGTACGTTAAATGCTCACTAATTATTCTACATTCCACGATACTCTTATCATTTATAAAATAGTTTATTTCAGTTTTCAATCACTTTAGACTTTGCACAGAACCAAATAGATACGCAGTTGCGTACCTACAATAAATTAGTGCAGGCAGAAGGTGATATTCAGTGTAGAAACTTTACCATTCAATGGATACCTTGTTAGGAATTATATCTGTAGCTTTGGCTCTCATTACGCTAATTGTATTTTGGATCAATTCCTACCATACGTACTGGGCTAAACGGGGAGTCGAAACTCTGCATACGACACCACTAATAGGAAACACGCAAAACATCTGGTTACTCAAGGAACCCATGTTGCTCAATTTAAAACGGACTTATGACCATTTTAAAGCCAAAGGTAAGAAATACGCCGGATACTACTTTCTTATGAAACCAGTCTTTGTGCCAATCGATCTGGATTTAATAAAAGCGATTGGTATTCACGATTTTAACCATTTCACTGATCACATCGGACATCTGGACGAAAAGGGTGACCCCCTGAGCACCCACCTATTTAACCAAAAGGGAGATCGATGGAAATTTTTAAGACCAAAGGTGTCAGCTACATTTACGACAGGAAAATTAAAGCGAATGTTCGACGGTATCCTAAGTTACAGTGAGCAATTAGCTGATTTAATATGCAAAATGGCTGATCGCAACAAAGCTATTGATATCGCGCACATATCACTACGATGCACTTCGGATATCATCATCTACAATGTCTTCGGAGTTAAAAGCAGGATGCTTATGGGTGAAGAATCTGAGTTCGAAAGGTGTCTCAAGAAATTGCATGGTACTGACTTCAAGAACGCATTGCACAGGTTACTTCTTTTCACATTTCCCGACTTGTATGCCGCACTTAAAATGAGAACTTTTGATAAGAAAATGACAAACTTCTTCATGAACTTTGTTAAACAACGTTTAGAGCAACGTTCAAAAAGAAACCTTAAGCAGAAGGATTTCGTTCAACTGTTGCTCGAGTGTGGATCAACTTCAAACGGAGAAAGTAAACGTCCGTTGAGTTTGGAAGAAATCTGCGGGCAATACCTCGTTTACTTTTTCGCAGGTACTGATACAGTTGCTAGAGCATTATCGCTCACGCTACTTGAGTTATCGCTCAATCAAAGCATCCAAGAGAAAGCTAGGGATGAAATCAGAAGAGTTCGAAAAAATTTCAACGGCGAACTTTGTTATGAGGGAGTTCTTGAAATGAAATATTTAGAAAACTGCATCACAGGTATGTGTAGATGGAGACATTTACCACGTCACAGCTTTCATTCCAGAATCACTTAGAAAACACCCGCCTATAGCGTTAACTACGCGAGTCTGCACCGAAAATTACAAAATTCCAGATACCGACGTCACTATAGAGAAGGGAACGTATGTGTTGATACGAGTCTACGCTATACATATGGATCCCGAATATTTTCCAAACCCTGAAATCTATTATCCCGATAGATTTTCGGACGGAAACAATACAAATCCCAACTCCTTTGCATTTATGGCCTTCGGTTTCGGTCCACGGATGTGCATTGGTAAGTAAAATGTGATAACATATTACATTATTAAATGATAACCTACAGCGTCCAAGTTTGCAATGCTGGAATTAGGTATCATATTGTCGCTACTTCTTTCGCGATTCAGGTTCTCTGTCCATCCTGACACAAAATTACCGCTGAAGTATGAAGCTTGGACCCTTACCCCGCATCCGTCACCCCCCATAAAGCTTGTTGCTGAAAGAATAGATAAGTCACTCATGATCAACGTTAGTCTTAAGACGTAAAATTACAAAATATTGTTAGTTAGTTAATTATATTGTGAGATATAATAACATTAATAATGTTAATAATAATAATAACATTCAACCCGTTTAGATGCAGAACTGCTGCGTTACAGAGATCACCAGTTCATTTAGTGTGCTCACTAGTGAACGAATTACCTTCCACCACGGATATATTTAATATTACTTTAAACGAACTGTTAAAATTCGTTGAATGAGGTTAGTTGTATCTGAGTTGAATTTTTAGATTTTTTTTGTTTATTTTTTTCTTGAATAGTTAGCGGCTCGCAATTACTGTAACATTTCTTTTTTAGATATTGTCCTGTTATAGAGTATCTACTTGTTTGGACGATAAATACTATTATTATTATTATTTATTTATTTATTTCATGCTCTGTAAAATCATAGATAAAGTACATCTTTGATAACATAGAAAAATACTTTTTTCTATTTCGGTGTCACAATGATGATTTTGTACAACTGTTTTCGGCCGAAAACAGTTGTACAAAGACAGTGATTATAGTCGTTTTTTTTGGTAACTCATCTCTTAAGTTGGCAGTTACTAGTTAGTACAAGTAGGTACTTCGTTGGGTACTTCCATGTTTGAACTTCAAAATGTCAGTCTTACTACGCTGCCAACCTAAAACTTAACGGCATAAAAAGTGTTCCCAACATAAAACATGTTAGTTCTAATGTTCCCTATAGTTTCTGATAATGATTTTTTTAATTAAATTAAAGCACCGAAATAGAAAAAATAGTATGAAAAACGCGTGTTACAATGCTTATTTAATACTCCTATCTTGCGGACACTCGTGGCTACGCTTCGCGTCGCCACTCGTGCCACAAGATAGTCGTATTACAATAGGTCGCATTGTAACACTTGTCTTTCAATATACTATTATCTTTCACTTTGGAGACCTTTTGTGAATACGCTTTTGAATTTTTATGACCGACAAAGTTCAATCCGATAACCTCATGCTTCCTCTTCCGAACGCGACATCAAATGTTTACCAGAACCAATAATTATTTATAGAGGTGTCCAAAGTGCCCTTACTGTCAAAACTGTGCAGTTTTGCATAAGGCGATGATGGTATTTTTGAAATGGCCAAACGATTCAATCGAAAAAGTGACCATTTTTGAAAATTCCTTCACTTTGGTTTAGGTGTGGGTAAGGTACAAAACTATAGAACTAAAGATTTCGATTTTCTCGTATAACTTTTGAAGAGGGGTTCGAATTTTACCAAAACATTTTGCTACAAATTGCAATGCAAGGTGCGATCGACCGAGTTTTTCTAATTTTTACGTTTTGCATGTCATTAATGCGAGTTAAGTCGTTGATTTCGGCGTCTTATATTTAAGGCGGGTTCGTGAATGGTGCAACAGTTTAAGGTCGACTTGGAGCTCAGAGTGGCGTTTTAAGATGTAGTTATCCCCTTTATTCAGTGTTATATTTGCAAAATTTGAATTATTTGGAATTTTTTGAAATTTTTGAAAAACATTTATACTCGAGGTAAATAAAGCGAGTCATTGTAATTAAAATGAGAGCAAGAGATTCGAATTAAAGTACGTCTACCGTAACCGAATGTTAAATAAAACGCTTGGACCGCGAGTTAAGTATATAAACGATTCTTCATTGTTAGATAAAGCGTTTATGAGGTCGACAAATAATAAGGCAATACGTATAACTATAAGTGTAAATAATGAGAATTTATCATTCGTTAACGGGCGGTCGCAGACGCTGAAAATGCGCATCGTTGCAGACTCGCGCGATTTAAGCATCATATTCGTATCTAAACTTTAGATTCTGCCTTCTGTCAAATTTCTGTATAGGGAAACCCCGTTACACTAGATAGGTCCCTTATGTTCACATGCACCAGAGTGGTTTCTGAAGAATGAAGATCATACTTAGAGTAAGATTTCAACACCATCGCTGAAGAAGTTTTTGCCAGAAGAGATCCCTCCACGGAATATAGCCCGCGAATTCCGTGACCGGTTCGTGCAGAGTACACACCTATGAGCCAATTTCAATTCCAGATGTGAGGAAGCAATCAACGAGATGCCACGCCCGTCAGCGTGCTTTTAACCATATCCAAGTCCCGGGGGCGAAACCAAACCATTACACACTAAAGCATCCATGAAAAAGCATCTAGAGATCTTCTGATTCATCAACAATAAAGGTGTTAATGAACATTCGTTCTTTCGCGTTGTAGTATTGCCACTTTTCGTCGTCGTTTGCCTCGTCGTATATTTGCACTAGCGTCGTAGTGTAGTAGTGTAGTACAAGGCTAGAATTCATTCTACTGCGAATTGGCCTATAGTACCTAAGCAGTAGGATCAAGCCGAATTGTCCTATAGTGAAGCCGAGCTATCCTATAGTACGGCAATCGACGACGAAGTCGAGTTGTCCTATGGTGAGACAACTGACGACTCCAAGCTCCCCATAGTAAGGCATCAATTACGACTACGCAAGCTCCACCGGAGCGCAACAAGTCCACAACGATACGACACAGCAATTATGATCGTATCCACCCCTAACGGAGAGCACATTTAATCCGCTTCCACCAACACCTCCGCAGGACCTGATACTGCGCGAATCATGCGCATGTAGCCCGCTTTCGCCTACACCTCCGCACAGGACCTGGTGCTATGCGAATCATGTAGATATTCGCCTGTGCCGAACCTATATAACCCGCTCCCTTCATCGCCACAGAGCAAGCAGCAACAACAACGGAGGTGCACCATTTTCTTACTTGTCACCATAAAGTGAAACCATATGCCTCAAAGACTTAACAAAGTTTGATAACTGAACAGAATACAAATTTGTAGTTAACAATCAAGTAAAAACAATTTATTCAAGAACCGGCGCTTTGCTATCTCAGTGATCGGTTTCTAGTAATGTACTAATAGTAGATACACAATAAGCGTTTCAGGCGGGATTAGTTACTATAGCTACAACTTTTACAATAAATTGCGTTACAGCGACCATCATTGCTGAACTTCCACAAAAATTTCTGAACAATCGCAGTTGCTGGATAATCGCTTTCAGTTCAGTAGTGTACCTAAACAATTTGAGTTTTTGAATTAAATGATGAGAGGTGCGGATTCCTATTACGACCTTGCGACCCTATATTGTTGGGCCCTTACTTAGGCTACTATTTCACCTGTACAAGTGTACACCACCAATGCCAAGTGGTGTACCCATTGCTTATTTTTTACAATATATTATCTAATCGCTTGCAAAGGGATCTTGGTCGGGTCCGTGAAGTTGGAGTGTCGACTTGAAAGGAATTAAGTCCCATGTATCTCATAATTTTGTGCTCATTTTGTGCTAATTTGTGCTACTAATTTAAAATTTTGTGCTCATCAGCTTAATGAGTAATTCAACTTTTTCTGATGACACTCCAACTTCACGCTGGAGTGTCAACATTCATATTTTCAAAATTTTCTTTTACTATAATTTTGTGCTCATTTTGTGCTAATTTGTGCTGCTAATTTAAAATTTTGTGCTCATCAGCTTAATGAGTAATTCAACATTTTCTGATGACACTCCAACTTCACGCTGGAGTGTCAACATTGATATTTTCAAAATTTTCTTTTACTATAATTTTGTGCTCATTTTGTGCTAATTTGTGCTTCTAATTTAAAATTTTGTGCTCATCAGGTTAATGAGTAATTCAACTTTCTCTGACGACACTCCAACTTCACGCTTGAATGTCAACATCGATATTTTCAAAATTTTTTTACTATAATTTTGTGCTCATTTTGTGCTAATTTGTACTGCTAATTAGCAGTCCATGTACTGTATTGTCTAAGTTGGAAACCCATAATATTCTAGACACCGAAAGAATTGTAAAGATATTCATAGAAAAAGAATATGATGGTGTAAAGATAGAAAGCTAATATATTCTCCAAAAGGTTTCGCAAATACTTGCAGTTAGTAATGAACAATTAGGTACATCTCCAGGTGTAAATTTTCGAAGTAGGTTATGTAATGTCGTCTCACGTGACGTTGCCAATGTCAATTTCGCTAAGATGGCGGGTCCAGGTAAATTGTTGTTCTATGGGTAAAATTGCGATGTCATCCACGTTCTGCGTAAGAAATATCCAGGTAGAGAATAACGTAAAAGTAATCCAGAAGAGAAAATGATAAGAAGTTAAGAGAGAAGTTTGAGCGAACCTTGAGGGAAGATAAAACCCTAAAAAACGTATTAAGAAATATGCTGAAGTACATACCTCACACTAATTACTTGCAAGGCGTATTCAATGGAGCACAGCCACAGCACATCAGAAATAGAGAAAAAACACTCAATAGAAATATGTTCACAGCCAAAACAGATTGACACTAAGTCAAGTAAAAAGTAATGGCGTATCGAGAAAAATTTGCACGCAATTAATCCAGATCCAGATCGTCTCTGAAAGGAAGAAGTATAGGACATGCGTATGTAGAAAAAAAAAGAAGATCACGACCTCTAGTGGCGAACCAAAGAACTATGGTAATAACAAATATACTATAGAAATGACTGGCATCTAAACTAAACGGGTTTACAGAGGGAATACCTAGATGGGGTGAGAAATATAAAGAGAGGTGCAACTCGATTAATTTAGATGAGGCTTATTGCAAGATGCTTCAGTACATCGGCAATTTGGTAAAGAATTACAGAGTGACCCGCATAGTGCTTTTTAGAGGTGCCTCTGCAGAGAAGGTATTAAGTTGTTCTATACTACTCCGGTATTTACCTTACGAATTAGGAAAACTGCAGGAAAACGTCATTCAGAGTAGCCGGCAGAATGCTCGCAACTGGTCTAAGGTATTTGCCACAGATGAAAAATTCACCTCAATCCAGGTTCGAACACCCGACCTCCGGAATTATAGTCCAACGCTCTTTCATTGGTTTTCAATCGGTTTGTGTTGTTTGGGTGGCCTTTAAGCATCAGAGTCGCACGTCTAACACACTCACACCCCTCCCACTGTGGACTGTGGGCACGGGAAGCTTCGGGAATATGTATCGCAATTTTACATTATAGTTGCGCCTCTTTGCTATTTCTCACTCAACAATCAACGAGTAAAATTCGAAGTATATAAGGAATATAAATTTGGAATATCAATTGGTAAGAAAAGAACGCTACATTCTCCTTTCCTTGTTTTATTCCTGGTTGCCGTATTTACCGCTCATCAACAAACAATCAGATATTTAAATTTGTGGTCTCTACGCTTCATGCTTCTTGCTAAACAAAACCAAAACTGGTGAATACTCAAAATGTTTCCTCCAAAATTTACCACCCCTAGAATTTGCCGCTCTAGGCGCGCAACTAGTCCGCCTTGTGGGAAATACACCCCTGGATGTAGCTCAAGGGAGAGTAATCAAAAAAAGAGAGCGAAGCCGCAAAAGGCACCTTACTGTGGACATAAAAGTTAAAAGTAAAGAGGTTTGGGCCTAAGGCGAGTAAATTGCGAGCATTTTTCATGCATTATTCGGGACTTCCATAGTCCATTGTTATGTGACCTATGCTTTTCGTTATTAGAAGCATCTATAATTAAAAATAAGGAAGTTAGTATTGGGCGGTTTGCGCATGCGCATATCTAATATGGGACGTTTGCCTTTACTAGAATGTGGTTAAATTTTCCAAAAAATATCTATAAAAAAAAGGATGCGGGCATTGTGCAGTCTGCGCATGCGCACACCTGATTTTTACCATATGCGATATGTTTGCCTTTACTATAAAGGTGGTGAAAATTTCAGCAAAAATATTAATAAATAAGAAAATTTTATTGATATTGCGCATGCGCACATTTATCGTCATGAGGTAACAGAGCTACCGAATTCAAGAAGAACGAACTAAATATATTGAAAACTGTAGGAGCAGTGGCGCCCTCGCATGGACGGACGGAGAAAGTGGTCATAATTGCGCCTTCCAACATAAGTTTAAAAATGCGCTAAAATCTAGGTTCTACCATTAAAAAAATATTTAAGAATAGTAAATCTATTAAAATAAAACAGATTGCAAGCTGTGCAAACAGATACCGCATTCACAGGCTTCATTTCGTTCTTCAGCCTGATAATTGTCATTACGACTAATTATACACGAAAATTGGGTAACCATTTTATCACAAAATTCCATTATAATTCGGATTAATGTTATAAGTTCATAAACACAAATTCAGCCCTATTTCTTTTGTACGATTTGTTTGTTTCTAATTCTTTTAGTAACTGCGTTGTAACTCAAAGTTGATTTTTTTAAATTGAAGTTACAATTTACCATGGTTTAAAAAAAATTTATTGCTTTACGAGCTTTCCTAAAATGTATAATACATCATACTTATTTATCATACTTATTTTCAAGAATAAGCTTTTTACAATAAATTTTGCTTATTAATACATCTTGCCTGAAAGATAATAACAAAAGTTTTTTTGTGGAAAGAGTAGCACTCCGCTCACTATAAAATAAAGACAACAATAAATAAATAAAAAGTTGGTTATTAAAAGGTCTAGAAACAAACGACTGACGACATTGGTTATCTACATTAAAAACTGATTGAATAATGCTAAAGCCATTTTGTTCTAGCTTCAACATTTTTCACTTTTTCTCTCTAGTGAAAAAACAAAAGACGGCAGCTTATTTCCGGCAAAGGTAATGGAATAAGCATAAAAAATAAGGACACCGTTTTCGTTTATCTGCGCTAATAAGAAAATTACCCATTTAATCCCATCGAAATTGGACCACACTGTACATAGTACGTACGGTACGTACCCACAGGCAAAAAAATTTTATTATTTAGAAGTTGCTTAAAATGATCTAAAATGTCGACATTTGATGAAATTTTTTCCAAAAAAACGGCGATGGCAATATCCAACTAACTGACACTACAGTGAGTATCTTCAGAAAAATTTGAATTTCTCATTAACCTGATGAGCACAAAATTTTAAATTAGCAGCACAAATTAGCACAAAATGAGCACAAAATTATAGTAAAAGAAAATTTTGAAAATATCGATGTTGACACTCAAGCGTGAAGTTGGAGTGTCATCAGAGAAAGTTGAATTACTCATTACCCTGATGAGCACAAAATTTTAAATTGGCAGCACAAATTAGCACAAAATGAGTACAAAATTATGAGATACTTGGAACTTAATTCCTTTCAAGTCGACACTCCAACTTCACGGACCCATCTTGGTCGAGGATCTGGTCCATTTTCGACCGCGCCTTTACAAGGTTCTAATGGGGTGCAACAAATACTAAAGACAATTGGCCTAGATATGCACCTCTTATTATATCTTACCCATAACTTCTTTTATCACACAGAAGACATACGAATATGAAGATCAAGACAATAATTTTACCTCCACTTCTTATACAATGTCGCTTAGTCTGAGAACCACTTTCAGAATAGTATATTGAAAGACAAGTGTTACAATGCGACCTATTGTAATACGACTATCTTGTGGCACGAGTGGCGACGCGAAGCGTAGCCACAAGTGTCCGCAAGATAGAAGTATTACAATAAAGCATTGTAACACGCGTTTTTCATACTATTTTTTCTATTTCGGTGCTTTAATTTAATTAAAAAAATCATTATCAGAAACTATAGGTAACATTAAAACTAACATGTTTTATGTTGGGAACAGTTTTTATGCCGTTAAGTTTTAGGTTGGCAGCGTAGTAAGACTGACATTTTGAAGTTCAAACATGGAAGTACCCAACGAAGTACCTACTTGTACTAACTAGTAACTGCCAACTTAAGAGGTGAGTTACCAAAAAAAAACGACTATAATCACTGTCTTTGTACAACTGTTTTCGGCCGAAAACAGTTGTACAAAATCATCATTGTGACACCGAAATAGAAAAACATTATTTAGTAAACAAGTAAGTAAGAATATTAACCGTTGCCAAATAATGTTCAAGTTTCCAATCAATTAAGTAATACAGAAAATATCTTAAGGGAGTGTCTCTATAAATCTATTTTAAATTCAAATACATTTTACCCCTGTGGTGGGATCCATTACATTATCGCTCAAATTGAAACTAAAAACAAAAAATAGATGGACACTAGGGCAGCTAACAAAAATTCGGTGGCATTGGTGCAAACCGAGGTGGAAAACTCTATTATTACTTGAAGCGACCCCAGCATAACCAACGCACAAGTCACTTTTTGTGGGACGAGTTTTTAAAATTGGCCAAGATTGAGTAGTTTGTAATGTCCCTCACAATATCCTCCCTTAGCAATGGAAAGTCTCTCCCTTTGGCATAAGTTTGTACGAGTTCGAGCCTTAAATTTGAGGTGAGAAATGATATTCTACAATTGTTAAAAAACCCTGTGATTTTCTGACGAATTCCAAATTACAAAGAACTAAATTGTTAAACGGCTAATTAATAGTTAACGTTGCTCTTAGCAACGGGCGCGACAACGTCAACAGTGGAAAAATAACTATTTTTGCGAAAAATATTTTTATTCAATGCATGGTACCAGGTAGGTACGTTACAAAGTTATTATTTTTCAATTAAGCACATTAGAAAATTCGTGAAAGCAACATGTAGAAAAATGAATTACAGCATAATTAAATAAATTACCTACACAAATTGCTTAAACGTAAATACGTAAATTGTTATGGTCATGCATTCACCGCAGCAGTTTAATTTTTTTAATTTTAACCATAACACTATTTAGAACAAATTAAGCCATCACAAAGGCGCAAACCAAGTGAACATACGACGTACTTTCGTGGAGTTTCAAAGCGGATTTTTTACAGGTGACCGTCTATGTGCGAGGACTTAGGACTTAGATCCTGACATGTAGGTATCGTAAAACACCTGGTCTACAAAATCTTCATATGCTCGCGATGAAGAGATTTAACCCGAACTCTTCCTACTGATCAAGGTGTTTTCAAAGCAAAGCCAGTAACCCCCCTAAAACTCGGCAAAAACCCGGTCGATCTTTATACGGTAGGGGGGAGGCACTTTTATGCAAAAAAATTTCTTTGAACTAGACGATATGATATTATGGGCGAGTATCTTCATCATCCGTACACAATTGATTCTTCTGTATCTCAGATTTCGGTTACCTACGAGGTGACCTATGGATTAAGCATGATGAGGTATCAAAGGTTTCAGATGCATATTTCCCAAAAAAACCTGCTGCATTCCAGAATAGTTTTAGGATTACTATTTTAGACATGAACGTTTTCATTTTAAATATCACTTTAAACACTTGTAAAAGTTTCCGGTCGATTAGTGGAATAATGTTAAAGGATTAATTCAATAGACCGATTAAACGTTCTTCCCTTTCTTCCCATCGGTTTTATCTGTTATAATCTATTTTATGCTATTTTTTGCTGAGGAACACAGATTGCTTTTCATGTGATTCGACGCTCTCTAATTAGTACCTAATCATCCTACATTTCAAGATACTCTTATCATTTATAAAATAGTTTATCATTTTAGACTTTGGGCAGGTCGACATAAAAGAAAAATGAGCTGTAGTATTACACTTGGTGCACGCCGACAGTGATTATTCAGTGTAGAAAGTTTACCACTCAAATGGATGTCTCGTTGGGGATTATATCTGTAGCTTTGGCTCTCATTACGCTAATTGCAATTTGGATTAATTCATACCATACGTACTGGGCAAAACGGGGAGTCGAAACGCTACATACGACACCACTAATAGGAAACACGCAAAACATCTGGTTACTAAAGGAACCCATGATGCTCAATTTAAAACGGACGTATGACCACTTTAAAGCGAAAGGTAAAAAATACGCCGGATACTACTTTCTTATGAAGCCTATCTTTGTGCCAATCGATCTGGATTTAATCAAAGCGATTGGTGTTAACGATTTTAATCATTTCACTGATCACATCGGCCAACTGGACGAAAAGGGTGACCCCCTGAGCAACCACCTATTTAACCTAAAGGGAGATCGATGGAAATTTATAAGACCGAAGATCTCAGCTACATTTACGTCGGGAAAATTAAAGGGAATGTTCGACGGTATGCTAAGCTACAGCAAGCAATTGGCCGATTTAATCGACAAAATGGCTGATCGCACCAAAGCGATTGATATCGAGCGCATATCACTACTATACACCTCCGATATCATCATCTACAATGTATTTGGAGTTAAAAGCAGGATGCTTATGGGTGAAGAATTTGAGTTCGAAAGGTGTCTCAAGAAGTTGCACGGTGCAGACTTCAAGAACGCATTGCACAAGTTAATTACTTTCACATTACCCGACTTATATACCGCACTTAGTTTGAAAACTTTTGATAAGAGAATGACAAACTTCTTCATGAATTTTGTTAAACAACATTTAGAGCAACGTTCAAAAAGTAATCTTAAGCAGAAGGATTTTGTTCAACTGTTGCTCGAGTGTGGTTCAACTTCAAACGGAGAAAGTGAACGTCCGTTGAGTTTGGAAGAAATCTGCGGGCAATACCTCGTTTACTTTTTCGCAGGTACCGATACAGTTGCTAGAGCGATATCGTTCACGCTATTTGAGTTATCTCTCAATAAAGACCTCCAAGAGAAGGCTAGAGATGAAATCAAAAGCGTTCGAAAAAATTTCAACGGAGAACTTTGTTACGAGGGAGTACTTAAAATGAAATATTTAGCAAACTGCATCACAGGTATGTGTATAGATAGACACACTTTCCACATCACAGCTTTCATTCCAGAAACACTTAGAAAACACCCTCCTGCAATGATAACTACTCGAGTCTGCACCAAAAAGTACAAAATTCCAGATACCGACGTCACTATAGAGAAGGGAACGTATGTTTTGATACCAATCTACGCTATACATATGGATCCCGAATATTTTCCAAACCCTGAAATCTACGATCCCGATAGATTTTCAGACGGAACCAAAACAAATCCCAACTCCTTTGCATATATGCCCGCAGGTGTCGGTCCCCGGATGTGCCTTGGCAAGTACAATGTGATAACATATTACATTATTAGATGATAATCTTCAGGATTCAAGTTTGGAGTGTTGGAAGCAAGCATCGTATTGTCGCTTCTCCTTTCGCGATTCAAATTCTCTGTCCATCCTGATACGAAAATGCCGCTGAAGTATGACGCTTGGGCCTTTTCTCCACATCCGTCGCCGCCCATAAAACTTGTTGCTGAGAGAATAGATAAGTTATGATGAACGTTACTCTTACACGTAATGCTACAAAATAACGTAATCCAATTTTATTCTGAGATATGATAACAATAATCATGTATATTTGATGCTTTGTAAAATAACAGGTAAACCTTCTGAGGTAACATAAAAGAATGTTTGTACTAGTAAAAAAAACGTGCTCGTCGAAGAACTGGTCTCCAAGTGCGGCCATTTAGGTTAATTTTTTCACTTTTACTTTGGAGACCTTTTATGAATAAGTACACTTTTTAATTTTTATGACCCACAAAGTTCAATCCGATAACTTCATGCTTCTTTTTCTGAAATTCACGTCAAATGTGGTCAAATGTTCTATTAGCTGGGATAGGACACTACTCACAGATGAAACTATCCACAATAATCGATCAGACATTACACAAAAATCCATTTGTATAATAGACACTGCCATTCCCAACACTAAAAACACCACAAATACACTGATATACCTCTCGAACTTAAGGCGCAGTGGAGAATGAAATCTATTGATATAGTTCAAAATATTCTTAGTGCTACCGGAGTTATTCCTCGAGTTATTCCAAAGACAATACACCACAATTTACAACTATTAGGTTTACATAGAAACACATACAAACATTTACAAAAAGCAGTCATTATCAACACACGTCATATTGTTCGTAAATTCCTAAACATAACACAAGATACTACATAATCAACCCAAACGCAAAAAGGATTTTTTTTATTGATATCGTTGGCTCTTGTGACCATCAATAGCTATTTTGGTATAAGTATGAATTACAATACTATTCCTATATTTCCTTTAATTATTATTATTTATAAAATTATAAAATTTAGAGCTCGACAAAACTTGACCTGACGAACGACGTACACACGAACACTAAACGTTATTTGATTTTAATCCGTGCGAATAGTTAACCAGAATAGACCTGAGTTCTGACAACTCGTCTGACAAGAAACACCGACCATAATAATAATAATAACAATGGGCTTTATTGTCTTTTCCTGTCGCGCAATATATAAAAGATACACAGAATAGATAAAACAAACAAAGCATAGGAAAAGACAACCTTTAGGCGCAGTTCAAAACATGTTTGTTCTTCCACTGAACCTCAGTTAGAATAGAAAGAATCAAAAAATACATATCAGAATATAACAAAAAAAAAACTTAAATTAAAAAAAAACAATTTTTCATTCAAGATTCATGAACACCTACACGAATCACATTAGGATTTGTCACTGATGATTGTCACTAATCGTTACACGCTGTTTTTCATTTAAAAGGAGCTTAGATTGAATTTTGAAATTTTTATTTGAACACATTTTGAGGTATAAAGGTACTTCATTAAATAATCTAGCTATTTGAAAAGAAAAGGACGTTTCGAAAATAACGGTCTTATGAGTTGGAGGAGCGATGCCACCTTTATACCTCAGGTTTAGATTATACACATCCGTCTTGTAGACAATTTTACCTGAAAGGTAAGAAGGGGTTGACCCCCTTAAATATTACCGAAACTAATAATATATCTCTTCTAAATACGAAAAAGATGCCCTTTCTATCAAAACTGTGCATTTTTCCAAAAGGTGGTATTTTTGAGATCCAATTAAAAAAGCGAGGATTTTTCACTCTTAGCTTTAGTTTTTCTGTGGCAAGGTACAACTATATTTTGACATTTCCGTGCCACTTTTGAAGTATAAGGAACGAATTTCGACGAAATAGCGAGGTTATTAGTCAAGTGAAATTAGCTCCAAAATTAGTCTAAGCTGGATGCTGTCATTTCACTCAACGAAACCAGGTGTACCTATTAGTAAAAAAAATCCACTGAATCTGAAAATCCGAGTGAAAATCATAGTCCCCCTGGCCGGAAACCCCCGGAATATTGTTATACACAATAAACGAAGAAAAAATAGGAAAATATTTCTTTTCGAATTTGACTTCAATTATCTCGTTAACTTAATTGCTCTGAGGGGAAAAATAAAGAGAGATGAATTTGTTTAGGATTGAATTTTCCAAAAAGATACAGTTGGCCCGGGACGTTCATTTTCAAATGTTATTGTCTTTTAAGGAAAAATATTTAAAAAAATATTGCGTAAAATCGTCTTTTAGTACAAATTTCCACAGGAGATTCGTGCTTCTCATTTAGTCCATAATTTTGTTTTGCTATTCATTTTTAATTGACTGTGGTTCTTAATGCGCAACTAATTATCACATAATTAGCGGTTATTTTTGGATACATAAGTTTTTTTTCTGTTGGTTGAAGGGGACGGTGCTACTTAATGAAAATGATTTAATAAGCAAGTAGTTTAGCATTCAATTAATCGCGGTAAGGCAATTTACCCTTATAAGTGGATGATACCGCAAACAGCTGGAGCAATTAATTCAAAACTTGCAATTTAACGGTTAATACATTAATCAATTAACTAATACAGATAATATCTTAAAAATGCCGTTGTCGCCATACTTTCCTGGGGTGGTGTCTTTAAAACCATTCCCAGTATAACCAACGTCATTTTTTTCTTGTCTGATCCTACCTCATGACAAGAATCCCTTTGAGTTTTTAAAACTATCCAAGATTGAGTTTTTTTTTAATATCCCCCCTCCCAATGAAAAATCTCTCCCTTTGTTTGATCTTGATCTTGATAGTATCCGACTCAATAATCAAACTTTTCATCACAAAAAAATTAGTCCATTCGTGCTGATGGGCTTACAGTGATTTTCGTGAATAATGCACCTTTAAGACGTCTTTGAACCTGCTAACTTATCTGTTGGAGATCTACGCTGGTATTATTTTTTACATTGGAACAGCTTGCCATGAGAAATAAATTTTTGGCGAACTGTTACCCTACAAACCAAAATGCCTTGTCTTAATCGAAGGTTCCGAAAGGGATGGGCTCGGGGATGGGTAAATGCAAGTGGTAAGAGAAAGTTCTCAAATATTCGTTACCTAATTTCAAATTTGCAGTTATGAGATCGAAGGTGAAAATATTAGATAATGTATGTGAAACTAATTTCGCCGCCTCCAAGGTTGTGAGAATGTGATTGTCACAGTTCTCTTAATATGTTTTTCAAACATTTTTAAGACGTCACTCTGACGATACAGTACTTTTATATAATATGTTTATTAGCTATAGTTTTTGTACAAAAGATCATAAGAATGAGCTTGCCAAAAGCAAAATACATCAATAGGCCGTCAATTACTAAGAATTTCTGCACGATCTCTATGCATTAATCCTTCTCCTTGCCTTTTCATTGCTTAAAAGTGACTTTCTGCCAAAAAATATGCGTGTTATTACATGAAACTGTTACCTCGTCAACAAATTAACAGTAAAGTTTAGTGCTTAACTTTTTTACTAATTTTCGGCTTATAAATGAATTGACTCGTCCATTTTTCCAGTTATTGTTTAAAACTTGTTCATATACATGAGCAATAGGTAAGGAATTTAAAGACTTTCGGGATTAGTAATCATCAGATTTGGTTTGAGCAAAACCGTTCGTTTCTGATTTAATAGTGTCATTATTATATAAATTAAACAATAAGTGGTTATAATAATCCTTTTCTCACCGTCAATTTCATAAGATCTCCATCCATACGCAACGTTCAGTTCCTTTTTCCCTTCGAAAAGGCCGAATTGTATTTTTCCATCGGATTCGAGAGGATTTGTAGTTCTTTTGGCTCGGGCACTAACCCACTGTTTTGTACCTAAACTTGCAACTAGTAACACAATAGCAAAACACGAACCAAAAAAGGTCACGAAAATCATTCCTCTTTTAAAAACGTGCATTTTTATCACATCACATTTCACACAATTTTACTTTCTAGTTTTGAGTAATACATTTATATTTAGATAAGTAGTGAAAGGTTAGCTAGAAACGCATTTTTAAAGTATGTACAAAGATTCTTTTTTGTTTTTATTTAACGATATGCAAAGTTTGCTTGACCACTCAACGTAGCAGAGTTCCTGTAGTAATGCAGCGTTAAAATTACTGGTAGAGCGTTAGAATTTCTCATCATCACGCCTGTGAATTTTTGATTTTCATTATAGTTAAACCGGAATTCGATCACCTTGACATTTTATGCGTTTCTTGAACGATTTGCATTATTACCCAATGAATTTTGCACTAATTACACCATCACCTGAAATCTACTGAAACTCCCTAATGCACTTGATACACTATTGATTGAGTATTTCAGCGCTACTGACTGAAACAACACGCGACGAGAGCAGGTGAAAATTCTTTAAGTGGGATGATTTTTTAGGAGAGAGATACGTAACCGATATGCCCACCTGGAGGTAGAAATGACTATGTTAAAGTAGGTACCTTGCGTTGGTATAAAAGTCGTTTTTACCTGTAGTCTACTGCTGAACATGTTAGTGTAAAATGGCGAAGGTATCCGAACGTGCTTCCGTTACTTCTAACTTTTTATGGTTTATTTCCATATGTTTACCTGAATATGAATAAGCAATTTTCTAATGTAAATTAAAAAGTTAATGAAAGTGTAGGATGAAAAAGATTTAAATCGGTTTTGCTGCGTACAGTTCTGTAAATTCATTCTGCATCAATTTTATACTACATTTAATTGGTTCTCATGCTTTAAATCATTATTACCTATTAATTGTAAGCGCAAAGGTGGCAGTTCCTTGCACTTGGACCAACATCTGACTCTTCAAAACTTCTGAACCGAAGACAAATTGGACAAATATTCTCCGACGCTTTTCTACTTTTCCAAATTTGGAGGAACCAAAATTACACAAGAAAATGCTTATATTTGAGGTTATTCTTTTGAGACCTGTAAATCGAGTATCTAGGTATCCGCAATTTCAGCAATTTATTGAATTCATCGGCAGGTTTAACACATATATAACAATCAAGTCGACTTTGAATTATTGCACCACATTTTGCAACAAGCCATTTTGCTCAAATGATTGCTTTTAAGAATAGTTACCAGAACCTCCGGCGTTTAGGCTCTATGCACACTTGGGCCTTTTCAAGCTGGGTGCAAGCTGCGAGCATGCCGCGTGCGTGGAACAGGAATTCACCCCTTGGTTAGTGCTCGTCTGTTAAAAGGAGGGCTCCGTTTCTCTCTTTCCAGATCTTTGGACAGACGAAAGAAATTCTTTTTTTATCCTGTCATAGTACAGGTGTCCACCAAAAACAAGTCAAAAAACAATGGTATACAATTATGTTCACAGAAACAGTTTCCAGTAACAGCAGAAATTGGTCAGAGTCAAACAGTGATTGTGTATTAGTGATTTTTTCTAAATTGCTTCGTGTAAAAACTTGAATATCCATTTGAATTATTTATCATATGACACCCTGTATCCTTCAAACGACTCGCTCAACTTTGAAGAATAAACTATTGGGTTCCATGTTTGAATTGGTTTGTTTCATGTCTTAAACCATTGTATTTTTTAAATTTAAATTTTTGTTGTATAAATAAACATTTGTAAACCTCAATTATTATACTTTGCTTTCTTTATAAGTATGTGTTTACAAAAAGAGTCAAAATCTAAGGAGTGCGATCCGGGACTGTGCATTGTGCAAGTCTCCCAGCTAGATTAGAGGATTTAAACGCATCAAAAATGATATTAATATTCCAATGGATCACCGCGTAACCTTTGGCAAAGAGCTTACCTAATTAATAATAATAATATAAACAATTATCAATCGCGACCGCCTCATCATACAACGATAACTCATATTATTGATTATAGCCTCATCATTCCATCTCTCTGTTATTCTAGAACTAGATACAAAACGACGAGAAGAAACGGCGTGGACGTAATAGCGGAGACAAATTGTTCGAATCCCTTTTTGCGGGAGAGTTTACGTTCTGAGACTCAAGGCATTTCTTCGTTAAATCTCATCCTGGTTACCTACTGCCGTATACGAAATTGCTTTGACAATGAACAAAATCACAAATAAACAATGAAATAGGTATATACTTTAACTTTAAAATATAGATACTGTCACATCCCTCATTTCCAACAGCTCCCTTAAGAATACTAAAGAAATTACACGAAATTACCATATTCAGTAAATTTCCATTAGTTCCACATAATTATTGTTAAATTGTTTAAAATTGCCCATGAAATTATCACGTTTGCCCTTCTTGTATTTCATTTATATAAAAATTAACATAATGCGATAATGTTTATTAGTGCCTTACTTAATCCTAAATGCCCTCATAAAATTATCATGTCACACATTCTCCAAATTTGTGGATTAATTACCATTAAATTAAGTAAAAACGGTCACCAAATATTTGATTCGCCTCCCATAAATTAAGTACAGCAGTGAAGAATTACAATAATTTCCCTTTTTTATTTGTTCTCTAATTAGTCTGAATCTGAATTAAGTATCAATCGTAAAAAATTGTCGCATTCACTTTTCTCATTCACTAAATTTTGATACATGTCATAATTAACCGTAAATTAAGCACTAAAATCCTTAAAATGATCATGGAAAATTTAAAAAATTGAAAGCATGGATATCAGATGGTTTATGTATTACCATTAGTTAGTTTATTATTTATTATACAAGACGATAAAAGGATATTTTAACCATTAAGTGCACGATGTTAATTCACGAAATAGTTAGTTTCCCTTTATCCTTGTGTATACTACAAAATTTTATTTTATAGCAGAAGCCATAAAAAGCATTGTAAGGCATCTGACCATTCTTAATTTAATTTAGACGTCAAAAATAGCAAGCTTAGGTTCTGCCGGCACGTTCCTTCCCATAGAAAGAGCATTGTCATAGGTTCTGAACTTTAGTTTATATCGTGCTCCGCGTTCCATATGAAATAAGAATGATAGATGTCATTAGAATGAACAATCATCTATTTCACTGTATCTACCCTTGCGGCTAAAGTGATTGCTTTATTTAACCGTACGGATTAAGAGCGGCTTGGGCTACTCAACCAAACCTATTCTAAAAATAAAGGGCATTATGTGTAATATATTAAAGAATGGCTGCAATCCTGCAACAACGTTTGTGTTATATGCAATTCAAAAGCAAAAAAATAAAAAATGGAATTCATTTATAGAAAAAGCATTTTAAAACATTGATATGCACAAAAATTTTGAAAAACACTATACATTGTTTTTCTGGAAACATTCCTAAATAGTGTGGGACTGTGGGAAATTATGATTTGAGTTAAGCTATGAAAATTGGCACATATGCTCTTTGGCCCTTCATCTTAAAGATACGAATTGGCGCCACGCTCATTTGACCTTAGAACGTGGCAACGTCGTTTTAAGGGAACTTTTACGCGAACACCCTGCCCTGGTTTACCGCAAGTGTGGTGCATTCTTTACGAAGAAACAAGCTGAACAGAATGGAAATTGATCATAGTTTTACATGCTTAGGGTCGAGTTAATTTTTGCAACAAACCCTTATAAATGATCTTACCCCTCCCCCTCCACTCCCCAAAAAAATAAATATAAAGTCTATTGTGCAATTAGCATCAGATCAACGACAAAGTGGCGAGCATCAAGCCAGAAACTGGATTTTGTGTGGGTATCCGGGGTTGGAGTAGAGTCAGGGATTAATAACCCCTGGGTTTAGTCATCCACTACTTTATCCCTAATTAGCAGTTAATAATAACTTACACGTTTTGCGCATGGCGAGAGGCTATAGATAGTCCAGTCATATAAACCGTAAATGACGTAACTGCACTCGAAAAAGTAGAAAAACCGGGCTCAGATTATACCCCTGAGTGCCACAAAAACTTGATGATTTCATTACTAACCTTTGTCGCTAATTATGCAAGTTTGGAGCTAAACCACTAAAAAATCAAAGAAATATAGAAATTAGTTACTTAGGGCCTGGGTGAGTTAGCAACCCCTACCCATATGGGCCTCCCTGTTACTAGTGATCGACCCCAAATATTCTAAACGTGTTTAAAAAATGGTCCAAACAGAGGTAAATCAGCGTGATGCCACGTCGGAACTTTGAGCATACGTGCCAATTTTTATTACCAAAAAGGCCTTAATCACCCAGACTAAAACTTGATAATAAATAATAATAGCAGCTAATGACTTCAGTAGTCGATGCTCAAATGAAACAAACAAAAATAATACTCGTAATAATAATTGGCTATCAATCTTTGGTTCTTTGAATAAATAAATTCCCTTCTCGTGTTAAAATTTTCTACAAAAGTCACGCATAGGTGGGTACATGTGTAGCAATAATTATCAATTTTATCTTTTGTGTTACACGAAATATTTTTGTTTCTTTGATATAGATTATGTTTATGTTATCTATAAACAACCGTCCAATCAGGGGCGGACTCGCACGGGGGGGGGGGGGGCGATTGCCACCTAGCCTGTAGATCATAATGGCCCGTTGGAAATTTATAAGTATGTGCTGTATTTAGTTTCTTGCACTATTAATAAATTATTAACACGTTTCTCTAATTGGGGTTGATGTTAGGTTGTTAAAAAATTCTGTTTTAATTGAAGTGTTTTACAATGAATTTTTTGTCGAGGCGACGCACCTCGTGTGGATTGTATATTTTGTTACTTTTAATTATCAGCTGCAATTTAAAAAAAACTGTATGGTAATTGATTTTCGAGAAAGGAGTACTTTAAAATGTTTTTGTGGTGCCCCTCAGAGCTAACCCCCCCCCCTCGCCACCTTCATTACTACACTAATACTTTAATGGCCCGTAAGTACCCAGTCCGCCCCTGTGTATAACCTTCCTTTTTTACCAAAATTCAACTACACCAAAATTTCTCGGGAAAACACTTTTTCTTATTAATTTGGGTTGGGTGCGTAGGATCCAAATCAATTCGTACTTTTTCGATCAGACTTCTCAATCAAAAGTTATAGACTAGAAACCAATTTCGAAAAAAAATTCAAAGGGCTGTAACTTTTGAACTAGTAGCCCAATCTTGGAACTGTTTGAAATTATGGATTCTACAGGCCACATTCTATAAGAAAATTGTTTTCCGGGTCGATCTGAAACAATTTTTATTTCGGGGTTCAAAAAAAGGCAGTGTTTAACCTTCCTTTTTTACCAAAAATCGACTGCACCAAAATTTCTCGGGAAAACACTTTTTTTTATTAATTTTGGTGCGTAGAATCCAAATCAATTCGTACTTTTTCGATCAGACTTCTCAATCAAAAGTTATAGACTAGAAACCAATTTCGAAAAAAATTCAAAGGGTTCTAACTTTTGAACTAGTAGCCCAATCTTGGAACTGTTTGAAATTATGGATTCCACAGGCCACATTCTATAAGAAAATTTTTTTTCTGGGTCGATCTGAGACAATTTTTTGTCATTTTTTGTCGTAGCATGTAAGTGCTGAAATACAATGATAGGCGACGCACCTCGTGTGGATTGTATATCGGTGTACTTAAACTGCCGTTGAACGGTCGTGTACTAAAATGCCGTTAGCAGATATGACGTCAATTATGTGACGCGTTTGACAGTACTAGCAGATTCGTCATCAAATTGACGGCATCTTATTATACTGCCGTTACAGCTGTTAGTGCATGTTACTTAATATACTATATTTGCCGAGAGCGTATTCAAAGTTAAAGTGGTTGTTGTTAATCATTGTTGGAACAACTTGTGCCAAATATGAACTAAATCTGATCTGTTGATATAGAATGAGGTAAGTGCTATAGTCCATACGTTTTCTAATTGCTCTTATCTACTTTTAGTTAAGTTAGGTTTAGATACCTATTATACATGCCAAGAATGTTAAAAGTTGGAGATAGATTTACCTCATTTGCGGATGCAAAAAAAGCCATCGCGGAACTTGGTGACAATACGTATACGACATTTTGGAAACGAGATGCACGTACTATTGCAAGTAGTAAAATTGCTAGACAAATAAAAAGTTCTTTAATATATTATCAACTTGTTTATGCATGCAATCATGGTGGAAGGAAATTCAAGAGCAGTGGTAAGAAAATTCGGCAGTCTTGGACATTTAAAGAAGATTGTCCTGTACATGTAAGATTCAAGGCATCATTAGATGGAAATGCATTAGAAGTAACGTCGATTCAAAGCCAGCACAATCATGACACATCTAAAGTAAGTACCTACATCTATAATTGGATTTTTAGGGTTTAACGATAATGGATTCGGATTGTAAATTACTATAGTTTCTTAGATGAAATGAACTTAATTTTCATAGTTGTCTATAGCAATTACATTAATCTATAATTTTGTGCATCCAGCCGTATAATTATTTTCCATTTTTTAGTGCAATTGTTTGAAATCGGTTCATTTCTTTTCTAAAGGTATTTGAATTTAATGGATAATTATGACTTTTCAGGTCTTATATGCACATACCCCTAGTCAAAGAAGGCTGTCTAGCAACATGAAGGAAAGTGTAAAAGATTATTTGAATATGAAAGCAAATAGAAAAATGATACAACAAAAATTGCAAGAAAGCACTGGTAAAATCATTACTTTGCAAGATTTAACAAATATAACCAAAAATGACCAATCCAAAACAGAAAATCTGGATAACTGCTTAAAAATACTCAAAACGAAATATGGTAACCTGGAGGATTTATTATTGTGGTAGTGTTAAATAATTATCTATTATTACTTTTAGGTGCCCATGCAGCTGTATTGCGAGACGTAGACAATAATTTTAGGGGTCTTTTTATTCAAACGCCAGCTATGAAAAGCACCATGAATGCATTTCCAGAATTTCTTGCAGTAGATGCAACATATAAATTACTTAAAATAGGATTACCCGTTTTTCTTATAATTGTAGAAGACGGTAATTGTCAAACTGAAATAGTGGGTGTGTGTATACTGGCATCAGAAGATAGACAAAGTTTCACCTGGTTCTTAGAAACCTTTAAAAGTGAGAATCCAGCATGGATAAACGTGAAATGCATAATGACTGACAAGGACTTACATGAAAGAGAAGTAATTAAGAATTGTTTTCCTAATGTAAACCTTATAATATGCGTGTTCCACACATTGAAAATATTTTATCGTGAAATTTCGTGTCAAAAAATGGGAATTACTCCAAGTCAGCGTACACTTAGTTTAGAACTAATTCAGAAATTGGTCTACGCTAAGACAGATGATGACTACGAAAAATACATGCAAGGCTTAAAAGATAGTGTACCTCGAACAGTGTATGAGTATTTTATGAAAAACTGGCACAACACTAAAGATGAGTGGAATCTAGGGAAAAATTATTTTAAGAACAGTTTTTTAAATAACCGTCTGGAATCTATTAACGCTAAACTAAAGTCAGTTATAAACAAAAATAGTCCTTTGGAACATTTTATAAACAGCTTGTTTACAATTATTTCAAGTTTGGAGACAGAAAGGGATCATAAAGCAGTTTATGGTATTTTAAAAAAACCTGTCGACATGTTTCCCGAAGACTCAGATGAAAGAAAATATTTCAAACTGCTCACACGTGAAGCTTCAAAGCATGTTTTAAGAGAAATTCGTATTTCGGAACAAATCAGAAGTATTACTGTTTCTGCAGATGGTTATTACATCATTACTGATAGTCGGGGGTCCACAAAAACTACAGTTTCTTCGTGTAATTGTGTAATGTATGATGCAATGATTTTACCCTGCAAGCATATTTTTGCATTGAGGCGGCATTTACATGTAGAGCTTTTTGATAGAATGCTTGTAAACCACAGGTGGACCATGGATTATTATAAAGGCAAGCAGCGAACATTATAACGTCTTTGCTTGAAGACAATGAATCGACAGGATATCACTTGCCATGTACATCTAATGATAGCACTATATCTGTATCACTGACCACACAAGGGCATCAACCAATATATTCCTATGCACAAAGAAGAAAAAAATGTCTTCTGTTATGTACTGAACTTGCCGACTTAGCAGCACAACGTACGGGCATGTTATTTGAGCAAAGGCTTAATCTATTAAAAAATCTCAAAACATTGTGGGCTAATGATACTGCTGTTCTACTTACGCCTATAGACGTTAGAGACGAAAATGACCGGCAATTTATTGTTGAAAGTAATGATGAAGTAGTATTTGAAAATGAAAATTTTTCAGAGTTTTGTAACGAAGTGGTTATCCAAGACCTAAATATATTAGGTGACGTAAATCTCTCATCTCTGGGCCACACTGAAGTTATTGAGGAGGTCAATATGGAAGAATCAAATAAAGAAAATGAAGTTCCTGTTACCGCTGATATTAATGTACGTGACTGCAACAACCAATCCCAGCAAACTGTTCAAGTAAATGACATTAATTTGTCGACTATCAAAATGCCAGTTGCAATAAAGAAACGAGGACGCCCAAAAGGGCAAGACTTAACAGTAATAGGATTACCAAAACGAAGGAAAAGAAAACCCTTGTCGTTTTCAAAGAAATCATATCAGGAAAAACAGGATTTAATACTAAATTTCTTTGTTCAGAATGGTGATATTGTTAAAGATATTAAAAATGGTAAAATTCTTGAAGATTTAGATCTTAAATCGTTTCCAGAAGAAATATCTGATGCTGTATTAGATAATAGCGTTGACGTCCACTTGATGAAGTAAGTCTTGCTATAATCTATCTTATGCTTTAATTAATTTTAAACTGTGTTTTTTCAGAACCTTTTGCACAGACGAAGCCTTTAACAAGATCTTTAACCTAGTGGAACAAAAACGACTTAAGCAACACTGGTCTTGCTCTGTGTGTGGTGCAGGCAATCAAAACGACCAAACAGCAGTTTGTTGTAGTGGTTGCCTTCTGTGGAAACATATTCGTTGCTTAGGATTATCTAGGCGGCCTAAATCAAAACAGTGGTTTTGTAGAAATTGCTACTAAGAATTATGTATTTTTTGTGTTTGATACATTTTGTGTTTTTTTTTTTCAATAAATCACAGTACGTTTGTAATGATTAAACAAAAATATTACGTTAATTTGCCTCAAGTGTTTGAATAATTGCCATAATTTGGAGCCACGGTAATATAAGAGGATGCCGTCAATTGATTACAAAACTGCTAAGATGACCTTAAAACGAACGGCAGCCAAAGCAAATACCGTCAAACGCGTCATATAAATGACGTCATATATGCTAACGGCATTTTAGTACACGACCGTTCAACGGCAGTTTAAGTACACCGATTGTATATTTTGTTACTTTTAATTATCAGCTTCAATTTAAAAAAAACTGTATGGTAATTTATTTTCGAGAAGGGAGTACTTTAAAATGTTTTTGTGGTGCATCTCAGAGCTCCCCCCCCCCTCCACCTTCATTACTACACTAATACTTTAATGGCCCGTAACCTATGCAATTCCACCTGGCCCGCAGTTACCCAGTCCGCCCCTGCGTCCAATTGTACTCTAAAGATAAAACCCAATGCTGATTTCCTATTACCATAGAGTAATTTACTCTATGCTATTACATACTTTTTTAGAAAATTTGTTTGAGATAGACAAAAATCCTGGCTGTATTTTTGTGTATTTATTGTCCCTCTTTTGTTCTGGACCCTCAACAGGCTTTCGCCCAATTACAGAGTGAATCGCGTAATTCTTTTTAGGGGAGCTCCTGCATGTTCTATACTACTTCGGTATTTACCTTACGCATTAGGAAAACTGCAGGAAAACCTAATTCAGAGTAGCCCGCAGAATGCTCGAAACTCATCTAAGGAAATTCCCATCTCTGCCACAGTTGAAAAATTCACCTCAACCCAGGTTCAAACATCCGAGCTTCCGGCTATGTAATTTACATGATCTTCTTTATTAACATGTAGGTACCTCAATTCTCAGTTGCGGGGGTTGTTACTTTTGTCGCACGACAAGTATTTACACTTTTTGATATTATATTTTATATATAGCCCTTGCAATATTGTCCTCTAGGGATAAATTTGCTTCTCGTTTTAAACTACACTTACGAATGCATAGTAATCCTTAATGCAGGGGTTATAACTTATGTAGTACACCGATTTTTTTTTATTTCTTTGATACATTATTTACAAACAAAAATACCAATAAACCACAATGTCCCCAATAATTTAAAATGGTCTATATTTGGATTTTTGAAAATCACACTTACATGCATAGCAATACTCCTTTGGGTGGTTGTAACTTTTGTAGTTTCTTTTTCGCTGTATATGTAATTTTGTATAAGATTTATTCTTACAAGTATAGCAGGAGTTGTAACTTTTGTAGTAGGCACACCAAATATTTTAATTCCTTTGATTGGTTACTTAAGTTTAAATAATTGAGAGTAACCCTGCAATTGTCCTCTAAAAATAAATTTTTCCTTCCGGGGACCAGTGAACAGTTGCATGATTTATAGTTATAAACAAGAGATGCGTTTCCCGTTTGGTAAATGGTAAGTATAGGTATTGACATGGAATTATTTAAATTTTGATGATATCTGCTTAACAATATACCCCTGGACCCACTATGGAAATGAGCTTCATAATTATTATTTTATTTGACTGTGTCATTAATTAACACTTTGAACGAATTGTCACCGGAACCTTTTTAGTTTATGTGTCTCCGTCAAATCTTGATCGTCATTTGTGTACTAATTTCATTGGAGAAGCGCTCAAACCCACTGTCACGATGTAACGAAAGACGTTTGTTGTAAATTTGAAACGTATTTTTGTATTTGTGACTTGTCGAGGTAGAGAGAACAAGAGTATTGACTGAAAAAAGTAGGATATGTGCCTCGCATTAATTTCAAGTGCATTTAGTACCATGAATCGCGTTTGAAAGATTAAAAACCGCGATTAGATACCCGTTATCACAGTTTCACGATATTGTCTGCTAATGACAGTACACGTAAATTTTTCAGTAAAGGTTGGGTGACGATAAGTGCCAAAAAATGGTGAAAACAAAACCCTTTTACATCTTGGCCGCAAGCTTCACATCTGCGGCCGCAGCCATCCTATCAATCATTTCGTTAAGCACCGAGAATTGGGTTACGGCAAAAGGTCAATTCGTGATCATCAACGAACCCCCCAGTGAAATAAGGTATGGACTGTTTACTGGTCTCCTTATTCAATCATTAGGGGGATCACAAAGGATACCACTTTATGGTTGTACTGCATATTGCTGAAGCTAAAATCTAACTCAACGTATGTTTTAGTTACTTGTTTAGTTTCAAAAAACGTTTGTGGATACTTATGCGATTCGGGACAGGATCGACAGGATGATCTAGAGAAGATGTGGAACAATGAAAAGGTACCGTTCACGTGTTACTTGCAACATGCACGTTCAATCACGACCAGAAAAGATGCAAATTCAAGCTTAATTCCTAAAACAGAGCTAAAAGCTGATGATAGTGAACGTGAATTTATTAATGCTGGTTTGTACATATCGACAGTAGTCTTTTTGGGAATTTCCGCCATTTTTGGGCTAATAGCGGCAGCTCTTTCGGTTTGGAACACAGCCGGAAATCCTATCGAAGTTATCGTTAGTATCTACGGAATTTACATTTACAACGCTATTGCATGCATCGCTTCGGCTGTGACCTTGGCACTTTGGGGTGCTTTGTTTGGTATTACAATTCTACACAATATTGGTATTTTCCATACTATACAAGGTGACATGAAAACGTACGATACACCAATGCTTGGATTCTCCTATTGGTAAATAATCCACATACCAAAACATTGATTGCTCAATTGCTCCTTTTAGGTTAAATGTACCGAGCTGTATGTTATATGGTGCAAGTATATTCATACTGTATTTGAGAGACTACTTCATTCGTCTAGAACCTGAAGTCAAAATTCACATCACTGCTAGGGAAAAGGACGTTGGTGATATAATGATTTTTTAGAAAACGAAACAATTGTAAATATATAGTTTTTCAATAATATGTAGTATGCACCTACCTCTTCCCCAAAGGTATTCGGAATTTGCCCTGCTATAGCGAAGTTATCTTTTATCAACAAACTGATAAGATAACTTTCCTTATTACTCACATTAGTATTTACCTGTTGCAAGATAAACTTAGAAAACCCATGTAACCAGGAATATACCTATAGTATGACAAACAGGAAAGTCGGATATATTTTGTTTGCTACCTTTACCTCATCAATAGGGATACTTTTGTCAATAGTGTCACTATGTACAGAAAATTGGATACAAAGCAAAGGGGAATTCACGATTGGCGATTTTAGTAACGAGCAATTGAGTGAAATAAAGTATGGGTTATTTTCTGGGACATTTATGCAGAATATGGGAGGAACAAAGTACTACACTCTTTACGGTAAGAAATTCCACTAAAGGCCTTTCGTTTAGTTTCAGTTTCAGCCACCTGTTCCCTCTCGACAAACATTTGCGCGTACCTTTGCACCGGCACTTCAGAGGGACGAAAGGCAGAGCTTGATAGGCTGTATCGCAACGAACAAGTTGAGTTTTCCTGTCCCGCTATTAGTAGGCTGCTTAACCAAGTGCACGTAAACTTAAGATATGCTGGCATAAAAGAGCGTAATTTAACGGCAGTAGTCTTTTACTCTTATTTCGTATTAAATTTGTAGAGACCCGAACGTTCATCAATGCCGGTTTGTACTATTCCACAATTACCTCTTTGGGAATCTCGCTCATCTTCGGAAGTATTGCCACTATTTTATCCATTTGGAATTTGATCAAAAATATAAAGCTCAAAGTTTTCGGGGGTAGAGGAATAATGGCCTGCAACTTTATCGCCTTTCTTGGGTCTGTAGCCGTATTGCCGCTGTGGGGAACAGCATTCGGCACAACAATTATTCGGAATCTAGCCATTTTATACACCATTCAAGGACAGATGCGTACCACCGGTTGGACTTACTTAGGTTTCTCGTTCTGGTAGGTGTTGGTTAGTTCTCATATTGTTTTATCTGCCTTTTGATTTAGGTTAAATTTACCGAGTTGCCTACTCTTTGCGACAAGCATTTTTGTAATGTATTTGAGGGAGTATATGTCCACCCAAAACCCGAAATCCGAATACAAAGTTGAAAACGAAGGAAGTGCGAGGCGTAAACTAATAATACACTTTAACAGTTAACTGTTACTAATCCAATTCTTCGAGAAAACTCAATTTAACGTCTGGCTACCAGCTATTACAGTCAAAAACCACCCCCAACTGCCTGAAATATTGTGAGATATACGTTATAGATATAATTTTGATAATATTGTAACTGGGAATGTTTTGTATAGTTTTCTTTTATGTGCTCGTTTTTAAGAATAAGCTAATTTCGCTGTTGGTGTAGGTAACGACATTAGTAAGTTTAGTTTGATCATGTCACTTTGTGTTCTCTGTAATCGGGCTTGTCCCATTGGCATACGAGTAAATAAATTACCACCACAACAACAAGAAATGAATGAAATATTTATTTCATTGCTTGTTATCTCCAATGTAAAATGTGACTGTATCGTAATTAAAGACTGATCCAAGAATATAGGTATAGGTATTCGTCGTTGTTCTGTATAAAAATGATTGTATTATATTCCCTGGTGTTATTATGGTTGGATAGATTTGATAGGTTATAGTGTAACTGATGTAATTGGTGTTTCATACCGAATGAATTAATGATACTATAACCAGTAACCACCTCTTCCCTAACCTATTTAAATGCAAGCCATTATACTTGATGACATATTTAAAATTTACTGAACTATTTACATCTGTTTAGGTGAAATTTCTTGCAAGTTTATTGATTTCATCACAAATGGCGTTGTTATAAATAAATTTGTATTTGTATTAGACCAAAAAGTAGTTAATATAAAAATTAGGTTTCATTTCTGGCTTATAATTTCTTCAAGCCCTAAGGGCATTGTTAGAATCCCTCCATAATTATGAATTAGTCTTCACTTCTGAAATGCTTCGTAAGTTCGTGTACATTTTCAAGAACTTCTTCCAGGTTTGCGTTTAGTTTGAAGATTGTTAAGAGATGTTGTAATATGCGGTCAAGAAATAAATCTCTCATCATAGCTCCCATGCCTCGGGCTTGACTGTCACCCAAAATTGAAGTCTCATCTATATTGTATCTGTGTCACTGGTTTCGTATTACACGACTGCAGTTCTTTTTCATCAGGCGGTTGCAGCTTAGGCTGGTCTTATAGAAGAAACAGAAGTAGACGACATATCCGTATATTGTGCTGTGTTTATCTTCAAACTGCATCTATCGGGTTCAAATTTATACACAGATGCATAATCCCAAACATTGGATTTGCACCAATTTCGTTGGAAAACACCTTACACCAGTAAACTAATAAGAACTTTGTTCACCATGTCCACTTAGGATAGATTTCTGCGAACAATTTCCAATGGAAACCATAACCATTCTTGAGCATAATCCTAGTATACTTTATGATGTCATATCTTACAGTCCAATTTTGTTATCGATTAACAGTTTTAATACAATTGGCGCCATCTACTATTTTGCAGTAGAAATATAACAGTATCCTACAATTGAATACCTTCCACGTGTTACCTTAACTTTATTTTGTCTGTTAGTTATTATTTTCTCCTACTTTAGAGTTTAATAGCTTTAACCAAGGTCAGAAATTAGTTACATATACAAATCACAAGACCTAATTAATTAATTATTACTGGAAATTAAGTATCGAATTTCTTTAAAACTATTTATATCCATTTTCCACTAAAATATTTTCAAAAAACCGGTTAAACCCGCTAGGGTACCCTTCTCCTGCCAAAACTAAATGCAGTAAATGCTTTAACGTTTTAGCATCCGTCGAGTAAACACGCGATTTCTAGATTACCAACTATTTACGTATCTTTCCAAACTTATTTTTGTTTTTTTTTAAATAAATATAGCTTACAAAAGTTTAAAAAAAGCACTCGTCCTTTGCGCACCGGGATAATGCCCTCAAACATACGATTCGTGTTATCAAGTGCTTCAAAGTTGTTTTCGCGGTCTGCCGTTGAAGCAACCAACGGTTCGTTTTCCCTAATTAGCGCCAGTTCTATTCGGAAATTTAGTGTGACCGCAAGCAGGAACATGCATTTTGTACAATTCCAGTTGAAATCGAGAGGCCCCCAACATCTGGGCGCCCAGTTGGAGCCGAATGGTGACATTTTTGACATAAGTGCGGTGGATTCCTCCATCCCCAATTCGTTGGTGGAATGTTTGGCGACCGGAGAGAGTGTTATTGAGAAAACAAAAAGGTATGGGGACTCGGTCAAAATTTTTCCATTGTATAACAGAAGTGAAGCTACAGGCGTGGCGCAATGCATTTGATAGCAGGTTGAGCAATTGAAAAAATAATTAAGTGGAGTAATTAAATATAGTTAAATTATCGCATCGTTATCTCATTACTTTCTTCACACCGCTTATTCCCTGTAAACAACAATAAACATAAAATCCTTAGTATATTACCAATTAAGTTTTGCGAAGGTTATATATCGCGTGCTGGATACCCCTACATTGATTTGATTTAAGTAATGCGACCGACAATATCGTTTCTATTTATAGATTAATATCATAAAATTTGGAGCGTCGCCGCATTATAAATCCAGATGCGTGTGTCTTTTCAAGAATATTCATTATTCATGTACAGCGGTAACAGTAGAGTTCAAATCACGTGTTTTTGTTCATTATAAGAGAACACACTAGAGCTTTTTGCTTGTTTAGGTTTTATCGCTGGTTTTTCTTTTCCTGTGTAACAATTAAATATGCTATTTGTATCCTTATCAACTTTGTTAATGAAGGAGGTTAATAAAACTGTGCTCAGTTTCTAAAGAGATGGTTACCGTCTCCAAAACTCCCCATTACCGACGCCCTTCGTTATTCATACTTCGGTTCATACAAAGTCCGTTATGGGTTATGGCCGTTATTATTAATTAAACACCCATTCGTACCGGAAAAAAAGCAATACGAACTTCAATCAACTAACAATGTCTTGCCACATTAATGGTCAAAATGTTACAAACAGTAACAGCGATATAGGTCTATTTAGTTATAACATTTTTCGAGACATTTTTAGACACGTTTGATCGTTCTACCAATTTTAATAGTAGGTACACTTCCCTAATACTACCATTTACTACTTCCAATAAACGTATTGAATTAATTACTATCATGGTGCAGACCTTTAAATTTTTATTCTTTCACTCCCAAACTTTGTTTTTCTTTACATAGAGGATTATGCTCGTTTTGTACTGATTTTTGTGTTACTATCATCGTCTTGTTAGTGGGATCGGATAGCATAAAAATATTTCAGTGCTGGCGGCGAACATGCCTTTTGCTGATATAGTTTCTGCATATTATACCAAAGATCAAAAATCGCCCCAGACCCCAAAATTCAGAACCTCTTACCACCAGTAGTGACGTCATCAAATGAAAGATCAAAAAAACTATGCATAGACATAGACTAACTTTGTAAAGGACCATATTTTTAGTAAAATTCAATATTAGATATTTTAAGATTTTAATAAAATCCATGCCGTTTTGCTGCTTCCAAAGTGTTCGACCTTAAGCCGACCAATGAAAATTGTTATATTGTTGACGCTAGCCTATTTTGGTTGCGAGTTGTGTTTTGGATCCTAACTGTGGGGTGAAATTGAGCTTTTTAGTGCTCATAGTAGTAAGAGAGCATCAAGGCAAAACATTAGCCTGTACGCTTGAAGAAAGAGTAATATCATCTTCAGAAGAGTTGGATTTATCGGCTATAACATCCTCATGGCATGAAGAAGCGGACGGACGCCTTCTCCTTCACGCTAAGCATGCAGCTGACAATGGCCACGAATCTGTATGCATTCGGACAGTAGACTCAGATGATGTAGCAATTGCAGTATCTGCCTTTTCAAATTTTGAAAATATTCAACAGCTTTAGATTGATTTTGGAACTGAAAAAAATCGGAGGTTAATCGGCATCCACGAGCTCTGTTCTCATTTATCTCAAGAGATCTGTAGTTATTTGCCTATATTTCATTCAGTAACGGGCTGCGATACTCATCATTTTGTGAAGTAGGCAAGAAAAGAGCTTGGAAGGTATGGATGGCATATCCTAATATTAATTTCTGTTTTGAGCAGCTGCTAATGGGAAGACGCCCAGATGAGGATATGATAAGTACCGTGCAAAGATTTGTGATTCTTTTGTATGATGCAACAACTCCCTTAAACACAGTGAATGAGTGTAGACGATTCCTTTTTATTAAAAAAAGTAGAGCAATTGAGAATATACCTCCAACGGAAAATGCTTTACCTCAGCATATCAAGCGAGCCACCCTTCAAGCTCTTATATGGAAAAACTGTCTGGAAAAAACTATCAATCCCCTTCTCCCTATGGGGATGGGAAAAAAAGCTAATGACGGGTTTCGGGCCTTGTGGTCTACTCTACCAGATATGGCAAAAAGTTGTAAAGAACTAATTGCCTGTAGCTACAAACAGAGGTGTACTTGTGCAAGTGCGTTAAAAATGGTCTTCAGTGTACAACTGTACACAATTGTGCGCATGTGAAGGACATTGTTCTGAGAATTATTAATTGAACTTGTTTTCTGTTTCAAATGAAAACACTTTTTTCATTAAAATGTTATACTTTTTACACCAAACTGTTGTTTTTTTGGGAGGGGGGGAGGGCGGGGGGTAAGGGTGTATTTTTTTACAAAAAAACTTCACTAGAACTTTAATTGGATATCTATATGCTTAAAATCAGTTTTTTTGTTCCTATTTAGATGACGTCCTCGATTACGTCATTACTGGGGTCGGGGAGGGCGAAATTTTTGGGGTCTGGGGCTTTTTTTAATCTGTGACATATACAGTATCCAAATCCAAAAGTTCACAATCGCCGCCAACACTGAAATATTTTTATGGTTTTTAATGCTATCCGATCCCACTATGTAATGCAAAATTAAGGACGGTTAAGGGGGTGTTTTGCAATTTTTTCATTTCAGCTGTAATAAGCAAATTTGCAATGAACATTACCTTGTAGATGTACTTTCTGTTCCTTTTTACTTATTCAAATTAGCGTAGGCAAAAATGAATTAGGACCGAAGTTAAGTCCGGAAATACCTACGTGTTCCAAGAGTGCCACAGTATGTGCATTCATATGTCAACTAAACTTATTAATGTAGCAAATATCAAATCCGCCACCAACACCAAAATCCAGCACATATGGAATATAATAATAATATAGCACAATTATTATGACGATTACACGGCATAAAATACCTAAGTGGTACAAATATTGCCATGCATGCTATCGTTTATTTGATTGTAGAAGTGCAAAACTTAGATCGTATCGTAATATTCGACCAGATGCACCTAATTAAAAATGAACTAATTGCCAAATAAATAACATACATTAGCGGTATAAAAACAATAGAAAAAGAATGTATACTTAAAATTTAAAAACACGCATACTTAATGGCAATATTACGACCAGTGGGTCCTCGAGAAAATGAACATGCAAGGAAAGGTATGAATGGTCAGTAGTAGTACGAACTTTCATAGCTACGAAAAGCAGGTAACACTTACATATCCCTCGGATTTCAAGTGCTGGACCATGAAAGAAATAAATCGAATTCGTGAGTCCACAAAATAATAACAGCAAAATAATTAAAATCCTGATCATTTGATTGCTAAACAATAATCCTACATCAATTTATGATCAAAGGTTCAAAGCTATGGAAACCAATACAAAGTTAGTCCCTGTTAGAGAATTAATTAAAAATTAAAGACTCTAGTCCTAGTGCTACTGAAGTGTTTAAGGGGGATGAAATTTATGACTTGAAAATTGAGTTAAATTTATTATAGAATACAAATTTCAGATGGAATCCCCTATAAATGGAATTTATACTGATTTCATTAGATAACTATGGTATGAACATTTTGTACAGTATTAGAATATGTAATAAAATTTGGTAGATTTCATTTAAAATTTCGAATTATTTGCTGCACTTAATACATTTGATTGTCAATTGTTTTCTGGCTATTAAAACAGATAATTCAAAATTAAATGTAGAACAACTTTTCTTCTGTAACATTTTGTCACACTAACCGAGATATCCGCTCTGACAGCTAAAATCAAACCGACTGTATATACAGGGTGTTCCTAAATATAGTGTAAGTACGAAAGGGGTTAATTCTTTAATTTATTTTATGATTAAAAGTTCTTATAAGATAAAAAAACGCTTCGTAGATTGGTATTGAAGCGTATGCGGACTTTGTTGATATGAACTTTTAGTCATAAAATAAGCCAAAGCATTAGCCCCTTGCGTATTTACATAATATTTAGGAACACGCTGTAATTTAGAACATACACACCGAAATTTGTGGAGCCTTATACCTTAGAATGTAACATTTCCAAAACCGGTTCGTACTGAGAGGGCGTATAATGGTATAAGTATGAAAAATTCAATTAATCCTTTAAGTATAAGGTTCATAAATGATAGAAAATGGATGGATATCGCCAATTTTAGTTGTAGCCGGCTTGGAAGATGGAGGGATATTTCGCTGAATTTCAGGGATTTCAGGAATATTTAACTGCAAATTCTTAGACAAAATGCATACTTATTCAATATGTATGAAAATTTCTTCGTGTTTCGTATGACCATTGAATAAATTTTATTCAATGGTATGACTAATAAACCTCAACAGTTATGGGGTTTTATACGTACTCCACTTGTCATGAAAAATAAGTGGTAGGTACATTTAATTGCTGTTCTTCTAGTTTCGGATTCCATACCTATTATCACTGAGTACCTTACACGATGAATTGAATAATAAAAAACTTTTTATATTATCTTTAATATGAAATTTAATGATATGCTACATTCCATATATTTATGTACCTACTATAAATATGTTGCTCTGTTACGAGATAAAAGGTAAAGGAAAGGTGTTTTAATTTTTCAGTCACATTTCTTGTTTTTTATAAGATTTAGTTATAAAATTTCTGTTATTGCTTTGCTTCCTTTCGAGGCTTCCTTTCAGCCAATTGGAAACTGGTATGAGCCCTGGTTTCCCATTGAGTCTCGTGCCTTTGAAATGAGTAGGTCTTTTCCCTAGCCTTTTTCTGAACTGCATTTGCTGCGTGTGGAATGCCGATGAATCGTTGCTCCCTCCTTGTTCTTGACTGAGCATCTTCACCTCAGCCAGAAGTTTTTTCTGTATATAAACTAGTTTCCTAATTTCTGTGATCTATTTTGTGTTAGCTGAATTAAATATAAAATCATGCAATTATATGTTATAAAATGACCGTACATTCCGCGGTTTTGAAGGTTAATGAGCGATGCATGCAAATGTTGTTTCTAGGTTTCATTTGCAGAATATTGATGAGTGACGCGTGGACTGAAAAATAACGATTGAAGATATGTTTCTTTGCACATAGCGTTTTGCTTTAATCAGAAGAATCTACCACTCTCATTAACACATTTCTTATTAACACATTCAAAAAATGTTTTGATTCATTAGCATTAACACCTACATGTCATACGTTTTTTATTGCCACAGGATTCTCATTTTATTCTCGCTCACTTTTGCGCTTTTAACGAACCAGAGGAGTCATATGGGACCTCTTTGCAAATAATAATCGAAATAGTTATTTATTGCATAGGTAGTTATCTAATTATCGGAATTTTTGTCAAAAAATCGTATGGAAATTGGTATTTTTTTTCAGGATTTTTGCTATGCGTTTTCATGGCGTTTAGTCTTGACTATGAACAATAGCTCAATTTTTGAGTGACAGTAAATCGTGAATGTCAATGATATTACTCAATTAGATCACTATGCAAAATAATTTCGTGCACAACACGTGTTGCAAGGGTAATTTTTGTTTGCATAATAATGGAATAATATCATTGGCATTCGCGATTTACTGTCACTCAAAAATTGAGTTATTCTTCATAGACAGGACTAAACGCCATGGAAACGCATAGGAAACATCGTGAAAAAAAGTACCACTTTCCATACGATCTTTTGACACAAAATCTTAAGCAAAAATTTTATTTTTTTCACTTTTTTGAATCCCGTATCCATAATGATTATGCTAACTACGTCATGCTTTACATTATATAATCTGATACAGTGGAATGAATGACCATGTGTATAACTAGGTAGGTAGATACTGGTATTGCATTCACTTTTGCACCCGCCTTACGCTACTGTAACTTGTAAGGACAATACTTCATCGCATCTCGGAACACGGAGGATAATAATAATTAAATTGCAGAATAATAGCAGCGAACAGGGCAATAGTACCGCTATCGAACGTAAAGCTCCTTCCCCCGGTAATCAAACCCAGCAAAGTAATATGCATAGGATACAATTATGCTGGACACTGCGCCGAATTGAAAATTCCTCCTCCCACAGAACCTGTATTCTTCAACAAGTTCGCCTCTTGTATCATCGGTCCATATGACGATATCAAACTTCCAGAAATGAGCGAGGTTTCTAACATTCCTCTACAGCCACTCTTTAACACATTTTTTCTAGAAGGTAGATTGGGAGGTAGAACTAGCTGTTGTGATTGGGAAAAAGGCAAAATGCGTGAGGAAAGACCAGGTCGGTCCATATATTTTTGGTTACACTGTAGCTCAAGATGTTAGCGCTAGAGACTGGTTGACAAGTGAGGCTAATGGGGGGCAATTTTTATTAGGGAAGTGTATGGATACGTTCTGTCCCTTGGGCCCGTCTGTAGTAGATAGAGATAGCGTAGGCGACGTCAACAACTTAAACATAAAGTCAACTTTAAACGGGGAATTGCAACAAAGCGGTAACACATCGGAGTTTATCTGCAAGATAGATTTTATAGTGTCTTATTTGTCACAGTAAGTGAACTCATTTCACTTGGTAGCGTAATTAAACTTTTTTAGTATCTTCACACTACAACCTGGTGACATTATTTTGACTGGTACACCGACCGGAGTGGGTCTTCATAAGAAACCACCGCGATTTTTGCAAAGAGGCGATGTTCTAGAAAGTGAAATTGAGGGCGTCGGTAAAATACGTAATTCTGTGATTTAAACTGGCAGCAAACCTAATTGTTTAATTCTTGACCACGTGCAACTATCCAATGTGAGAGAATATATTTTTACCTATATCAATAAAGCCATTTTGTTAAATTTGCGTTTTTTTAATTATCTAATGGATTAAGTATTAGCTGCAGAAATTTATTGCTTTATAATTCTAACTTTCAGAATAATAGCAGCTGGAAAGTCAGTGGTATCAGTAAATGACGTTAACCTTCTTGCACCAATCTCGAAACCAGATAAAGTGGTATGCATAGCACGTAATTACACAGGACATTGCCAGGAGCAGAACCTCCCTGCTCCCACGGAGCCGATGTTTTTCAGCAAATTCTCCTCCTGTCTCATCGGCCCATATGATGAAATTATTCTTCCGGAAATAAGCAAGGTTTATACTTTACGTTCAGTAGTAACAAACTCATCCCATCTGTTCCAGAGGGTCGATTGGGAAGTGGAGTTAGCCGTTGTAATGGGCAAGAAAGCTAAATGCATTCGTCCAGATCAAGTCGAATCGTACATCTTCGGATACACGATAGCGCAAGATATTTCAGCGAGAGATTGGCAGAAAGAGAGAAATGGGGGTCAATTTTTATTGGGAAAATCCATGGACACCTTTTGTCCAATTGGACCTTCGGTTGTAACAAGAGAGAACATAATCGATGTAAATAATTTGAATGTTAAGACCATATTAAACGGTGACGTCAAGCAGAATGGAAATACATCCGAGATGATATTTAAGATAGATTTCATGGTTTCATACCTTTCACAGTAAGTTCCTTTTACAATTTATTCTTTGGTGATTAAATTTCATTTTAGGATATTCACGCTCCTTCCAGGTGACGTGATTCTAACGGGCACGCCAGCCGGAGTTGGTGTCCATAGGAACCCACCTCTATTTTTAAAAGCAGGGGACGTTCTCGAAAGCGAGATAGAATGCATTGGAAGAATGAGTAACAAAGTAGTTTAAAAACATCAAAGTTTGTTGAAGAATATTTTTTAAACAGTGTTAGACACTGACAAATAAATACTATTTTTGTAAGATAAGTACCTGGTGATTTTTTAGCTCATCATGTACTACAAAGACCGAGTTATTCAATACTGGTAAAAATGACGTTTCTCATGATACAATAAGATGATTCGTGTCTTAACTCACGTTACCTTTACTGCGAGTATCTTGAGTGAAAGTCAATAAGCAGTGATAGTTTTCTGCTAGGTAATTGTTGTCTAGTGTGTAAATAAATATAAATAAATTTATTTAAAGTTTTTATTGTAGCTATAGGACCGAGTAATTACGAGATTGTTTTTTTAATCCTTTTAACTATTTTATTTAACCACTCTTATTGATACAAGATTAACGACACGGTACAAATAATAACAAAAACAGTGATAGTTACCTGACAGATGCCACGCAACACTATTTCGGGGATTACTAAAATGGTGATTCACGACACTCTCCCCCACTTTTCTTTTAATGCTGGAGGGTGTAATCTTCCAGATACATTGGCTTTTGAGGACACTAGCTGGTAAGTCTGCTGGACTCAAAAGAACAATCTGGCCTGGCTGACTCGACGGAAGTTCTTGTTGAATTTAACCATTCACGCCGTTGAACTTGGATAAAAAGAAGTTTCCTGCGAAACTTCACTGTTAGATGATGCCGGCGCTTGGGTGGAATCTGTTGCAAAAGTAACTCCTTTTTTCGTTTATCGAACGGATGATGAGGGTTCAAAACCTACCTGCTTTTTTTGAGGAAGGGTGGCTATCAATTGATTGATGTGGCGTGTAAGAGTACGGCCGGAGTCTAATTCGACGATATAGTGAGACTGACCCAGCTTTCTAGAGATGGTGCCGAGCCGCCAAACATCCAACGACACTTTGTCTGTACTTTAGTACGTAGTTAGGCTCCGATGGAACAAAAGCTTTGGCGTTAGAGAGCAGGGCATCGAGACAAATCCGGATCCTCCTCTTCAGGCGACTGATCCGAAGCTAGAGGGGTTACATGGTAACGTAACATTATGTTCTGTAACTGGTAGACAAAGAAGATGGATCGTTAGCATCACCAGCCTTGAGTCTTCTTTTCATTGTCTGAATGTTGCGTTCCGCGAGACCGTTTGTTGCAGAGTGATTCAGTGCGCTGAATTTCTAGAACATTCCCCTTTCTTCGCTATTAAAAATAGCGGCATAGTCGGACACCATGACAGAGGAGTCGCCATGGATCAAAAAAATGTTTTTCGTCAGAGATAGGTACAGTTGATGCAGGGGGGAACATTTTGGATATGTTCCGCCCACTTGGCCCTCAGTCGACACTAGTCTATAACTTTTGATTGAGAAGTCTGATCGAAAAAGTACGAATTGTTTTGGATTCTACGCACCAAAATTAATAAGAAAAAGTGTTTTCCCGAGAAATTTTGGTGCAGTCGATTTTTGGTAAAAAAAAAGGAAGGTTATACACTGCCTTTTTTTGAGGCCCTCAAAAAAAAATTGTCTCAGATCGACCCGGAAAAAAATGTTGCTTATAGAATGTGGCCTGTAGAATCCATAATTTCAAACAGTTCCAAGATTGGGCTACTAGTTCAAAAGTTACGAACCTTTGAATTTTCTTTCGAAATTGGTTTCCTTTCTACTCTAAAACTATATTTATTGAGAAGTCTGATAGAAAAAGTACGAATTGTTTTGGATTCTGCGCACCAAAATTAATAAGAAAAAGTGTTTTCCCGAGAAATTTGGCGCAGTCGATTTTTGGTAAAAATGGAAGGTTATACACTGCCTTTTTTTGAGGCCCTCAAAAAAAATTGTCTCAGATCGACCCGGAAAAAAATTTTTCTTATAGAATGTGGCCTGTAGAATCCATAATTTTAAACAGTTCCAAGATTGGGCTACTAGTTCAAAAGTTACAGCCCTTTGAATTTTCTTTCGAAATTGGTTTCTAGTCTATAACTTTTGATTGAGAAGTCTGATCGTAAAAGTACGAATTGTTTTGGATTCTACGCACCAAAATTAATAAGAAAAAGTGTTTTCCCGAGAAATTTTGGTGCAGTCGATTTTTGGTCAAAAAAGGAAGGCCTTTTTTTGAGGCCCTCAAAAAAAATTGTCTCAAATCGACCCGGAAAAAATTTTTTCTTATAGAATGTGGCCTGTAGAATCCATAATTTCAAACAGTTCCAAGATTGGGCTACTAGTTCAAAAGTTACAGCCCTTTGAATTTTCTTTCGAAATTGGGTTCTTTTCTAGTCTATAACTTTTGATTGAGAAGTCTGATCGAAAAAGTACGAATTGTTTTGGATTCTACGCACCAAAATTAATAAGAAAAAAGTGTTTTCCCGAGAAATTATGGTGCAGTCGATTTTTGGTAAAAAAGGAAGGTTGTACACTGCCTTTTTTTGAGGCCCTCAAAAAAAATTGTCACAGATCGACCCGGAAAAAAAATTTTTCTTATAGAATGTGGCCTGTAGAATCCATAATTTCAAACAGTTCCAAGATTGGGCTACTAGTTCAAAAGTTACAGCCCTTTGAATTCTTTTCGAAATTGGTTTCCAGTCTATAACTTTTGATTGAGAAGTCTGATCGAAAAAGTACGAATTGATTTGGATTCTACGCACCCAAATTAAAAAGAAAAAGTGTTTTCCCGAGAAATTTTGGTGTAGTCGATTTTTGGTAAAAAAGGAAAGTTATACACTGCCTTTTTTTTTGAGCCCCGAAAAAAAATTGTCTCAGATCGACCCGGAAAAAAAATTTTCTTATAGAATGTGGCCTGTAGAATCCATAATTTAAAACAGTTCCAAGATTGGGCTACTAGTTCAAAAGTTACAGCCCTTTGAATTTTCTTTCGAAATTGGTTTCTAGTCTATAACTTTTGATTGAGAAGTCTGATCGAAAAAGTACGAATTATTTTGGATTCTACGCACCAAAATTAATAAGAAAAAGTGTTTTCCCGAGAAATTTTGGTGCAGTCGATTTTTGGTAAAAAAGGAAGGTTATACACTGCCTTTTTTTGAGACCCGAAAAAAAAATTGTCTCAGATCGATCCGGAAAAAAAATTTTCTTATAGAATGTGGCCTGTAGAATCCATAATTTCAAACAGTTCCAAGATTGGGCTACTAGTTCAAAAGTTACGGCCCTTTGAATTTTCTTTCGAAATTGGTTTCTTTTCTAGTCTAAAACTGTTTATTGAGAAGTCTGATCGAAAAAGTACGAATTGTTTTGGATTCTACGCACCAAAATTAATAAGAAAAAGTGTTTTCTCGAGAAATTTTGGTGCAGTCGATTTTTGGTAAAAAAGGAAGGTTGTACACTGCCTTTTTTTGAGGCCCTCAAAAAAAATTGTCTCAGATCGACCCGGAAAAAAATGTTTCTTATAGAATGTGGCCTGTAGAATCCATAATTTCAAACAGTTCCAAGATTGGGCTACTAGTTCAAAAGTTACAGCCCTTTGAATTTTCTTTCGAAATTGGTTTCTACTCGACACACATCGGGAAAGATCACCATTGAACGGACCTACATAATCGATATGTACTCTCCCCCAGTTCTCATCTAGCTGGTCCCAGGGTTGATTTGATGCTTTCTGCGGACTGAGACGGACATCACAATATTCACAGCTTTTTAAAAGTTCTTCACTGTATTTGTCTAAACATTTCCAATAGACATAGCTCCTAGCGAACTGTTTCATTGTTGTAATTCCTATAAGTGAAACGCATGAAACTCTTGCAGTGCTCATCTTAGAACAGACTCACAAAAACCTCCTTTTCTTACTTTTGGAGGGTGCTAGGACGCGTTTTGATGTACGTTCGTATGTCTACGGGCCAACGAAGAAGCCAGAAGTGAGCTGGATGAGTACATGGCAAACAAAGGTCGCCGGAAGGAAGGATGGCACATGCAAAGCCTTTTGTCGAGTACGAACTAGGGCGCTCTGACAAACTTCTGGGAAATTGACTCCAAACACAAGACGCAGCCGTATCGCAGGAAGATGGCCTGTCACTGAAAGGAGAAGCGGAGTTGGTTTTGAGTGATTTCAATAACCTCCCAGTTTTTTATTGAGCGCAAATTACATCCCTTTGTAGTACTAGTAGAACGGAATATTCCTTTTCCCAAAAATAGATTAATTACAACATATTATATAAATATATTATATTATTTTACATATCTCATAGATAATTGTCAAAGGTTATCTTCTTACATCTAATTAGGTTTGACCTTTTTCCCCATTCGATCATTAAAGGCTTGCTTTGATCGGCCAATCAATTGCAAAAATTATCCAATCATTATCAGTGTTAGGACTCCCCAACTATAAACTGCATCGCCCATTTTAATCGGAATCAGTATAAAAGATGAAGCTCCAAATTCTCCTCTTGGGAATCACTAGCGTGTATTGCCTCGATTCGTCGTTTCGAGATGCGAACCGACAATTTACCACCAAACTGTACAAGGTAGGTGGGGTATTGTTAACTGCAATTCACGCCGATGCGCTTTCAGGAGTTGGTCGAACAGAAACAGGAAAAACTCCTCGTGAGTCCTATGGCAATTCAAATAATTTTTTCTCTCCTTCGTGCTGGTAGTGGAGGCTTGACTTCGGAGGAGCTTTCCGATGCGCTGTCACTTCCACGTGACGATAAAGCGCAAGATGATATGGTTAAAGGCGTACTCGAAGCTTACAAAACCGTCCAAGGTGACCATTATCAGTTGACGTTGGCAAACAAGATTTACGTTCAGGAAGATGTCGAACTGAAAGCTTCGTACAAATCTAAGGCTGTTGATGTGTTCGGTGCTGATGTTGAAAATGTCGACTTTAAGAAGAAAGAAAATGCGATGGCTGTTATTAATAAGTGGGTGGATTGTAAGACGAAGCACACAATTCCGGAGATCGTCACCAAAGATGATCTAAATGACGCGTTGCGCCTCATTTTACTTAACACCGTATACTTCCAAGCGCCTTGGAGGCAACGGTTTCACGAGCCGTCACAAAAACCATTCTTCGTCGACAGCTCTAACACTGTGAACGTCGACATGATGTCAGACAGAGATCTCTACGAATATCACGAGAGTGACGAATTGAAGGCGAAGTTCCTGAAGATACCTTATCGGGTGAACGGAATGAGCATGGTCATGGCACTACCCAATGAAAAAGATGGATTGGGCGAGTTGGAGAAGCGCCTTGGTGACATTCTGGCACTTCCCAAGTTTAGTTATAATGTTGTAATTGTTTCATTTCCAAAGTTTCAATTCGACGCAACGATTAAACTGAAACCAATCTTGAACGCGGTAAGCGCGCTATTTGCGTTCTCGGTGGTCTACATTGGAATGTTCTAGATGGGAATTAAGGATGCCTTTACATCAAGCGCCAATTTCAGCGGAATTTCTGAAAGTGCAAGTTTGTCCGTAAGCGATGCAATTCAAAAGAATCACATTGAAGTGAACGAGAAGGGAACGATTGCGTCATCAGCGACTGCAGGTAGAAGGTGCTAAAAGGTCCATGCAGTTAAACCCTTTTTTGTAGTGTTGCTGTTTGAGTATTCCGGTCTTGTCGAAGTAGAGCCACCGAAGGAGTTTAAAGCCGATCACCCCTTTATATTCTTCATTGAATCGGAGGCGGGAATACTCTTCATCGGCAAGTTTACTGGACATTAACCGAAAAGACGCCGAATTTGTTGAATAGATTGCAAACTAAGTTTTCTGGGCTTTAATAAATCAAAAATAGTACGCTTTGCGAAGAACTTTAATGCTCAAAATTAAAATGGTCGAAAAAAAACTTAAATTCCGAACCACTTTACGTGACTCTCTCGTAGTTGGAACCCGAGCTCTTCTGCAGCCCAAAACCGAATGCGTTAAAGAATCTCTTCTCCCTTTTAATCCTCTCTCATTGTTTTAATCTATCAAAGCACCCACAAAATGGTGATAATTAATTAAATCGGTCATTTTTAACCACGAATTAATCTGGTTCGTTTAGATCAACGACACCCTGTATACTGTCTAGTACCCAATACATCGACGTTATCCTATACATTTATTATTATTATACATAAAGCAGCGTAACCCTAGCGAAATTCAATTTTACCCCACCATAGTTGAAACAATACCCCCTTCACAAAGAACATTCAATTTTTAACCTTAAGCTAAAACTTCCCCATGTTCCTTAAAATTTGGTAAAAATAGATTTTTCAGGAGACGTCGTTTAAACTCTGAATTCAGACTTTGAGTTGGGGTTCTTAAGTCTGAATTTGCATCTACAAAGTTGAAATCGCTATAGCAAGGCAGTTTAAGATCCAAACTCGATTATGCGGCATGTATTTGGACACCCCAAACTTATAAGCACGCAGACATGATAGAGAAAGTTCAAAAAAAATTAGTGCGAATAGTGTATTTTAGGTCGACTCAAAATTTTCCACATTTAATCTCTTACTCCAACCAACTAAAATTTTTAAATAGTGTGCACGGTATTAAAATATCAAGTTTACAAATCCGACGCGAAGTGACCTGTTTGTGTACAAGATACTGAATAATCACCTAAATGCCCCAGAATTGCTTCAGGAAATTAAACTCAAAGTGCCACATGTTAAATTAAGGAAAAACGATATCATCTTTTTAGTGAACACTCCGTCATCGCCACTATCGAGGAGCCTGTTGGCTTTAAATAAGAAGTGCCGTGAGAGAGACATCGATATATTTCACGGCTCTTTGAATGAATTAATTAGTCATATAAGATCGTAATTACTATGTATTTTTAGTTTTAAGTACAGCATCCCAGTGCCATGTAATTCGAATACTTGTATTCTGTATGGTACTGGCTAAACAAATAAATAAATAAATAAATAAATAATCTCCGAATTTCTGATTACAACTAAAATTGACATATGACTTTTCTCTACGATTTAGTTATTATTATCAAAACCCATAAACGAAAAGTGAATAATTAAGAAGTGAAAAAACGAAGCTGATGTTATGTAAACTAGTAAAATTAATCAAAAACTGCCAGTGAACTAAGAATTTTGAAATAACATTATAAAATAAAAAAAATAAAATAGCACAACACAAATCCTTTGTAAAAACTTACAGAAATTAACAAAACTTAATCCAAGATTACCTACTATTATTTTACGAACTATTTGTCTATGCTTTTTCGGGCCCGAATCTATAAAGTTTACGGCGATACGAGTGAAAAGTTCGCTTAGGGGTTGGTCTTTCTCCCCTTGACATTTTCGCTCTGACTCGGTCATTTGTGGTCCGATCCGACTCTTTTTTACTTGACCTGCGGGGAATGACGGCGCTTTCAGGGATTGCCGAAATCGAGTGCTGGTTAACTGTGTGAGGGTACGATGAAGTGAGCAAAAAATTGACGATATCGACTCACTCGTTTGCAGATAGAAAAGGATTAAAAAAAAGATTACTCGGTGGAGGAATTTTACGTCCCTCAAAGTTGGGTGAAGTTTTAGGGAGCATTCGAAAAAGAGTCGAAATATACTCAGTGACATGGAAATTACAACACCAAGAAGGAGTTGGAATTTTTTGACCAAACTTGGCAGAAACGTTTAACTACTAAAAGGTAACAATTGATTAAAATTCCATTCATATGGATCAAGTGGTAATGGCTTATTTGACAGTTCTTTCATTTTTTTCTAGTACCTATTCTTATATCGTGTACGTTTTGCGAGATTTTGTTCACTTCTTATTGTTTTCGCTTTTAATCGTTTCTTTTGAGGCTGTGATCATGCCTAGATACGCCAAAGTGGAAATTACCGCGAATTAAGAGAAGTTGATAGGTGTCGTATTGTTGGTTTGGGCGGAGGTGGTTTTTCGTTCACAAAAATTGCAAGTCACCTTAACCGAAGTCAATCCACCATGATTCGTTGCAATCGGGCATGGATTTGGGAGGGGGCAGGATCGTCGTAGAGAGGAAAGGCAGGGGGCAGGAAAGGGTAGGGGGCGAAAAAGAACAATTGAAGTGCGGGATCGCCATCTTTGACTTATGGCAACAAGAAACCGATTCTCTAGTACCAGGTCAATTGCCGATCAATTGTTAGCTAACGAAGGTCGTCCTGTAACACTTCGAACGGTTTACCGCAGAATCAGAGCTTACGACTTGCAATCCTATCGGCCACATCTTTTGTTACCATTATCAGCTCAACACCGCCACCAGCGTTTGGAGTGGTGTAGGTTGCGACTGCACTGGAACCTAGAGTAGCATTGTGTGGTGTTCAGTGATGAATCCGGATTTTGTTTGGGTATGCATGATGGCCGTATGAAGGGCAGCCGAAGACGTGAGGAACGTCGCAATGTTGAATTTTCTGTCATGAGGCATGTGCACTAAGCTGTGGGGACTATGGTATGGAGTACTATAACTTATGGGAGTAGGGCTCGTTTGTTATTCATTCGAGGTAATATGACCCCCCCAGCGATATGTGGATGACGTGATAGAACCCGATATTCTTCCATCTCTTCAGCAGTTGGAAGACCCACTTTTCCAGCAGGATAATGCCCCTCCCCACATTGAAAGACGTTCTATGGACTTATTTACACATGATAATGTCAATTTCTTGCCATAGCCACCCAGATCTCCCAGTATATCGCCTATCAAGCAAGTTTGGGACATTATGAAGAGAAGGCTGATGAACTTACCGCATCCTCCGCAGACGCTGCAAGCTCTACACAATGAATTAGAGGTTACTCACAGTTGCTTGGGACACAATACCTCAAGAGGAAATCGGCCGTCTGCTAAAATCGATGCTACAAAGCGTGAGGGAGTGCGTAACCAATAGGGAGGGATTACTATTATTATTAATAAAAATATGTTTATATTTCATCCTTTTTCTTTTAAATTTTAATCAATTGTTACCTTTTAGTAGTTAAACGTTTCTGCCAAGTTTGGTCAAAACATTCCAACTCCTTCTTGGTGTTGCAATTTCCATGTCACTGAGTATATATTCTTGTATTTTTGCCATTTCCAACATAGCAAAGGAGGATATAGTCTTTGACCATACCTAGCGGAAATGTAACCCGCCAACATGCCCTTTTTGAACTCATACAGTTTTTTTAGGTTTAAAAATTCCTATACAACGACTGAATACCAAACCATCCTCGAGATCTGTTTTTAGGCTGTAACTTTTTGACCCGATAGTCTACGTAGCTGAAAAATACGTTTCTTATATCCGTATAAGGACATGGGTACCATGTTTTCACACATCAATGCTACTACTTATATAGTGATATTCATGTAGAAGTAGACATAGGGATTTCCTATAGGAATTTCCTATGTCTACTTTTACATGATAAGTCTCCTGAAAGACGCCTAATTTTATGCAACCAAAATAACTTCTTGAAACAAATAAAGATCTGGCTGTCATATTAATTATTAATTTGAATATTGTTGCTATAGCTTCACAGAAAATAAATCTCTTAAGCTCATTTAACTGTTATCGGCACTATACCAATTCGAAATATCAACTTTTTCTTTAATTAAATGCATCGCACACGAAATTAGAATAGGGATGTCAAAGCGATAAGTAATACAAGTAATATTCAAATTAATTCATGACTGGCAGATCCTCATTTGTTGTAGGCAGTTACTTTGGTTGCATAAAATTAGGCGTCTTTCAGGAGACTTTTTATCATGTAAAAGTAGACATAGGAAGTTCCTATAGCAAATCCCTATGTCTACTTCTACATGAATACATTCAATAAAATTTTATTTATAGATGAATTTCAATGTATACTATACTGTAATTGCCTTACTTCGTGATCGTATATCATCTTTACTTTAGTTACAATAATATTACAGTCAGCACAACGTTCCCTACAATCCCCACTGCCACAAACGTGGATTTTATATTTTAAAATTACATCATAATGTGTAACAATTTCATCCCTAAATTTAATACCCTTAATTAGAGTGAGAGTGGAAACCCCTACATTTTTAAATAAGAGGTAAGGGTTTGTGATATATCATTTGAAAGGTCTTTTAATTCTCTATTCGGCCACATTATAATAATCCTGAAAGACGCCTAATTTTATGCAACCAAAATAACTTTGAATACTTGCTTTAGCTTCACAGAAAATAAATTTCTAGCTCCTTTAACTGTTATTGGCACTATACCATTCGGAAATATCAACTCTTTCTTTAGATGAATACATCGCATACGAACCGAAATTAGAATAGGGAAGTCAAAGCGATAATATTCAAATTAATTAAGATCATTTGTTGTACTTAGTTATTTTGGTTGCATAAAGTTAGGCGTCCTTCAGAAGACTTTTATCATTTAAAAGTAGACATAGGAAATCCCTGTCTACTTTCTACATGAATATCACTGTAGATAATATCACAGTAAATCTGTGATAATATATAAGCACAGATATTTAAATCTGTGATATAAGGGAGTACATGGTTAATCAGTGAGGATGATCAGTAGAAAATAAAAACACCAACAAAACAAAAATAACAAAAAGTGTTCTCTATTTTTATTAACATTATTATGAATATATTCAAAACCAAGTAGTACTGTACAGTATAACTAAAAGTAGTGTTCGTTACACACTTGGTTAGGAATAGATTAGCTAAAGGTGCATGAGACCACTCGCTGACGCGTGAGCCAGTAGCACATTCGCTGCTTGTTGAGTTTCTAAAAGAAGTCTGGTTTCATCAATCCACTGACTAGCAACGATTCTTGAAGCACCATCTAGTAAATTCATATATCGCAACGTTTGTGCGAAATCGCCTCGATCAATCCAATATCTGCAAATTTACTCCTAACACAAAACGACACCAATAATGAGATTACCTGGCCCTCTGTAAAATGTCATTGGTACTAAGACCACGGAAGTCTACCTCCGAATCTTCAAGTTCAGCTTGCGGTATTGGACTGGCAGCTTTAACCAACAACATCGCATGTATAAATGATAAAATATGCAACGGCAATCTTGCACCTCCCTCAGGTACCAGGGCGAGTTGCCGCGCTACAGTTTCGACTTTAAGAAAACGCTCCCTTAGCGCATCCTCAGGGAAAACACCCCTCTCTTTAGCTTTCGCCGGAATTCCAGACAACACAGTTTTGACAAGTTCGTCAGTCTCAGCTGTAAACGCGCGCGAAATAAATGGAAAGTTTGTAAAATTCCCACTGTACCTGCCGCATTTTTCACCGCCGTTATTTCGGACTCCAAAGGCCTCAGCTGTTCTGTCCAAGGCACACCCGGGCAACCCGCTTTCAGTGCACGAAACAGACTCTGGCAGGCGCTCCACAATAATTGCGACTGTTTTTTAATTGTGTCAGATTCCATTCGAGCTACAATAAAGAACTTAACTTATTGAGATAATCCGCGCTTCCTATCTGTTTTATGCTTGAGATTTCCACAGACACAAACCGTACCTTCTGTACTTCCATCTTCTGCTAACATTTGGCAGCATAAAACAAATAAGTATGATCATGAAAGGGAGTTTCTACTAAATGGTTATTCCTAGGTATTATCTAGTACTTGAGCAAAGACCACAGAATACCAAAATGACTACAAAATAATTCGCCGATATCGTTTTGGTATTCCCTAGAACTCTCTTCTTTGAGAAATTGGAATTTTACTAGTTCATGTGATGGAAAGTGAAATGTTCAAAGCAAAATGTGGATAAAAGTAACCTTTGAAAACTTGGTCCATTCCCCTTACTCGACCAGCCAAAGCTGACAACTGCAATTTAAATTTGCACTTTTCGGCCATGACTTTTTCGTCGAGATCTCTGGCGAAATTGCGCCCCAACTCATTTTCCTTCGACTCCAAAGCATCGTGTAGATGGTCCGCAAATGCCTCCGATTGCACCTTCAATTGATGACGTAGTTCCTTTTCAGATTCCGCGCGTAGCGCCAAACACTGAAATTGATGTCTTTTTTTAGGCGATTCACCACAACCACAACCTTACCTTTTTTTGAAACTCTAACGCTAAATTTTTTCGCTCTTTATCGATGAGTAGATCAATTTGTGCATCAGTTAGCAATTCCGCATTTCCTTTGCGCGCATTTTCCAAAGCAACCCTAATTTTTTGCTGCTCCAATACTTGCAACTTGCACAGTTCTTTTTGATAAAACAAAACATTGGAGAACGCGTGCAAGATAAATAGATCCAACTCGCCGCCTTGCAAAGTTAATTTCCTATCGTGAATGTTTACACCGGGGAATAAAGTTTCGATTTCTTCTATGAAGTGATTTCGAGCCTCCTCCACTTTGCTCCAATATTTATCCGTAAGACTTAAATTCCTGCTCAACTCGTCCAATTCGTCCTTGGCTTTCCTAATATCCTCCTGCACCCTTGTAATATTTATCTGGGCCTGTTTCTTGGTCACGTCAGGTGCTTGAAAATCGGGCTGTTGCAAGATGGACTCTAACTGTTTGATGTGCTGTTGGGTTTCCTTATACAATTGCTCCGCTTCGCGCGTCGTCTGCTCCTTTGCTTTCGTCTTTTGTCTCAACGAATTCCATATTTCGGGATCTAAACGTTCGACGGAATTCTCTATTACTACTTCCACATTTTTACTGTAATTCCGTAACGCTGTAACTGCTTTGTTGTAAGCCTGAACGGCTTCCGAAGCCAGACCTCCAATTTTCGTCTCGAGTTCCAAAATCTTCTTCGGATGACTCGGATATAAATTTTCTGCCGGTTTTTTATCACCACCTGTGAAAAAGCAAAACATTCAGAACAATGTGCGGCAACACACAACTCCTAAATGTAAAACTTCGACACATGTAACAGCTCCAAATGAAAGAACTCAAAAATGCATAAAAAAATTAATTCAATTCATTTACCAATTGTGACTTCGGTTTTCTCTTTGTCGACTTTTTCAACTCGTATTTCGTTATATGGCGCTTCCTCTTTCTTCGAATCCGCTAGCTTAGAAAAGGCGGGACTAGGAGCTAAAACTGACGTGATCACTATCAATTTCGTTAAAACTCAACTTACGATGATAATCCTTGGGAGTCACTGGTATATCCGATGAAACTTTGGTCTTCTTCGCGCCCACAAAAACGCCCAACACTGACCCCTTAATGGAATCTAAAGCATCCGTGAAGCTTTCCAAATACGTTCGTTCCTCTTGAAATAGAAATTTAATAAATCCGTCCGTTAATGGTACATTTGCGCCTAACCATTGTCGAAAGTTTGGGTCATATTTCGCGTAGGCTATTGTACCTCCTCCGATTAATGTGAAGAATCCAACAGTGTAAAATGCTCCTGAATTGTGTTTCTTCTTCGGCGGAGGACATACGTTCGTTTTGTCACTGGCAAACCGATGCTGTCGAAGACTTTGAGGGTAATGTAAATTAGCTTTCTGAAAATACGCTCGATCACTATTAAATATGCTAAAATCCAAGAGCAGGTGACAGATTTTTGTTATGAAGATGACATAACAGGTCATGTCATAAGTATTAATACTCTAAAATTTTGGGAATTGAAGGCACTTGTACTTACTTTTCTAAGGGAATTTGCTGAAATTTTAGTTACAAAAATTCGGTACATGGCTTATGATATCCAGTTTTAATGTTGCAAGAATGAAATCCAAATTACTTCTGGACCTAGGATCTAGTTGCAGAAAGTAAAATAATTATGATTGATTAATGGGTATTTCTATACAATTTTATACCACGGAGATTTCGAGATGAATTCTAAAGTTTTCTTGAATATGTGAAGGGTCTTAATGATACGCTGAAAATATTCATTTGTGCCCCTGATCGTCCCAATTTGCCATACCGATCTTCCAATTTTTCACCCTAAATTTTAGGAGGTTAGGTTTTTGGTGTATATTTTCTTAAGTTGGCTTTACTGATATTACATAAGCATAGCAGTCATTTTTAAATTTACTCCTGATTTATAAGCTAATTTATGATCAATTTTGTAGTCTAATGTAACTGAATATTGTTAGGTAACATCCAAAACGAATTTACAACGATTCCGTAAAGTTTTTTTTACAGAAATGTCCCTCAAAGTTGTATTAAATTTGACCTCGCAGGCAGCGTGTCTACCGGTACGCACGGAGTGTCTGAAGCAACCACAGGAAGCAACATCGTTTCTGCTTTACACACTGCAGGTTACAAATTACCTGCTGAACGTTAACAGATTTAGAATTTAAAAGAAATCGTATTACTATTCTTTAACAAATGGGAAACCCCCAACAAATCGACAAGTTTAATTTTCCACATAAGATTCATATACCGGCAAACTGATAATGGTAATTATGAGAACTAATAAGGAAGGGGCTTGTGTATTATTGGCTAGGATTTAGTTAAGCTTCTCAATATGGCGGATGTTGCTAGGCGATGAAGGTATGCCTTTCAAAAACACGGCATAATAACTTTTGTTTTAAATATTTTTCTGTTGTTTACAAATAAACTTACCTACTTTTTTAAACAACTAATTTTTTCAAAGACTCATCGTTCAATTAATTTTCGTTTCTTCTGTAGCATTTGGCTCGCTATATAACACGATTTACAGCTAACCATGTTTCACTTTAATGTCAATTAATTGTCAAAGTCGGCCATATTGTAAAACCTAGTTGGACCCCAACAAGCGTACGTTATATGTCTGTAACCCTCATTCCTTATTATATTATTTTACTTTGCTTGAAGTAAGTCGTTGGATGAATACCTTGATGTTTTGATTGCCTGAAAGACATGATAGTGATAGATCAATAAAATACTAGATTTTGTTTATATCACACAAGAATGTATGATATCTTAAGATGAAGGAAACTATTTTTCTAGATTTTCGGAAGTTTCTCATAGCCATCAGGGAGCTGCTGCCATATTAGGTTACTAAACGATTTAGGCCCTACCATTTGAAAGTTTCAATAAAAAAATAGAAATTGAATTTGTTTCCCAGAGTGTTTGTTCTACCTACACTATACTTATATCTTCCAATATAATAAGTTCATATCATATGGAACGCTTCATACAATTTATTTCAATAGTAGCGCTCAGAAAAATGTGAAATATTAAATATTTCTAGGCCGTATTAGATGATGCAATATTTATTGCAATTCATTCCCCCAAAAGATTGCACGAAAAATTGATACGTGTATTGTCAAAATTGCACGTGCAACTTCTTGCTGTAAAGACATTCTGCAATTTTATAGTTTCGAACTTGTGCTATTTTTCTTGCAATTAACTTTTACATAGTAGACGAAAATATTTTTTTTGACCCACCCTATAGTACTCCGTAGAGACACTTCCATCTTAACCCTAACCTAACCTGACTTATCAACAAGTTGCATAACCTCAACATAAAATAATGTTAAACATAAATCGCTTATTTTTAGCATTTCAACCTACAAAATTAACAAATTTATTTGCAAATAGATCATCCAACTCCCTATTAAAGTATGTACCATTGGCGCAATCCTCTTACAAACAATATTCTACTGGTTTTTCGGGCCAACCGTCGACACTTCTGCAAAATTCTACGCTAGTCGATATAAGTAACAGTATTAATTCACGCAGCGTGACGAAGTTCTCGATAAAGAAAGGAAAACGAAAAACTGTGAAAACCGTCCTAATGCGATTTTACAGATTAAATTGGGGCGGTTGGGTGCGCACGATCGCCGGTCGACACAGAAGAATGTGGAGCAAAAGTTATCCACGGCAGGTGAGGGTTAGGCAGCACGTACTTTGTAATTCGACACAGTGCACGCTTTTGGATAAAATGGTTACTAATTACTGGAGAAAGCCGAAGTACTACGTCGAGGACCCATATGAACCTTATCACACTCGTGAAGAGTTTGAATTTACTGCACGGAAACCAAGAGCATATTTTCCACCTGAATAATTTAAATACATCTTATAAATACAGTAAATGTAATAAAACTATTTTCTGTCTTGCATTTTGTTAACCAGTTACGCTGATTTTGAATATTGAGAAAAAAATGTTCACAATTTTGAAAGGGAGAAGACCAACGGTACTCAATAAAATATTTAAAGGTTTTTAGTTATGGTCTTAAACCACTTTTATTTAAGAAATGGTAATGTATGGATTACAAGAAAAATATGTGTATCTGCTATGCAGATTAAATAACCCAACCATCATTAGTTTGGTTTCTTTATGAGGTTTCTATCTCCAATTCTGCTCTAATAATTTCCTTTCAAATCTAACTGTCACCACCTGCTCCGATACTTCATTTCCATCTCTTGTAGTTATCGTTTATCAAAATCAAATTTTCACTTCCGAAGGTTTTCTATTTGAAACTAGGCGCTTTATCTTCGAAACAACAGCCCTTTGCCATTTTACTCTATTTATAGACTATCAAGTTTGTCAGCCATTTAACACAATTTGACTTTTACATAAAACAAAATTTTATAATTGAGAAACAACTAGGTAGTCGCAGAAAAACCAGATAAAGATGAAAAATTCTGCCAATCAATTGAGTAATAGAAAAACGTTTAAAATATTCTTCTTAAAAAAAATTTTATTCTAAAAATATAGTAATATATTTTCCTTTTATCCTATTATTTATTGTCCATAATACATTTAGTATAGGTAATAACGTTTTATATTTAGTTGTGGCAGTGCAAAAGACAAAAGTGTGACGGGAACAGAAACAATTTGATGGAAACGTTTGCCAAAATGTATCCTATTTTGCTACATGGGGAGCCCATAACCTCAGGTTTTAATACTATTATTTAAATAAAAACAACCTGACACCGTCCAATATTTTTCAATTGAAATCACTTGGCCGACTACTACATTTCTATTCTAACAGACATCACAGAACCCATGCTTACCAAGGTTAACCTCAAGGAAGGGGAACGCAGATGGTTCAAAACAATCAAAACAAACGATCGTCAAACAGGGATAAGGATCAGCGTAAATACTGTTTGTGAAATAATTATACTCCTTATATAATGAAGGTTTATTAGTTGTATCATACATAAGAATTAGTATAACATAAAAAAAACTCAAAACTACAAATAAACCAATGTTACTGCACGCCATTTCTTAGCAATTATTTATACCATTTTCCATAAAAACCTGCAAATAATAAAAAAAGCACTAATTATATTCTATTTAAAAAAAATGTAAAACATGGTTGCAGATTGGCAGCTGGTATTGTCACTTAACGCTTATTTCGTACTTGCGACCAACCCTCTTCTCGATCGGACTGTGTTTGTTCGGATGCTATTACAGAATACCCAAATTAAAATATGTCACAAAAATACGTGCAAAAATTAAATAATTTTGTATACTTACACTTATCGACTTTAGCAGGAGCAGGTCGGCGTTCATCTGGGTTTCTTCTAGGGGCGTCTTCCACCTTTCTCCAACTGCTACCGCCGCCGCTGCCGCTATCTTTACCTCTGGAAGCTCCACGCCACGCCATATCCTTTCCATCGCGGCGATCGCGATCATCCATGCGTCGATCGGGACGGTCCCTATCATCTCTTCGATCCCTGTCGTCGCGGCGATCACGATCGTCACGGCGGTCCCTATCATCTCTGCGATCTCTCATGTCGCGTCTATCACGATCGTCTCGTTCCACTCGACGATCACGATCATCCCTATCCGTTCGACGATCACGATCATCCCTATCCATGCGACGATCACGATCATCCATGCGTCGATCATCTCTATCCATCCGGCGATCGCGATCGTCTCTATCCATTCGACGGTCGCGATCATCTCGGTCAACGCGACGATCGCGATCATCTCTACCTATGCGGCGATCGTCCCTATCCATTCTGCGGTCACGATCGTCTCTATCCGTCCGGCGATCCCTATCATCGCGATCGAGACGTCCGCGATCTTCCCTACCGCCTCGACGGTCACGATCATCCCTATTACGATCGTCGCGGCGATCTCTATCATCTCGTCCGAAACGATCGCGATCCCTGTCGTAATTCCGATCGTTATAACTACCGTGATCTTTTTCATCTTTTGCGTACTGCTCCCTTGATCTCCAAGACGTCTTACCCGCATCGGGGGATCGCGTGTCTTGTGAGTCTCTTTCTCCGCGCAATTGAGCTGTAATGATAATTGGATGACACATACATCTTGAAAGAATATGCTCTTTGATTGAACTTAACAAAGGGCGTTTAAATTTGATGTAACATACCTAAATTTCTAAGAAAATTGCGGAAAATCTACAGCAGTCCCATCTAGATTCAATACCGATCGACTTGCCTCTCTTAATTTATCAGAAGAATAAAAACAAACTTACGTGGTTTCCAGGCTTCAACTTTTTTGGGCTCCTCCCCTTTATCTGCAGCTCCTTTTCTCCAAACGTCGGCACCTTCACCGCGCCGCGGCGTGTCGGTCGCCCACGAATCGCCTTTACTTCTCCACGAACTGCTATCTTTAGGCGCTTTGTCGCGTATCGAATCTTGTTCGAGCTGCTGTTGCAATTTACGTTCCACTTCCTCTTCCTTCTGCCGCTGTTTTGCGGAGGATCTCTCCAGCATTTCCGCTCGCTCGCGATCTCTCTTCTCCTTCTCTTCCCTTTCCGCTTTTTCTTGCATTTCTCTCTCTTTCCGGGCGGCTTCCTCTAATTTCAACCGCTCGTCCTCCTGGCGTTGCAGTTCTTCCTCCCGCCTTCGTTCTTCCTCCTCCTGCTTTTGTTTCACCCATTTCTGGTGACGATCCTCTTTGCGCATTTTCTTGCGTTGGGCTAAACGCTTTTTGCGCTCCTCGTCCAAATGCTTCTCAAACTCCTTCAGCTTGTCCTAAAGAAACGACGAATACTAAAAATGAAGAAAATGACAATAACTTACTTCATAGACGATATTTCGTTCTTTCATTAACTTCTCGAGGAATTGATCTTTGTCAGATTTCATTCTTTCCAAACGCTGGCGATTTGAAACGGCCATTTCGCGTTCTTTAATGGCGGCGGCTATACGCTCCTTCTCCTGCTGTTCCCAGAACGTTTGATCCTGTAACTGACGGTCTTTTAAAAATGCCTGCAACAGTGGGATTTCTTCCAGGCGCTTGGCTCGTTCGTAGTAGTCCACTTTCTTCTCTTGGGATTTTAACTTGGCTTGCAATTCCTTGCGCTCCTTTTGCAGTTCCTCATGTTCTCTGGCAGCGATTTGATCGGCATCCATTTTTTTTATATCCTGTATGAAAGTGATTTTCGATTATTCGATAATCAAGAATTAATCAGACTTACATCCTCATCCAGTTTCTTGAGAATCTTCTGGCCATGACTAGTTTGCGAAATCTGCTGCATTTTCTCTTCTCTTTGGCGATCTTTAATTTGTTGTATCTCGTTTAAGGCCCGCTTACGTTCACGCTCCTCTCGTTCGTGCTCGAGACGTTTTTGTTCAGCTAATTGTTGCTGCCGCTGCAACTCTTCAATTCTACATAAAAAATTATTAAGTTTACTTAAACAGCACGTTCATCAACCTTCTCTGCTCCTCTTCCTCACGAACAGTATTCAAACGTTCAATATATTCCTTGCGGTCTTCAATTATTTTGTGACGTTGCAAAATACGTTGATGCTCATGTATTTTTGTTTCGTGATAGTTCGTTACCATAAGCGAACGTTGCTTATCACGTTGAATCTACAAGCATTTATTAATGGATATTCGTTGTGGGTGCGGTGGGTGGTACTACCTTCTTCTTATGAGGGTTAATAATATTAATGGCTTGATGCAGTACAGTCGACATATTTACAAGCTGATTCCGGACCTGCTCGCTCGGCATCGATTGCAGAGTGGGACCTTCGGGTTTATCCTCGCGCTGACTTTCACTAAGATCAATTCCGAAATGTACACACTGCTTCCCGTGATCGATGCGAATTTGCATGTCGTTATGTCTAACACAATCAACTAAAAGGCGTTCCAAATGAAAACTAGTTGTAAATTTCGCTAATTGAATTAGTCTCTTAAATTCGATTGTTTGGTATACTTGAGCTATTTGGCGCACTAATCGAACAAGGGTAACGTCTTGAAGGGCGGGAATATATTGTTGTAAGGATAGATTTTCTTCGGTTCGTAGTGCCACAATGACGGATTGAACACGTGTGCAAAGAAGTAATGGATGAAAGTCCACTTCTAACCAGTTGTACAGATCTTGTAGCTGTGGTATGGCTAAGTTTATAACGTTCACCCTTACCTGTTTAAAAGAATGTTTATTAAATTGTGATACATACAGCGAAGTATGGTTTATTTTTCTCAGTTGCATAATCAAAATTTAAAATGTCACCAGAAGGAAATAATTAAGTAAGATCTGTAGAGATCTCTACTTACTTAATTTTCGTTAAATAAATGCTCATTGTACCAGCTTCCAAATGTTACGTTATACACAGACCGTCCCGTGTGGCGCAGTTCAGTTAAAGCTGGACTGTGGTGCTAATAGTCTGGATGCCAAACTGGGATTTTTAGCTTAATCTGGAAGTGAGGTACGGTGAAGGTTTTTTTTGACGGTTTTTAGTTCGTAAGGATGTCTACTTTGAAAATCCGTTTGATGCCACCGTGACACCCTTGAGCATTTTGAGAAATTCAAGATGGCGGCCAAAAAAATACAAAAATTAAAGTTTTAAAAAATATGGGCATGTAGCACATCGATTTTAGGGTTTTTAAACCTTCTGAATTTAAATTTTTAGTTAAAAATATGTTTGGGGAGTGTTTTTGAGGGGTTGGTTTTTATATTTTTTCAATATTAACGTGTCGTACATCGATTTATATGTTTTTATGGATAAGGTTCCCGAATTCCATATCAAAATGGAGCTACAAGTTATGCAATGTTAAAAAAGTAGAACGACGACGACAGACGGCACGAAAATAATATAAAACGCGCGCCTGCGCTGCACAACGACATCATTTTGATAAAAAGATAAGTGCGATACGTCTTTTTATAGGTTTTGGGGTGGAGATTACAATTTTGATGTCAAAATATGATTTTTGCATAAATCCTAGAAAGATATACAAGATAGCGTCAAAATTTAGAGTTAAAAAGTTTACCATTTACTCCAATACCCTTACTTAAATATCCCCATCCCACATATCCCATTTGTAAAAAAGTATACTATCTAGTCCAATATACCCCTACCTAAATAACCCCATTAATTGTTTTTTATTTTTGGTAGAAGTCAAAATTACTGGTTGAGAGGGAAGTATCGTTTGTTCTGTTAGAACATAACGTCTAGCAGAATGTTTTCCTCAACTGGTTCTAGTGGATGATTTAATACTGTAATCGTAGTATTTACCAAAATTAAAATCACATCTGCTTCTTGTAAATAAGCAACAAGTTTATCAACAAAGAGTTTTAGGTAATCAGAAACCGTTCCTCGAACTGGCCAGTGTATTACCCAAACCATTGCACATCCATCAATTATTGTTAAAGGCGGTCTAGTATTTAGTCTCTTAGACTGGGAAACAGCCAGTGAATTCATATGAACCGATTTTGTTGATGCCTCCTTCATCGATCCATCATCATTAAACATTGAAGGAGGCGCCGAAGATAGTTCGTATTTCAAAACTTCTGCTATATCAATGTTTCTGAAAAAACACATACTGAAAAAAAGTTAATATTGTAACTGTGAAAATGACTACTAAACTAATAGACCGGGGGATAATGACAGATTTTCGGACGTGATTTCTTACAGTATGCCTCTTGGAGTATATTGAGGTGTGGATATTCTAATGTTAATAACACAACTATGAATGAATCATTCTTCATATAATATGCCGTCATTTTCTTCAGTATGCTACGAAGCTCTGGATAGGACACATAGGAAATTATTTTGTAAATTACAGTTGTAACTGGGAATTATATATACTACCTAAATACATCTATATGAAGTGAAAAACAAAGGGGCATACTGTATCAATACACGAAAATTTGTTTAACAATTTTGCAACTTCTGTTGTGTATGCCTGCACGTTTTACCATTGAATTTTATTGTCCCACTCGTTATGCCAATAGAGCATATAGATCATACGTTATTATAAACTGCATGGGAACGTAATGGCATTACTTAATTAATTAAGTTAATTAACTTTTATATATGAAGAACATATTTTTCTAGGATTTATTCAATAATCATATTTTGACATCAAAATTGTAATCTCCACCCCAAAAAATCTATAAAAAGACGTATCGCACTTGTTATAATTATTATCTTTTTATTAAAATGTAGTCGTAGTGCAGCGCGGACGCGGCGCACCGCGCGTTTTATGTTCTTTTCGGGCCGTCTGTCGGCGTCGTTCTACTTTTTTAACATTGCATAACTTGCTGTACCTCCATTTTGATATGGAATTCGGGATTCTTATCCATAAAAACATATAAATCGATGTACGACACGTTAATATTGAAAAAATATAAAAACCAACCCCTTAAAAACACCCCCCACTCCTCCAAAACGCCACCAAAAATATTTTTAACTAAAAATTTAAATTCAGAAAGCTTAAAAACCCTAAAATCGCTGTGCTACATGCCCATATTTTTAAAAAATTTAATTTTTGTAGACATTTTTGAGCGCCATCTTGAATTTCTCAAAATGCTCAAGGGTGACAGAGTGGCATCAATCGGATTCTTAAAATAGACCTACTTAGTGACCTAAAACCGCAAAAAAATTTTCACCGTACCTTACTTCCAGCTTTTTCGTCTGGCTTCCAGACTATAAGGGTCCCTGGTTCAGGCAGGGATATTTGTAAATGTATAGTGGGTTGGGTTGGTAGAGCAAGCCTTGATTGAAACCCCGCCCACTCAAAAATAAAGGCAAAATAAAATAAAATATTCAAGCTCCTTTGTTTTTATAAATCAAAAATCAAAGGTCAGTCATGCAAGGAAATTGTTATAATGGAAGCGCGCGTGTAGAAGGTAAAAATTAGAATAAAAAAATCTCAAAGAAAAAGGGCAAAACTGTAAGTAGACGGTGCAAAAAACGACGTGTGTTACCAGTCTAAACAGAAAGGACATTACAAGTTGAACTGTCCAAAAAACCACAGTACAAGTGTTAGCGCAACAAAAGCTATTTTTAATGTGGTTTTTATGAACGGTCAGGTTAGTAAAACCACAGACATACACAAACAACAGATTGCTAACCTTATGCATTTTATAGGTAACACAATTACTATTTAGGTATCCTTAAAAGCGCCTTCTATTGAGTAGCAGTATAAACACGTTCAGTAATAATATGCATATGCAGTAGATGCAAAAAATTTAAAGCGTTAAAGTTTGCACAGGCATATTGGGTGAAACATGTTACAGAAGGTTTGGGCATCTCAACAATAATATTTAAGGTTAAAGATTATTATACAATGACGAAGACTACCTTGGCCAGGATCTTCGTGAACTCTGCCGACAGCGTTTAGCATACCTGGACCCTAGCAGCGAGTACGGAAATTCCGACGTGTCGGCGGATCTCACTATACTGCATTCATTATAAGAAGGTAGTAGATGGCGCTGTGTTTGAAGATAAACACACACAGGAAAAATATAAAACGGCACCAAATTATTGTAAAGTAGAAATATTCAGCACTGCGAACAGAAATAAATCTTTGACAATAACAACTATTGACACATCGGCAGTTTAGTTGGCAACATAAAACTACCACCTTACAAAATTTACCAGTCGTTTTATGTTTCATTGTAATACTGACTCGTGTTTTAACCAATCACAGTGAAGGTCAAAGCTTCTCTATGCTTTCTACTGCTACCTTCTTAAAATGAATAGGTACAGTATAGTCCATGGTACACACTAAATTTTTTTTAATTAGTATGCGAGTCCGAAAATAATAATAATAATCCTCTTTATTTCCATGGACACATGATTGTAGTGCATCAACTTCCAGAATTTGAACTAAATTGTTAATTAACAGTGGGCAAACGCATTAAAATGACATATCACATTGGAAATCATGACAATTACCTAGCATTCAAATTTAAATCGACATCGTCGCGCTAAAACTTACATAAGGATTGCATTCCCTATGTTCTCTGTACTGTAACATCAAGGTGAGACGGACTACCGTTTGTGAACCGATTTCCAAGTATTTCAAATTGTTACCATTTTTTTCTCGCTCATGTGTTGACATGTGATAAGACAAAAATCTGACACAACAGAATACCGAACGATCCACGTGATCTTCACGCATCCATCATTTTTGCAACACACCTTAAGGGGTTGATTCTGTTCCACCAGATCAGCATAACTTGTAAAACCAATTTTTGAATCAGAATTAGTTTTACTTTAACTCAAGATCAACATACAAAATCTCATTTAAATATCTTAACAAATAAATAAAATGCGCAAAACAAATTCTTTGATTCAGCATAAGTTTTCATTCCAGGGACCCCCTGAATTTTGCAAAGATGTTGTTGACACTTTTTCTATTTTTGCCACAAAAATTACAGTAACCTACGTGTTGTCTTATAAGTTTTGACTTTAAGTCACTTAATGTTAACATTTCCTTCAAATATTCAACGATTATATCAGATTTCACATGGTGGATTTTTAAACTCCAAAATTTCAACTTGTACACATGATCGCTACACCGCGTTTTTTTACAGAAACGATATGTTTTGTAGAAACAAGACACATTTGTGTTTGTCCGGGACAATGGGACATATATCACGAAAACGGGATTGTCCCGTTCAAAATGGAACATAATAATCGACTGTTTCCAGACTTTTTATTAACCTGTATAATGTGGACAAAAGACAATTAATCACAGCTTTATAAGTTCTGGTGTATTCAGAGAATTTCCGATGTAACTATTCTGGATGAAATTTGGGAAAAATGTTCATGTTCCAAAATTACTACCTACCTTGATTATAGAAATAATCAAATATTGTAAATTGAATATCAGATTTTTGCCCAGACCTATAGGTACCACCTCAGAGAAGAAACACATTCCACATTTCAGTTAAACATATTTGATAACCTTGTATGAAAATAAATTTGTTTCCATGGAAATTAACAGTCAGACTAAAGAAATTTACAAGGAAATTTTGAAAATGCAACTGGAACTCATTTTGTCATAAAATGGTATTTTACCAAACACAGATGTGTTCAACTTACAATATCCTTTAGAAGGCTATTGCGAGTAGGTGGCTGCAATAACCCCAACAAGACGGCCAACCGCTGTGCTTTCTCCAGCGGTGACTTATCAGTCTCGATAAACCTATCGAATTCCGGATGGGCAGATGGCAGGGGGATTGATAGAGTTGCTAGTAAAACACGACATGCCATTCTAAAAAAAAACAGCAAAGTTAAAATACAAGACCCTTAGAAAACGATTTAGCAGACTTTTGCAATTCCTCTTGTGTGATGTTCTTCTTCATTTCTTTCGACAATTGGAAAAGTTTAAAAAGCGCAGCCGCATGGAAAAGGTAGTTCCCCGCCTTCCAGAAGACCATAGCGAGCTTTTGGTAGTAATTCGCCATCGTTTTCGGCACAGGTAATTTTTTAGACATGTTCATCAAACCGTGAATATCTTCGATGGCTTTGTACGCTTCCTAAAGCATCTCAAATTGCGAATTGGTCCAATTTTAATAAAAGAAACATACCTGCCACAATTCCATTTGAATAGCAGAGTCCAGCTGGAAAAGTCTCGTCTCTAAGTTTAACTGTTGAGTTTCGGGTTTAGTAATGGAAACATTTACAACTTGAGTAGGCAATTTGCAAATATCTTCCAAGTGTTTCCTCAACTTATCACAGAGCTTACGAAATTCTGTTTTACGATTATACTTCAAACAAAACTGAAATGCCATCCGCGCAATATCGTGATACAAAGTTTCAACGTGAGCATTTGTACGGAGCAGCTCGAGACATTGGCAATAAGACTCCCATAAAAACTTGACCCATGGTGTTAAGATGGTACGGTCTGAACGGTCTTGGGCATCCTCACCAGAAACTGCACTATAGCTGAATGTTAACACAAAAGCTACTTAGGCAATTTAGTTACCTTAGCAAAATGCTTTCAGGAGTTGCAAGATTATCCAAATCATCTATGTCGATGACGGCCTGGGCCGACTGCTCCCTTGCATTTTCAGTTTTTTCCTCTGCCATACGTAGGTAACCACGAATGACATTCTCTAATGAACCTACGTTCACCGACTGAAACATATTACGGTACTGAAACAACCCCTCCTTGGCGATGTGCGATTTTTTCAGTTCTACGCACAAATCTAGATATTTGAACATAATCGGTTCCAGCACCGACTCCGACCAATTGTTGTAAGGCCATTTTTTGTTACGAAATACCTCTTGTAAAGTATCTAAAGCCCGCGCAGGCTTTCCGACTTCGATAAATTCTGATAAAAGATGGAATACGTTATACAACCTCAAAATTCCAACGTGGATAACATATGCCGAATATCTAGTACTCACCGGTAGCTCGTTTTAGCGCATTTTCCGGACGTTGGCCGTATCTAGCCATTTTAATGTTATTGTTTGCGACTTTTTTTACATTTAAGGATCACAACGAAAGTTGTATTTAACAGATTTTTAAGGAAGTGTCAAAGACTTCCATAAAAACACCTGCAAAATGGACGGCGTATAAAATGGACAAAGTACGATCTTGGAATGAATATGCGCAGGCGCAGGCCGCCGATTTAATTATTGGAACTACTACATACAATTTGATCTACTCCATCTTACTTGTGGAGCAAGTTCCCCGAATTTCAAATAATTTTGAAAGTGCTATGATAGCACTGCTATCCCACTTTTCCAAACCAAAATACACTGTTACACAGCTTATGAGGTTATTGGCAAAGTTCTCTAAATTCTGGCATAGAGAGCTTTGAAAAGTACCAGAAAACTTTAATGGACTTAAATAACGCCTAGACACATTTCGAATTTCAATTGCTCTGGAAAGAAATTCATTCACTGAAAAACACTCCAACAGTTTGGGAAAGGGTTTAGAATACTCTTCAGTCCACTCTACTATAGCGTTTTGCAGGTTTGAGTCACGAGTCACCTTTGGAATTTTCAAAGGCGACTCGACAGCAACTCATTTTTGATCGCCCGTTAGCTATGCAACACATTTCCAAATTAAAAATTTAATAAAAATTACTCCGTAGTGCTTCATTGCAAAGCCATAATTTCTAATTATATGATTACTGTTAGTGCTTGTTCGATCCATGGAACCAACATTTAAGAGTGAGTAGCGCGAATGATCTGTAGTAGTTCAAATACAGGCGTTACTTCTCTTGTCAGCTGTCAGAATTCAGAAACTTTCCACTTATCGTTTCTTGAGAAAGATATTTGTTTCACAGGTTGTTTGCAATTATATTAATTAGCCATGGGTTGTGATGGTGGAACAATACCTCGACGTGATGAATTAGTTAGAGTGAAGAAGAAGCCTGAAGCTGTAAATGTAACGCTGCGTATTTATACTCAATTCATTGGTTTACCTTTCAGAAAGACAAGGACTTCGAATTAGCTTTCCAATGGCGTTGTTGTTATCTATCGCAACAAGTCTTACAATCGCCGATAGTTATGTGCGGGCTTGGCCATTTGTATAATAAAATTGGGTTAATCGAGGGATTGTTGAACCGTGCAACTCTCCCTCAGGGTGTTAAGCACATTAAAAGTTTAAAGGTAGCGACTGCCTGGTTGTCGCTGTGATTAAATTAGTTGTAATGTAATTTTAGGATGTGAAAAACTTAAATTTGACACCAAATCCAGAGTACAAGTCTAAGGACGAGAAGAAGGAGGGTGGTGTAGATACCCGCTCCGCTCCATACATTTGCCCAGTTACTGGCTTGGAAATGACTGGAAAATATAGATTTGTGGGCTTATGGTCGTGTGGATGTGTGTTCTCCGAGCGATCACTGAAGGAAATTACTGGAAATGTTTGTCATAAAGTAAGTAATCAAGTTGTACTGTTGACCTTAACGCCGTTCTTTGTTGTTCTAGTGTCAAAAAGAATACAATAATGAAGATGTTGTGGTCTTAAACGGTAACGAAGAAGATTTTGTGATTATGAAGAAAAATATAGAGAATAGACAACAGAAGCAAAAACAGGAGAGGGAAAAGAAACTGGCACCAAAACCGGCTACTGTGGTAAGCAAAACTGAATGTGCGTCAACGAGTCAGGTACAACTTGAATGAATTAAATTGCATCCATTTCATTTTGTCTTTGTAGATAAAATCTGAGAGTCTGCCACAAATTGCACCAACTGCTGCCGTTAGAGGCGTTGTGAAGCGAGAAGGCAGTACTGAAGCTCTGAAAGAAAAAGCGAAGAAGGTTAAGAAGGATTACAGTGTTGCAAAGGACCCTCAAGCCTCGGATGTTTACAAGTCGATTTTTACCACACACTCGTCTGAGAAGCAGCAAAATCGTGCCCACTGGATCACATACAACCCATTTTATAATTAATTGAGATGAATTTTAGTGTAGTTTTTTACATTTAGATGAGAAAATATTTTATCCAATGAAATAAATGTAATTTTTAAGTCATGGATCTGTCATCTTATTATTACCGATTCTTTATTCATGGGGTCCGTCACCTATTAAAAATACCTACCTGGAATTTATCTCTGGGGTAACAATAAGCGGTTTAAGTAGTGTAGTGTTAACCACATTGCATCCTTGATATTTATTACAAATATAACTGAAGTATAGTGCCCCTACAGTGCAATTCATTCTTTCTTCCGTTTCCCAAAATCATCCACTCATCATCTGTTCACCTGTTCATTACTGAAAAGAGTTGTACCTACTGGCAAATTATTCAAATAACTGAAAAACAAAGAATCAACCCTAATAGTTAGTCAGATCTTTATTGTACCAAATCCACTTCATGGAACCAATTATGTAGTCGGTCATATAGTGCTTTGGACGTTTAGGTCTAATTGATTTACATTAAGGCTCAGAATGAGATTATTGTCATCATTATTTGAATTTTTTTAATCTTCAAACTTCAATGTGATCTAATCTACGCTGTTTTTGGGTTCCACTGTATGTACAAGTAGGTACTTCAACTTCATGTACAGTCTTTTCCTGTTTGTTTTTTTAGTACTATTTTGGTGAGTGGTACTGGGAAAACACTCACCAGAATCGTTACTTTTTCTTTTACAAAGATTTTCTTTTGAACTGTACGATGATGATGTGGACTTTTCAAATGGATCTATGCTGTTTTTGGGTGCCACTAATTATTTGATACCTACTATATTTCATTTCATTTATTTATTCGTTGTTGCTTTTCCTTATAGTAGGTGGCAACACCATGTCCCCAATACATACAAACAATATACTTAGCACAAATACTAAAATTACAAAATGTATAACATATTAAAACAAACCGACACATTTAAAAAACACATTAAGATACATTCTAAAATTGTGACGAACATGCAATAAATATTTTAAAAGGTTTCAAATGTTTAAGTATTCATTTAGGTGATAGTACGCTTTTTCTACTAGAAATTGTTTTAATGCAAATTGTCGAGTGTTGTAAACATGTTCAGGATTTCAAAAAAACGATTTCTTTCTAAACCCTAAGCAACATATCTCTAGAATGTATATAGGTGTCAATATCCTTAATTCTTTGAAAACCGGTCTGCACGACGTATTGAAAGGTAAAGAGCATATAATTCTAATAGCGCGTTTTTGCAGAACAAGTATGCGATGACCGTGAGTACTGCCACTCCAAGTACATATATTGTACCAAATATGAGAGTGAAAGTTGGCATGGTACAAAGTCAGTAACGTTGATTTGTTGCATAGCTTCTTAAGAACGCTTAAAGAATAGCAACAGTTTCTAAGTGACTTGCAGACAGTGTCAATGTGAGCAAACCAACCCAAGTCAGAACTTACAGTAAGCCCAAGCATTTTGGTTGTCTTACAGCACGTGAATTCATTTAAATCATATTTTTTTAAGCCAAACGGAATCACAGTAGTTTTGGCAGCGTTAAGTATGATATTATTGTTGCTGCACCATGTGCTTAATTTATCTAGCGTGAGCTTTATTTGCAATTTCAAAGACATTATACAACGTGATTTAATTAATATATTTGTGTCATCAGCATATGTTGTGATAAATGTAGAATCGCCATCATCGCCCTCTTTCAGATACGAAACCAGGTCATTGCTGTAAAGAATAAATAGCGTCGGGCCGAGAATTGAGCCTTGAGGAACTCCTGTTAAAATGGGCTTAGACAAACCACACTGGACCTTGAGGTAATTCACCGAATTGCGTTCTATCTCTAAGATAGGATTCAAACAAATTGCTAATTAATTTCTTGTGGTCAACAGTATCAAAAGCAGCCGAAAAGTCAATAAATAAACCAACAGTTAAAAGACGCTTGTCAACTGCCGAAACCACTTCTGCAATATATTGACATAAAGCTGTATCAGTCGATCTGCCTCTCATAAAGTCATGTTGAGAATCATTGATGATATTATTTTTTGTTAAATAATTGATAAGTTGATTATTAATTAAATATTCGAGTACTTTAGAAAAACTAGAAAGCAGACTGATTGGTCTGTAGTTACATACATCACTTGGGTCACCTTTTTTTAACAATGGTTTCACAATTGCGGTTTTTAAACGACTTGGATAAACACCAGAGAGGAAGCATAAATTAATAATGTGACATAGGGGGCTGGCTATTAATTTGTTGACTAATTTTAATAAATCATTATTTATTTCGTCCACTCCAGAGGATGAAGATGGCTTCAGTGATCGAATAGCAGAGACTATGTCATCTTCAACCAGCGGGGCCAGGAACATTGAAGTACTAAGCGATGTGGAAGGGGAGATATTTCCTTTGGAATTTAAAATGCTAGGGCGATTATAAAAGCGACTGAAGTGAGTATTAAATAAGTCAATTGCCTCCGAATCAGAAACAGTCTCTCCATCCCTGACAATACTTATACTGTTTATGCTCTTAGTCCGACCATTTAACGAGTTAATAACATCCCATGTAGCTTTAGTTTTATTTACGGATTTAAGTATTTTAAAATCAAAGTATCGTTTTTTTGCTAAATGGAGTTTATTTTGATATTCAACGTGAGATCTTTTAAAAGCAGTGTTGAGGATGGGAAATTTATCAGACAATAGTTTTAAATCAGCAACATGTTGTTGGATTTGATAGAGCTCCGGAGTTATCCATTTATGTAAATTTCTTTTATTTTTAGGAGTTACAGATATGAGAGGAAAACGAAGGTTAAAATAATACATAAAGAGACGAAAGAAGCATTCAAAAGCTTGATCGGAGTCACTGCATTCAAATACGCTCGCCCAAACTTCTTGTGAAATGTCCGCGACAAACTGGTCTTTATTATATTGAGAAAAAATTCTTTGTTTGCGCCCAGTGACACTAACCTTCTTTGGTTTACATTGCCTTATGATATTTAAGAGTTGACCATGGTGATCAGAGAGGCCTAGATTGACATTAGTGCATTGAAATATTAAAGATTGAGTTATAAAAATATTGTCCAAACAAGTTCTAGATTTCGCAGTAGTTCTAGTAGGTTCCTGAAGCAACATTTTTAAAGCGTAAGATGCTATAAGATCCTTTATTGCAATCATATTTGCGTTACTATATAGGACAGCCTTGAACAATACGTTGCTGATCGTGATAACAAATTTTATCATATTGCCCTCTACCGGTTTGAAGAAACAAGAAGTAGACATCCAGTATGTATATTTTAGACAAATGTCAATTTTGTTTTCTTTATATTTCTAACAAAACAATTATAACAATCCGCTAACATAACACATAGTACCTACACATAAAAATCGGTATAGAAACATGATCATAAAGAATGTAAAAACAAGTAAACAAAACAAAAATAAATAGTATAGGTACTAATCTCTTTGGTAGGTATACGTGTAATTGAACAAATTGATTTGGCAGTTAAAATCTTGAAAATATTTTACATATTGCACAAATTCCCGCCTTAAATCCTAATTGTAATTTTCGACTGTGACACATGAATGTGAATAATTAGTGATTCGTGACCGTTTATTATCATTAAGAAAAGGGATCAATGCTATCACTTAATCTTGTACTAGCTATGATTTTTCACATAAGTATTTTGAAAACAAGTATATATATCTAGCTATTTCTATTAGCTATACTAAACAGTATATTCACGTCTATATAAATTCATCAGTGGATGTAATAGTGGCTTCAATGAGCAAACCGAAATCGATCTCAGTTAAATTTGCTTTAGCAGTCAAGAGATCCAGAAACGTATCCAGTGGCGACAATCTGTCTTCGGATGGAAATGCGGCCAATCCCAATTGATAATTCCTATTTTTCTGTAGACCATGCAATCGAGGATTTTGCCCCTCAACTCCGGACAAAATATTGAGCGCGTGTTCTCTCGCGCGAATCATCAAACTTACAGGATGACTCCACTGACTCAATAGCCGCTTCAGTCTCGATCGCGGTAACAGGCTGAGCAGTTTGAGTTTGCGTTGTATTCCGGCTTTTGTATCATCAGTATCTACAACAATATTGAAATTGTACTCTTGAGGACACTCTGACGGACTGACCCATCATGATAATTTTCATAACGTCAACTTGCAGCTCGAAAACATTTCGCTGAACGTATTGCAGGAAGGTGTTAAACCGCAAAGTCCGATATCCCAAAAAGGTGAAGAACGATGTGAAGCCCTGCGGAAGCGGAAATGCTATGGATTCCACCGCCGAGTAGTACCTCTCTAATATGGCGAAGAATACGTACTTTTTTTCGTTTGGTAAATGGTCACTGCAATCAGGTAAGTACCTCATCAGCAAATACGAAAGCACTTACATGTACACAAAACCTTTTTCTTGATCATATTTTGGATCAAATCCAATTGCTTTTGATAGAATGTGGCATAAGAAGCGTGACTGTTCCAATTGTGCCGCCACATATCTCGTCGCAACAGCATGTACATGCATTGGCGTTTGCGATTGCCATTGAAATCTGCTTATCTTGTTTTCAGTGCTTTGTTTGAGTAGATGCATGCTTAGTTCACGAAGATTCTAAAAAACTGTTCGTGTTAACATATAGTTAACAAGATGCTACACCAGTATTTTCTTATGAGATCACGCTTGCCCTATCGCTTTTATTTCAATGCAGAATTACCTACAGTTGAAGTTCTGCGTCACTAGTTTGTGAACCAATTTCAATAAAGTTTTTTTATTCTCTACCGCCTGTCACACATGAGCGAGAAAGAGATGGTAACAATTTGAAATAGTTGGAACTTGGTTCACAAACTAGTGACGCAGAAGTCCTCTCTTTCATATACGCTGAGATTTCCACTGGTTCTGTTCCAATGGATGTGTTCACAACTGGTCAAATTTTTTGCACAATACAATATGGATATTTTGGGGGGCTCATGAACCTTTTGATAGAAGATGACTGATAAGGCAAAAAAAAGGTCTAACAGTACATAATTTCCCGCAAACGCACTCGATCAACTGCCATGTCAGCAAAAAGGTGTTGACAATACCCCTTTGACAAACTCTTTTTCAAAAACGTCTTTGGGCTGCTCTTACCTCTAATTGAGCATTATACCGTTTAAATTTTCCATTACTGGAACTTGCATAAACAGCTTCAACAATAAAAGGTGAAGATGTAGAAGCGTAAAAAAGACGGAATATTTGCAGTATACTACCTACCACGGAAATAACATGCTCCTGCTTGCTGGCGGTGCAACTTTCGATTTCGTAAAATGGTAAGGCGTCAATTTGGCTCTTCCGACTGCATTGGCTCATTGAGGACAAATCACTGATTGTGCTACTACTCCCCAATGCACTGCCTGGTGATAAAGGAGTACTGGAGCGCGAAAGAGCCTCGGGCTGAAATAAAAAATAAGGAGTTAATAGAACATCTCTGCTGGCGATTTACCTGATAACAAACTAGAGAAACGAGTAGCTTCTCTACAACTTGCGCCGGTTTAAATTTCTGCTTCAATTTTGCGCTTTTAATTAAATGATCCCATAGCTTTGTCCATATGTCGGCTCTATACGGTACTAGCCTTTGCTGTGGTGAGAGTAACATCATAGATGCGTTCCAGAGTGCATCTTGAGATAATGAGATTACATTGTCGTTAATTTTAATTTCGATATCGCATCCTGTGGGCTGAGTAGTGATCGGAAGTAGATTTATTAACTGACTCGCGTCGGAAGGTAAATTTCTTCGGACTGTCGAGTAAGAACTGCCAATGAGAAATTCTTTGATCAGTTGAGGAAGACCTCCAAATATTAAGGTGTCAATTTGAGAAGTGAATAGCTAAAAGTTCATTCAAGTAGAGTGTCGTTGGAATAATTGATTACCTCTATAGCTGCTTCCATGTCATTTCGATGTACCAAAAGGTAATGCATTATCGACAGTTTATTCTCAAGGGTGGTGTTATTTTTAAATGTCTGGAGTAGCTGTGGGATTGTTACGGTAAGATCAATCACTTCTAGGCTGGTTATGTTAAGCACAGTTGCCTTGCCCATTTTAAGAGCGGGTACGAAAATGATTTGTTGAGGTTCCACATCGAGTGGTTCCGATGGTATCGTAATGTGACAAGTTGGTTCGTGCAAAATCCCTACATCCAGCAATTGAGTACATATCCCTGGTATATAAACCAATATGTGGTGATCTGAAAAAACTCGATGATTGTTTGCTTTGATTGAAAAAGCCACCTTCGTATAGCATAAACGTCGGTCGAATAGTTTTGGCTTGATTCCATGGTATTCCTGGTATGACACAATGTATCACACAGCTTTGATGTAGTACCGTAACTGAGTAGGCGAAGTGTACTGGGGTGCAATCATTCTCTTCAAGGTTTGTAGTTGTTTGCACTGGCTAAAATTGCGAAGTTTTCTATGATATGTAAACGGTGTCCATTTCTCGAAAAACTGGAAGTGCTACCATGGCATTACACTTACCTGATACAAGTAATTATGACAGACACAAATAAATCCCTCAGAATCAGTTAACACCATCAAATCCAATGAGCAATTATGAATTCGCAACGGAACAGTGTCATCTTCATAGAGATTGCATGTTGAAGAAATTGAATTCAAATGTGGTAAATTTAATGGAATATTCAGCTACAATTCCACCAATCAGAGAACCAAATAAGCTAATAATTCACACATACAACAGTCTCATGGGGCAGATCTTCGTGAAATTGTAACCCAGACAAAGTCGGCGAGGTCTTCTTCTCATAATTTGGCTTGGGATCATCTTCATCCTCCACTAACCCTCTGGCTACTGTTTTGTAATGAATGTAATATAAGGTTTGATGCACGGAATCCCATTGCGCCCATAAAAACACACGTACCAAAGTTTCACAGCCTTTCATTTCAAATACGTCCCACTGTAGCTGATACTGTAAGACACCTTCAAAACGTATCAGTCAAATATCGAAATTGAAAGTTGAACTTACATTCTTCGTGAATCATTATTAGAAATTTGTCGATTTTCTTTTCGTTTAAGACGGACTGCTTTCGATACAAAAATTGAATCATTATTTGTTTCGTTCTTTTTAATTGCAAATCGATAAGGTTGCCTTTGTCAAGCTTGAGTATAAATGGTTGGTAAGTGTACGATGTGTGATCGTCGGTATCTTTGTACTCCTTTGTTACAAAACCGAGTACTGACTTATTGGAATTGAGCGATGCTTGGATTACTGTTGTGGGTTGTTCAAATTTGTAAATGTCTTGTAATGTGTTTTCCTCGTAGGAGTACACGCCAATGTGTGTTGTAGAGTTTGAGTCGCTCTCTGTTTGTGTCCATGATAATAATAGGAGACCACTTTGCTCTTGGCCCAGTAGACGCCATTCCGTTGCTCGTACTATAAAAAATACACAAATGTTTTTAGTAAGCTCAGTTCAGTTTTAAACAACAATGCTTTGTTTTTACAAAGAAACGATTTGGATTATCTACACCAAACCTGATGGAAATATTTTAGTTAATAGAGTAGGTACTTATAAATAATAATAATAATAATAATTTAATCGTTCGATCGTCATTACAATCATCGATAAGTCAAAATTAACAAACAATAATATGTATAACAATTGGACAAACAAAGTGTGTATTACATCGACTATAGCCTAGAAGTATAAAAGTGTATGAACTCTTGAATCGAATAAAAAGCATTTTTCTGGAGAACAGTCTTGATGAGAGATTTAAATTGTTTAATATCACAGTTTGTCAGGTCCTGGGGTAGGATTATTACTTCAAAAATGGTTCCTGTAATTTTGGTTTTAATTTAGATAATCAGGGAACTGCTCCGTAAGGCTCTTAAGAATTACAGCTCAGAATCGCATGTTCAGGAAGGGCATCACTCAATTCAACCCCCACTTAACATGTGACGGGCGTTTTACTCCAAGGAGTAATCCAATTGTACTCATTTAATGCGAATGAAGAGTATTTCGAGGCTGTACTGTAGAGAGTCACAAGTTCAAGGCATACTCCTGAGTTTCCTTGTTAGAAATAAATGGAGTCGGATCGTGTGGAACAGTTCAGTTGAAGCTCGACTGCGGTACTAAAAGGGTCTCTGGTTCGAATCCGGGTTCGGGCATGGATATTTGTCAATGTACAGTGGATTGTGTCACTCAAAAATAAAGGAAAACAAAATAAAATAAAAAATAGGAAGGCGGTAGAGGAAACAGAAGTAGCAGGGTCGTGCGACATCTTGGCGGGCTTTTCTCCTCCACGCCTCCGCCTCCTTGTGGAAACCCAGACTGAAAATCACTAAGGGTTCTCAATCTATAAGATACTAAATTTGTCTTGGTGTTTTTCTGCGTTTTTAATTCTAGTGTCTTGGTCTATACAGATTATAGGCGCTGAGGCGCCACTTTCAATTTAAATCCTTGTTTGACAATGGGGAAATTGAAAACAGTTTGGAATAAACGATGGAGCTGATTTTCTATGTATGTTGTGTTGCATATAAACTGGAAAAAGCGATCCCGCGAGACAAAGCGCAAGCGCTCGCTGGATATTGATTAATATAGTCCAAACAATAATTACAATATTATTAAATTTGGGTTAATAATTTGGATTGGAATGAAATTCGCGAATTGTAAAATACTAAAAATATATAGGTACCTTCACTGTTTTTTGTCTGCAAAATAGCACACAATTTACTTGCGATATTGTCCACTATCACCATTTTGAATAGGTTTTTAGCGCACTTTGAAGTGTTTACATCACAAATAAGGAATTGCACATGTTTTTACGTTGTTATTAGAAGACACCGGCTACAGATAGAGATTTAGGCGCCCTTCGGCATTCTCATCAGATCAGCGCAATAAGCCAGAGTGCGCCATCTCCTCATGTCGAGTGTTCAGGCTTTTTTTTAAATATACGATAATGCACTTATGTTTTTGAAAGGTTCTCTAATTATTGGAAATGAATGATTATCATAATTGTCGCTTGATAGCTTTTGAGATAAAAGGCGCTGTCCAATGTCGTACGTTAATTGGTTGCTTTAGAAGTCACCACATTCTACAACCATGCTTGCTTAGCTTTTATTGTACTTTTTGCATGTTTACCTACTAGGTATTGTATAATAGACTCTTAAAAAAACACAAACTTTCCATACATATTTTAGTTGAATCTCGATATTCGTTTTCTGATTTTTTTAAAAGTACATTTTTGCCTTTTGTATGGACAAAGGTTGAAAATCTTATCGTTAGTGGGTCATCTACATCCAATGTTAGCAAGTTCATATAGAGATCAAGATCAAATAAAATTATATTAGTTTTATTTGTCAATAATTACAAAAATTAAATTAAATCATTGGTTGCAGTTTCGTCTCTAATAAATTTCCCCTTTACAAGCCATGGACATTGCTTTATGGACTTCATTTAAAATGTTTATGACGGTTTTATTTTCAGGACAGGTCTTTTTTAATACATGTTTCCGACAGTCATGAAGCTCGTCCAGGTCACTGAAAATATATTGCTTCGTTCCGCATAACAATGACTTCCTATAAGATCAATGTGAGTCAGTTGGCAGGGTTGAAAATGCGCTGTTCATCATAACAACTGTCTCAGATTCAAAAATACTTACGCGCACAACTTTTCTTTTGAATGAATGATTTAATTAAATAATAGGTCAGTTGGGGCACCGTCTTTATACGTATTTTGAAAAAAATAAAATGATAACTTCTTATGGAAAAAATAAACTAAAAATAATTGGAAATTGTAGAATGGAGATCATTACTATATAACTGCATCTTCTGACCGATTAAACTCGGCCAAGTTTTAGAAAAAAATTCCTTCGACTGCTGAAATCGTTGTAATATCATGAATTCAGTAGTTCAGAAGTGCTGCATGTACGCTTTTTGAGAGCAAAAAAATAAACTAATTGTAAAATGAGTAGTTTTTCAACCGCGAGTATCTTTGGTATTGCTATCAACACAAGGTGCTGCGTTTAAATATGTTTCGAAAGGAAAGGCGGTGGAGATACATACATTCAAATTACTTTAGTTCTATTTGCGTATCATGTTGAACAAAATGTTGCTCAATATATTTACACAACAAAAACCAAATGGATCAGTACACTTAAAATCGCTCCAGCGTCTAAGAAAATGGTATTTAGGTTGTCTTGTCTTCATCCTCCTTATCACAAGAAAAGGAAATTGCCTTATGCAACTTATTGAAGAGATTTCTTACAATTACATCTTCAGTGCAAGTCTTTTTTATCACGTTTTCGCGACAGTCATAAAGCTCGTTCATATCACTGGAAATATATTTATTGCAGTTTTCAATTTCCACGTCTATTAACTAAACTCAAATACTTACGCGCATAACTTTTCCTTTTTAAAAATAACGTGTTCATTATCTGTAAGCGATTTCCATAGAGGACTGTTGGCGCAAGCTTCAAAAAAGTTGTGTTTGGAAAGCTCCTCAAAGCATGTGGCAGAACTCGTACTAGCTAACACTAAAAATACAGAAATACCTAAGTGAACAATACTTGTAAATAATCAACTTTACACTCTATAAAGTTATCTCCACAGACCAGGTCCAAAAATTTGTCAAACGCATCATATATAAATTTGGGTAGATATTTCTCTTCCGGTTCTAAACAATGTTGTAAGTTTTCAACCACAATTTTAAAACATTCCCGTACATTTGTATTGACGTAAGCACAAAGTTCTTCCGAGGAATCGCTATTATTTTCTGGTTTATATTGTTTTTCCATACACTCCATTGTGGTCATGTAGGTTTTCTACAATTTGAGTGAGCGTTAATTTAATGTGATCGATCTCCAGGTTGTAGAATTACTAACATAGAATTCCTTATATGCATCTTTAACACCAGCTTTTTTACATTTCTTTCCAAGCAAATCGTCTAAAACATCATTCATGCCAACGCTGTGTGATGGTTCATCGTCTTTTACAACGTTGCACGAAACTCGACCTGTAAATAATAGGCAGAGGTACATTTCAATGATTATAATTACAGGTAATATTGCAAACTTACACAAGGTGAGTAAAACTGCTAAGTAGATCAATTGCATCTTCAGTGCTGTTACCTCGGTGTATTTTCAGAGCAAATGGCTTTTATGTACTTTTCATATGCTCTTACATAATCGTTATTTATCATTTGGTGGGATGCATTTACGCATTTTGAAAAAAAATAGTTGTGATAATAATTGTAAATTACGTTGTTTGTTATCGTGTTTGTCTATAATTACAATATATATCATTGCCCTATATCTGAATTTTATATTGGGGTTGTTTTTTTTAAGTTTGATGATATTGATGTAAAATTAGATATGGAACAATGGACAAAAATGGTTTTGCACTTTTTTGCATGTTTACTGGTAATTGTATAGACTCTTAAAAAAACAAACACTTTCCATACATATTTGAAACCCATTGACTTTTAGTTTAAATGTCGATATCGAATATTTCTGATTTTTTAAAAAGTACTTTTTTGCCTTCTTGCTATGGACTAAGGTTGAAAATCTTATCGTTAGCGGGTTATCTACATCCAATGCTAGCAAATTTATAGGGATCAAGATCAAAATAAAATTATATTACTTAGTTTTATTTGTCATTCATTACAAAAAAGGGCATCATTTGATATAAGGACTTGGTTAATAGTTCTGATAATCATTAGGTGCAGATCATCTCTAATAAATTTCCTCCTTACAAGTCATGGAAATTGCTTTATGAACTTCATTTAAAATGTTAATGACGGTTTCATTTTCAGGACAGGTCTTTTTTAATACGTGTTTCCGACAGTCATGAAGCTCGTCCAGGTCACTGAAAATATATTGCTTCGTTCCCTATAACTAATGACTTTCTAAGTGTGAGTCAGTTGGCAGGGTAAATCGGTTGAAATTGCGCGGTTCACCATAACAACTGTCTCAAATTCAAAAATACTTACGCGCACAACTTTTCTTTTTCGAAAATAATATCTTTATTATTCGCACCCGGTTGACGGTTGTCAGAACAAACGTCGAAAAAGTTGTGACTGGGAATTTTCTCCATACACTCGGTAGCACTCGGACTGGTTACCACTGAAAACACAGAAATGGATCACGAATTTGGTAACTGAACCACTTTACATTGTGTAAAGTTATCTGCACTGCAGGCCAAGTCTAAGAAGTTGTCCAATGAATTAGAAAAAATTTTGGAAAATATCTCTCTTCCTCTTGTAAGCAACGTTGTGCAACATCGCCCACTGCCTTAAGACATCCCCTTACTGTATCTTGATTTAGAACATCACATGCTTCTGCTGATTTATCTCGTGCTTCTAGACAAACCACTGTGGCTATAAACGTCTTCTACAAAATGAGTTACTGTTTAATTATTAAAGGTATTTCCAGATTGAGGACTGATTACGTAAAAACCTGTATAATGATCTACAACAGTCGCTTTTTTACATTTACTTTCAATCAAATCGTCTTTTTGGAACGGTTCATCGCGCTTTACCAGGTTAGACGAAGCTCCACCTAGGCAATAAGTTTCAAAGAGTATAAAGTTAGGTACCTATATCACATGGAAGTACTATAAACTTACGCAAAGTCAGCAAAACTGCTACATAGACCAACTGCATCTTCTTTGCGAGTAAAATCATAGCAGTTGCCAGAGAAAGTGCCTTTTATAGCCTCCTCAAGTTGCACACTCGTGATTTGATTAAATAATAGGTCAGTTAGGGTCTTTACGTTTTTTGAAAAAATAAAATGATAAGTTTGTATGGAAAAAATGAACTGATAATTTATTGTAAATTGTGGAGTGGAGATCATTATGATTGCTACATAAACTATAACGGCGTCTTCTGACCGATTAAACTCGGCTCAGTTTTAGAGAAAATGCCTTTGATTGCTGAAATCGTTGTATTATCATATCATGAATTCATTCAGTAGTAGGTCAACTGAAGTGCTGAATTTACGTTTTTTGAGAAAAAATAACGTAATTGTAAAATGGGTGGCCCAACAACACACCGACGTACATTGTATGTACATATATGGAACTTATGCACCAACATGGTACGTATAAGTACAATTATACACACAATTTGTACAATGGACGTCCACTGTAGGCCTAAATGTTAACGATATGGACTGTTTATGTATGTACATCATATGGACCTTCGTTACCAGTGGTTTTATTGCACTAGATTAAAAAATAAAACGCCTACTTTGAAAGCGACATCTATTCAAAAACTGCTAAAACAAACTGTATAAAGTAAGTAGATAACAAAAAATTCACTTCCTTTCCTATGCTCTTTTGAGCTATTTAAAAATTTCTTTTTTGGAAACTGCCTTGGGAAATGTTTGCATTCCAGCTTCTAAAAACAAAATGGTATTAATGAGATCTAGTGTACGATATATATATTTACATACGTAGGTCATACTGGGTCAAAACAGCTATGTCATTTACGATTTGTATGAATGGACAATCTAGCCCCTGGTCATGTTGGGGAGTCGTGTAGTTCGAAAATCAATGTTTATAATTATAACAACAAATTTATTAAACGGTTATTATAACATAACACATCATACTGATACTATAAGAAAGTTGTTCTTACATCTGATTGATTGTGATTTCATAACAAAAAAGGGCACTAAAAATGAACACAGAAATTAAATATGTACAATGAAAAAAATGTATGCATTTGATGAATCAGCAGGGTAAAAATCTATTTGCAAACGGAAGCAATAACATATTTCCATTTTTTTAAATTACAAGTTTTATACTTATCTGACTTACTCAATACATTATTACGTAAAAATGCAACACTAATAAAACTATATTCATGTCACCAGGTGTAAAATTAATTACTTAACAAATATCTCAATATTAAGAGAAATGCAGGATATTGTCCAGCTCCACGTTTCCCATAAACAGCAGTGAGTGTGCCAAATGTGTTTCATTCATCTGCCGGCAGCAGGGATGTCAGATCAAGTGGTGAACTGTTGATTTGATTTTGTGAAATTGGCGAACCTAAAATATCTTCAGGATTAACTAATTCAGTGCCATCTCTCGAGTCCTGGAATAATTCATTAAGATCAATGCCAGGTTCATAAGGTGCCAGCTCTGAGCCTGAACCCGTAAGTACGTCTGCAAAAGATACATTGAGCTACAGGCCTACAAAGTGTTTCGTTAACCTAAATCGCTGTGATCTTCATCCCTGTTAGTGGTTAATCCATATGACGGCATTTCATTAAACAACTGCCAATATAAAAGATTAGTTTAGACCAAAAGTATATAAAAGAGACAAATAATAGAATAGTGAGACGGCCTTATGGAGAGTATTTTTTTACCAACACTGTACATGGTACATGAAGTTTCTCTCACTATTCTATTATACTTTACACTATGACAAAATCAGGTTAAATTTGTGACTCACATTTAATAAATATTTCGAGTCAATGCCATTATAGCCACTTAAAAACTCCTTAAACTGGTCCAGCTCGGTTTGTGTAGTCTCTTGGTGATTATGGAGGTCGTCTCTAAAAATTATTGAATGCAATAATTCCATAAGTGCTACATATGTGTGCTTACATTGAATTTATTTGAGGTACTGCTAAATTAGGATAGCACTTGGCTAACGTCAAATTTTTGTCAGTGCCACTAGTCGAAGCGGTTGGTTCTTGCTTCGAAAGATTCTGATTGACGACCTCATTTACAACATCCGAATTATACGAGCCATCCATGATATTTGTGAAAAACGGATCGTTGTTTGGGTGATCCATCAATACATCCTCATACAAATTTGGATCATTCAAGGGTTCTTCAGTAGAAAAATTTAGAGTGTCCTCCAAACTGTTCGGTATAACAATATCTTCCTGGACAGTGTCGCCTAGAAGATCTTCTAAATTTTCCGGTTTACAACTATCCTGAAGATAAAAATGTTGCTAATTGTGTATTTAGGCTCTAATTAATATTCACCAAGTCTGAAGTGGTAACCAATACATTTTCGTGATCCAGGCTACTCTCAACTTCGTTTACTTGTGTGGTGGATTGATTTGGTTGACCACTACTAACTGGGCTATCAACCTACATTTTGTTAACAGAAAATTGCTTATTTTAATTTGTAACGCCTTAAGGTGCTAAAGAAATTTCAGATAATTCCAAAGTAATCTCGATATAGCTTGTGATGTCTTTAATGCTAATACTAAACATGTTGTACAGGGTGTTCCACAACGAAAATCGGCTATCTATATCTCAAAAAGGAGACAATGAAATATTTTGAACAGTATACTAATCTAGTCTAAAAGGAATTCATCTACACTTTTTTCTAGATGCCCGTTGATACCAACTTGCTTATCTTAAATGGAACATCCTATATATTATTTTATTTTTAGATTCTATTATGTCCACTAAAGTGGAATCTCTAAAAGAAAACCAGCAGAGCTACAAAGTTCATTTTAAACATAAACAACAAAATAAGTCAAAAACGGCTTACAGGAATATTACATAGGATCTAAACATGAAACGATACAGTGTGTTCCATTTAAAATATGCGTTGGTAACAGTAAGTGCCACCAACTTAAAAAATTTTAAATTAGTATATTATGTACTGTGAAATTTGAACAATATCCTGAGGTCTTCTTTTCGAGATATAGATAGCCTACATTTCTCATGAAACACCCTATACCTATATGTATTTCCATGAGTGATTTCTGTGCAGCACTGCATTTTTCCGAATCCAACTTACTTGAGCAATTTCGCCCTCCGAATCATGCAATAAATCCTCTGCGGAAAGATCTGCACTATCTAATTCGTGTATTGTGGGCCCCTCAGAATTGCTCTTCTGTTTTTTCTCCGGATTTTCATTTAGCATAAGTGGATAACGACGTTTAACACCCAAACCACTGCGGCGAGTGGAAGGCTGTACAACTGTCAGTAGAAATTGTATGAGCTGAAAAAGAAACAGTCAGTTAGTAAATAAAGGCTGCAAGCCGGCTGACCTTGTTAACAATTTGAATTTGTTTTTGATGCTTCTGCCTAAGTACAGCGAGTTCACGCCACAAAACCGAATTTTCTCGTTTTAAATTATTAATAACCACGTCCACTTGTGCTTGACGGTTGTGTAGGTATTTGACATCAGCCATAAGTTTACTTAGTTGATCTTGGTTAGCAACTTCAGGTACATTTTTCTCAGAATTGTGTCTTGATGTTGTGACCTACACAAAATAATAACAGTGGTAAGAGTCGTTGTCACAACAATCATCGTGTATAGGTAGGTACGTTCAGAAAAAAGTGAGTGTTCAATTTTTGAACGTACCAACCGTCATTATCCTAAAAATCTACAAGAAGAACAGTTACCAAGTCAACAAACAAATAGTTTACCTTTCGTTTAATATTTCCCAGTAATCCAGGTTCATCTCTTTGAAAATAGGGATGCACAAACTCAACTTCCACTTTGTCATTAGTAATGCTACTATTTAGAAGTGAAATCTTGTGAAACCCATCTGAAATTCCACAATTTCAGTGCAACATACCACACAATTTGGTGTTAACTTACACATGTTTAGCTGCCGAATGAAACTGCTCATATTATTGTGCTTATAATACAAAGGCAACAACGTACACCAGAACTGAACTTCATTTTGAATTATAAACGTCTTTCCATCCTGCAAGAAGACTTTGAAAGTTGTGCTGCATAATTATAAACTTTGCAACCTTTCCCCAACAGATCAAATGGTCTGTCTTGGGATCATTAACCATTTTCCAAAGTTTCACCAAAAATGCGGGCACAGTTTTATAATTATTATCAGTTTTCATTCTTATTGTATATTTCAGCTAGTTGTTACGCTAATAAACACTCAACATTTAAATAATTACTTTTTTGTCATACTTTCTTTGACTTTGACAGTACCATAACCTAAAAGTGGAAGTGGAACATTAACTTAACTGGAAGTGGATAACACAAGGGTAAAGTAAAGATATAAGAACCGCCTGATGATAGGCAACTAATCAAACTAGTATTATTTCATTCTCTGACCTTGTTAGTATGTTTATATATTGCTGGTTTAGATAATCGCAGTTGCCTAATACCGTTGAGTGAAAAATTAAGTCGTTATTCAATGCTAATACCTATAGCAAAATAGAGATTTATTAAAATTATTTATTTTTTATAAACCCTTCTAGGTAGAGGCATTGAATTGTAGAGGACTCTGGGACTACGATGGTAGGGATGATCAGATATATGCCCCAAAATGTATAGATACGCTTTACATCTCCCGAACATGTCAAAAAATTGTTATCATGAATTTTCAAATTCATAGGTCATGAAATTGTGGCACAGGGAAAAGTGGATTCCCTTCTCCTTCGAGATCTATAAATGGTACCTTTTATCGATCTAAATGGAGAAGGGAAACTAGGAAACACGTCAAATTGTCAGCGTTTCACTAAATTATTAGGCCCCCGACTAGGCTTTTAAAAATTAATATATAACCGTTTAACCGGTGAGAGAGTATACTTTTAATTGAGGTTGTAAGATTTATATTGAATCTCTTGGACATAATATTAATCAAAGAAATAAAAATATTTGCCCCGGCGCAGTAGTTACTTTTTCATTTGCGTTTTTAGAGTTGACAGTTCCTAACATTGGGGGGGGGGGGGCTGATTGCATTAATAAACACGGAACTTTTACAGAAAATGAGACACGTATTTGTATTTTATTACAAATGACAACAACAAAACTATATAACAACCACGATACCTATACGTTACAAAACCAAATATGAACGCGTTTTTAATTACCAACAACCGTGAATCTCTTTAATAATAATATTTATTCGTCGGATTTCACAAGAGTGTTTCGACACGTCGAAATATACACAATATATATAAATAAAATAATAATAAATGCAGACACTAAAACATAAAAAATAAATTATGTAAAAAACAGCAAGCAAATTTTTAAAAACAAACAAATAGGTAAAAAAAAAACAAAAAAAACGGAAGCTAAAACCAGAACACGTCCGCCCTGATGGCTTTAAGATAATCAGCCAAAGAAACAAAAATGCCTGATAGGTACATCGCAGAAGTTACGCTATTCCAAACTACAAGACTGTAGTGGATATGGACAAATCTTCTTATAAATGGAATTAGTATAGGTACAGTCTGTTTGATTGTAATTTTCACACCGGGTATCTTGGTTACTGTTAGAGATATGACAAAATGCTATAGAAGAAAAGTACATTTTCTATTACTTGTTTTAGTCAAAAAACAATTGAAAATTAAATGTAGGTAGGCGATGAAAACAATTGCTATAGCTTTATTGTAAAATTCACTGAGTAAATTTATACGTAGGTACCTATTGTTATTTTCAAATGAGTGATTCAATACAAGCAGTGGCTGATTTAAGAATAACGCAGTATAAAACATTTTCTATATTAAAAAAAGCATATAAAATGATTCTGTATAAAATAATAAATTATGATATAAATAAAAAAAAAGTACAAGGTTTAAGAGCTCTTGATATTGACAAAACCGTGGTGTTTTGTAACGGGCTTAGCAAGAATCGGCATTTCTTAAATTCAATTGTTTGTAGCGATGAATTTAATTCTAATAAATAACCGAATTTCCAATAGAAAAATGATCATCGTATGGGATACAAAAAATCCACGTAAATTTCGAGAATGCAGGTTTCAACGCAGATTTTGCATTAACGCGTGGCTATAGTAGGTAGGTGCCGATTTTTTGTGACAGAATTCGAAATGTGGTGTGGATGATATACCCATAGAAATAAGACTCAATATGGGATTTCAACAGGATGGGGCACCATGTCCACCGCAGTTCAGACGGATTTAGGGGCATTTTACATGAAGCACAATGTACCTATAGGAAGCATTGGTCAACAAGATCGACTGGTGAGAATGCTCCATTGTATTATCAAGTAAAGTTCTGGTTGAAACAATTTCGTTGAAATCCGTACAAGATGATCCAAACTCTGGTAGGGCTCTTTATGTAAGAAATGAAAAGATGACCCAAAAGAAGCATCGCAGTGATTAGCGCCACTTTAACTCGGTAGTAATCACCGGAGCATGATTTCTATTGGGATGGAAGGGAATTAAGAAGCTCGTTTGTATATTTTATTTATCTAGATGAATTTTATTGAAACAAAATTAAACCACAATTACATTTAAAAAGAGCTACCTATAACTTTCGTTTATTATTCTTAGGTAATTGAATAGTAGTTTTCTTTTAATTACAAATTTCTATCATTTCGATTTTCTTTTAATATTCAAAAAAATTATTTATGGCATAAATTTAATTTATCATACAAAAAGGCACTCCAATAAAATTAAGAGAATATTCTTAATTGTGTTACATTAATATAAATACGTGAACTAATTTGTTGTAATAAACACAGCACTACCTTATTTATCAATACAAAACATTAAAAAGTTGCATATAAAACATCCAAATATGAATGTATATATAGAAATATGTTCATATATCTAATACCTATGCAGAATTAATAGAATCTTTTAAACTCAACAGTGGTCAATATTGTATAAGAAAATGTACTTAAGCTGAAAACAACTAAATTACATTTATAGATATGTGTAGAATATGTATAACATCCGATAAATGACCATCATACAAAGACAATGTATATTAAAATTAATTTTAAGGTAGGTAAGTAATCAATTTCTTATTGTCAGCATGAACAGCCTCAGATTAGCTTAGTTAAATACCTATAATTACAAAGATTTTTTTATTGTCAAATTTGTGCACATCTTCACATAATATTATTATTGTCAAATTTACATTATAGTTAGGTGTATTGACCTCGATTACTTTAAAGTATTTCGATAAAACATTTACAAAATTACAATAACATGGTACGCTTCGTTGTGCGCACTTTACCAACATCAAAATTGTTTGTAATTAGACACTTCGGGAAGTATAATTTATTGTCACGTAATAGTCTGTAGTCCCGTAGTTATTAAGAAGTGCGTTACATTGTTAAAAAATATGACTTGGACTATTTGTACTAATGGTAACCGCCGCCAAAATGCAACTTATTGTTCCGACCACACTGAAGATTGATGTTTGTGCGCCGCTTGTATCGTCACCATTCTGCTGAGAATTGTATCCCGGGTTGACAACTTGAATTTTCCAACCAAGATTTGTATGTGTGTAGCACTGTAGATGCTCAAAATAAATCGCCCTGTACCTTTCTTTGGTTACTTACCTGATAGTATAGAAGATCTGGAGCGTCTAACGGCACAGTCCAATTTAAAATAGCAGGGGAACCTGGTTCACATTCAAGTCGAAGTGTCTCCACGAACTCTTGGAAGGTTTCTTTTTCTGACGATTTGTCAATACTTTTGTGGGTCCATTCGCAGTATCTACCCGCGGCCGTGGGATAAGGATATCCGTCGCGGTTGTACGCGACACCAGCGTACACCTTCTGCCTTTTCTGTTCTTTTTCGCTTTTCTGACCAAACCCGCCCTCGACAGAGTCCGTAATATAGAATGGGTGGTACCTCGCTGGATTTGTACTGTCATCTCCTCCTTCAACCATAAATGTATACGTTTGGCCTCTTTCGACCGTTATTTCGGGTATGAGGAGATCGTTAATGTACCACGCTATACCCCAAGAGGGATGACCAGTAATTGGGGTGTATCCTCTTTTACCACCGGTTGGACCGATTTTGGCGCTAAATACTGTTTCTCCTGAAACCAAGGAGGTTAATCACAAACAATAACGACGCATTTAATTACCCGTTATCCGACTAGGAGGCCATGGTTGCGGACCGTCCAGCAACGTTAAGTCGTACAAGCTACCAGAACAGTCATGATCGTCAAAGCTACTGAAATCGATGCGGAAATCTTCGGTGGTTTTATCAGTGATGGAATGCGCATTGGCTTCCCTTCGCGAATTTAGCGGTCCAAAAGCGGCAATAACGCTCACCTCCCCTTGGGATGGTATTGATCTGTCGTTAACAGCTTCGTTGGTTTGCAAAGGACGCGTATACACTATTTTGGTAACGCCGTTTTTTCGTTCACCCGAAATGACCGTGACATCGTTTCGTCCACCAATCCTTTCATCAGGACACACACCGGATTTTCCATCGCATTGTGCAGGATGAGACATGTAATAATCGACCGCTTGGAAGGTACGAGAAACCGTGTCGTAAAACGCCACAGTAACATCACCCCCAGCCTAAAACTCGAAGCTATACAACTATGGAAGGGCTCTAATCGCATACCATTTGAGGGCGATTTTGGGCACCGGATAAGCCGAAGGCCACGTACTGGTCTTCTCTCATTTTCGCCGACAGTGTGATTTGCACTTGGTCTCCTTTCATTAGCCACTGCACCTGAAGTCGTTTGTCTAAAAACTCGCGACAGTTCGTCGGTGGCGAAGATCTAGGTGTTGAACTTGTCTTAGGGGGAAAAGAAAAACAACAAATAATAAAGTTAGTTTGTGTTTATTAGAAACACTGGTACATTCCTACATCTCATAATTTGCTTTTAAGGAAGTACTTGTCATTTTTAAAAGCTAGTAGCACGAGTAGTACTTACTGGGTTATACCACCAAGGGGGCTTGCGTAAAAGATAAATGAAGTTTTTTCAGACGTAAGCGATCAGAAGTAATTTCGTTAAGTATACTTACCGAAATTTTAGTCTGTCCTAATGCCGGCGGTACGTCTAAATCTTTGGGTATCAATACGTGGCCAAAGTTATGCCTATACTGAACACACCACACAGCCAACCAATCGATATCGTAAACAGTCAGAGATCCCGGTAATTGTATTTCGATATCTTCACCTTGATATCCACGTAGAGGATCTAGGGAGCCCATTTCGTTGGGCACTTTAATTCCAAAAGGGGTAGGTTCGGTACCGTTGCCGACCCAAAAGTACGCATCCGGTCCAGCACCATCGTAGTGTAAATTCGGTATATAAAACGTTTTCGCATCTAGTATACTAATATTGTCCGATCTCAGTCCATGGGCCAATCTTTTAAATTCGGGTAGCACTCGTGGCTTGGGAACTTCCAAGTTTGGAGGTATGAAGACTTCCCCAAAATCTACCTGTAGGTAAAGGTAAGAAGGTAAGATGTTGTAGTACATTAAACTTTAAGATAAGGATTTGAAAGAAATATTCGCTTTTGCAGTTTTCATTTGTAGTAAATAATACGAGAGCGAGTCGTTCGAACACGATTAAAGACGGTTATATATCTCAACGATGTCGTAAAAGCGTTCCGAATCCATTTTCACGTCGAATTTTACGAAGTAAACATGATTAATTTACTTTGGGAAACATAGCTGTGGTCATTTTCGATTACTAAGTATACGTAACGAAATTTCTGAAGTTCAAGTCCGACGAGTCCAAATGAAATTATACCGCGACTCCTGGAAGCGCAGGTCGTCAATATGACACTGTGTGATTCTAAAACTAGGCACCACCTCTGGACAAACCTACGGTGGTCGAAAGCAAACCGAAGTTCAATTGATATAAGGGTTGAATGCATTCCACAGATAAATGAATTTTAAAATTATCACAAAGGCCGAAAGGACGAAATGCGAGCGCAATCCAAGGGATTTTTGCTTTGTCCAAATTCTACCGCAAATGACATCAACGTACTCTTTAGCGCTAATCAAACTGGACAGTTATACCTACTGGAACTATTTACAGACATATTTTCGACATACAACTTTGTGCAGCATTTATCTTTCTGGAAAAATCTGGTAATCCACATTGTCTGTATATCCGATATCTTCATGAAAATAAAATAAAGATTTCGGTCGGTCTTCAATTTATTAGATAACAAGTGTTTCTAGTTCCACTCTGTACTTTTAAAAAAGTAATATTCAAAAGTAGTAATAAAATTAACTTTAAACTAATCAGGCTCTTAAGAGGCCAGAGGAAAATGTCTATCAGATAGATGTAACTCACAATGAAAAACCGGCCCTTACAGTCATTTTCCAGCACCTCCGTGATGATTGCAACCGTTTCTCCGAACATAGAAACATGTAGATTACCTTTAGAAACTAATATTTAAACTAATTATACGTTTTTTAAACAAATAAACGCAGGGAAACCTATAGAAAATGTTCGGCCAAGCAAATAAAAATTCCGTGCTACATTAGTATGTTGCTCCAAAGTCTGGTGCCATTATCAATGCACCTATATTGATAATATTGTTGGAATTGTAAAAGTACGACATAAATTAAGTGAAAACTTTTCGCCTATCGTTGCTGTACGAAAATTAAACAGCAACACTTTTTTGGCTCGAAGAAGATGTTTCCTCTTTAAACTGCTATAATTCCTTGCTGCTTCAGTCAATAAACTTTAATGTACCCGAGAAACATCTCGAACAGACATACTCACCTTTTCTGTATTAAACGCTCCAAAACTAATTACCTCAAAAACCTACCCATTGAGAGATTTATGTGCTTAGCTAATACTGATCCCTGTATTAATCTATTCTGTTTCTCTAAATTCAATCAAACGAAACTTAAAATTTTATCTCACATTATATGGATTTATATTAGAACAGTTACCCATCGCACTTTTGGAATAGTATAGTTTGTTCATTAAGAATATATTACAGATAAATGGTAATGTATTACTATTAGAATATTGTAGCGAATATTCCAGAAATCCCTATAAACATCGAGGTGTCGTGAAAGATTAGTAATCGGCGATAAACAACAAAGGCGGACGTGATGCATTCTTTCTGGGAAATATGACGTGTTTTGTTCTAGAATTGGAGAAAACTCGCGAACACTCGACTTCGCTGTAAATAAATAATCTACGAAATTAAATATTCAATATTCATTTAATATATATTGTATACATTTTTTTATGCGTAATGCACACTTTAATTTTGTTATTATTATAGGTAATTAATTATTGTTACATTTAGGCTGTTCTTTTTTGGGGGTTCCTTGTAAATAAATTTATTATTCCAGGCTACACGGAAATGCACCTCCAAAGTGTTTATAAATTGAATACGACAAAATGTTTACATAAACTGAATACGCGGCAAAACACTTTTTGAGTTTCCCAGAAAAAAATAGTACTATACATATCCAATTAACTAATGCGAAAATGGTAACTTGCATCCCCTTGCTCCCGTCACACAAAAATCCACCCATAACATGTTTATAAATCTAATACGGCAACATGCGAGGAATTATCACTTTCGAAACTTTACAGAGAGCTGCATCAAATGCAAAAAAATACTATTTATATTCAATGACCAGTTCTAATTCGTTAATTAGGTTTCGCGTTTAGCCGTATTCGATTTATACACTATGAAGTGGATTTCTATGTGACGAAAAGGGTTGCAAAGAAATCCTTTTCTACTTTGTTACTTTGCTTTAAATAGTATATTAAGTATGGAGAACGGTAAGGGATTTTTACCGTTCGAAGACAATTGTTTGGAGGAGGAGCGGAGCGACGACTCCAATTATTGTCTGAGAACGGTAACCCTTAACGTTCGACGTGCTTATAACATTTTTTGCGCGATCGAAATTAAAATTATCCAACCAATATAACTATGCACTAAGAAATTAACGAGCAGAATAAATTGAAATGATCGAAGTGATATGGTGTACATCACTAGGCAACCAGTTTAAATGTCAAAATTGAAATTAATAATTTCATAAAAATGTGCATGTCTTTGATGTAGTTTACTAGCTTTGCACTTCCTTTATGACTTTATGAGCATCTTGCTATAGGAAACAACAGCACAAATTGTACGTTTAATGTACCTAACAATAATTAAAGATTAAATGTAGGTAATGTAAGACTGTTGATTTTTAAAAAGGCGTCGGTAAGTATTTTTGCTGTTCTGTTTTTAGATCGGTAAGTAATTTTGGCGTCGTCGTAATCATAGCAACTGGTAAATTCTACGTACTGTCATGGAAACACCCATGGTAAATAGTCACAAATGACCGATCGCGCAAAAAAGTACTTTTTTTTCTGAAATTCAGAAAGTGATAAGCGACTACTCGCATTTTGCGGTAGTCGATATATATACATTTTGGGGGCGGATTTCCAGGTGGACCGATAATGGTAAAGAAATTTAATTTACTGTGGTCAAATTGGGTGGCTGGTAAAGAGCAGTTTTTCTTGAATTTCGATTATAAGATGACTTTCTAGGTTTCCCTACGTTCATTTACTTAAAGATCGCTTAGGTAATTAGGATTCTGAAAGCGAACGCATTCTATATTTTTTTAGTATTTATATGGTATTCGAAGAAACAGTGCTATCTTTGGTTACTGTCTTCACGGAGGTCCTAGTTCTCGACCGTTGCGTATGGAATTCGAATGTTCACCAAAACTTTTACGTATCTAGAGGGGTAGCTAAAGAAAGCTTTGCTAGCGCCACTGCAGTACGCGAACAAGGCTCTCATAAAGTGTCCGATTTCCATTCTATTCCTTTTAAGGTTGTGGGAATTTAAATACCTACCTACATACAAAGATACTTTTTTTTTTTTTTTTTTATTTATAATTAAAGAGCTTCGACTGCAAAATAGGCCATTAGCTCTTGTACGGTTAGATTTTTTCAAATAAAGATATGTTTTTGAGGAATGACATTGTATTTGAGCGTCCCTCACCAAGGGCGTCCTTTAAGTTATCTTGTATGCTATACAATTTCCTTTGATTAGTGTATTCTGTACATTCTAATATTATATGTTTGACAGTGATAATTTTTTTACAACGTTCGCAATAAGGAGGGTCGTCCTTAGTGATAAGATGCAAATGAGTTAATCTCGTATGGCCTATTCGCAGTCGGGTCCAGACTACAGATTCTCTTCGGTTTTGGAGGTAGGTTGTCTTCGATTGCCGCGAGACTTCTGGCTTAATTTCTTTTAGTTTGTTGGCAGTTGCGGACCATTCTTCTTGCCAAGCGGCTTGGAGGACGTGTTTGTAGTGGCTCTTTAAATCACTAAGGGTAGTGTCGTTGATTTCCGCTGCTTCCGGAGAGGCGGATGCTGTTATTGCTGCCCGATCTGCCTTTTCATTCCCTTTGATTCCTACATGGGATGGAATCCAGCAAAACCTTACATTTTTCTTAATCGAAACTGTGTGTGCATACTGAGCCAGTATTTTGTCGCTTATTTCGTTGTTGGGGTCGTATTTTTGAATAGATTGTAAGGCACTTAAAGAGTCACACACAATTAAACAGTTTATAATATTATCTCTTTTAGCTACATAGATAAGAGACTGTAAGATAGCGAAAAGTTCTCCACTATATGCACTACTGATATGCGGTAATTTAAATTGCAGTTTTTCGAATTTGTCTATTACCGCGCAGCCTACACCGTCGCTAGTTTTCGAACCGTCCGTGTAAATTATGTGGTAGGTTCGGAACTATGTTGATATTAGTTCTTTGAAAGTTTTGTAGGAAGGTATTGCTGTAGTCGTGTTTAGGATAAGGAAGCATATCATAATTAACGTTTGGGATTCTCATTGCCCAAGGAGGGATTATTGAAGTATTTTGGTTACATTTTGTTTTCTTGATTTTTTCCTTTAGTTTTTCCAATATTTTGATGCATCTAAAATTTATGTTGTTATTACATGACTTATTTGAGTTTTTGTTATGTTGGATGAGGAAATGACAGTGGTTGGGATTGTTTGGATTTGAGATACTTGTATATGCGTAGTTTAAAGTTAAGTATTGTCTTCTAAAACGTAGCGGTAATTCCGATTATTCGCATAGTACGCTTTCCTTAGGGCTTGTTCTAAAGAAACCATTAGCGATTCGTAAGGCTGTATGTTGGATGGCGTCGATCGGTTTTAATAAATATGCTTTTGCCGCGCCATACACGATGCAACCATAGTCGATTTTGGAGAGGATCGTAGACTTGTAGAGAGAAGTTAAAGTCGAGCTGTCTGCTCCCCAGTTGTGATTAGATAGAACTTTCATGATGTTAAGTCCCTGTTTGCATTCGTTTTTTAAGTTATTGAGATGTTTCGTCCATTTCAATTTTTTATCAAATGTTATTCCTAGATATTTACAGCATTCGGAGTATTTTATTGGATGGGAGTTTAGGTACAGAGGAGGAGGAGGCAAATTTTTCTTTTTTGTCGAAAATAGCATTGCTTTTGTTTTCATGGTGGAGAATTTAAATCCAGTCGCTTTTGTCCACTCTTCGAACTTGCCGATCGTTTCTTGAAGAAATTTTCCGGAAGCGTCACGGTTTTTCCCTCGACAGTATATTATTATATCATCTGCGTATAAGGAGATTTTGACTGGGTCTTGTACCTTGCTTGCGATGTCATTTATCCCTACTAGAAACAGTGTCACGCTTATTATCGATCCTTGCAGGACACCATTTTCTTGTTTAAATTTTTTGGATAGCGTGTTGTTTACCCTGACTTGAAAATATCTATCTTCTAAAAAGGTGCGTATGTATTCCAGTATATTGCCGTCTATTCCGTATGTCTGTAACAATTCGACTATTCTCGTTCTGTACACCATCTCATACGCCTTTTCAATGTCAAAGGTCACTGCAATTGTCTCTTGATTGTTTAAACCCGTTTCTTATTTCTGTTTCTAATCCCACAATGGCGTCAAGGACTGAACGTTTTTTGCGGAAACCACTTTGGTATTTGGTCAATATATTTTTGTGTTCCAATGCCCATACAAGTCGTTTATTTACTATTTTTTCCATTATTTTACCCATGCAGCTGGTTAACGAGATTGGCCTATAGTTTCTAGGATCTGTGTTGTTTTTTCCTGGTTTAGCGAGGGGTATTACGACAGCTTCTCTCCAAGAAAAAGGGAATGTGTATTTGGTCCAAATATAATTATAGATTTTCAGTAGAAATTGTCTCCCGTACTCGTCTGCAGGCTTTGTTCTCAGTCTTTCCACAATGTTGCGCATGGTTGATTTTTATTCAACCACTTGTCTTTAGTAGCGTACTTAGTTAGGAGAGGGCAAATGGTGTGTGTTTTTGAATTGAGTGGACTTAAAGTTTAGAATTGCATATTCTATGGTACTGGATATTCCTAAATTGAATATCGTGCATTTCGGTTCATAAATCACCGAGATGATAAGGTACTGGGAATGTTGAATTGATTAGGGGTATTATATCGCTAAAGCTATGCCAAGTTTGAATTTCATGCAATTCGGCTCATAAGTAAGTAACGGAGATGTCAAAAGGGTTTTCTTTATTTTTTGCCAATTCATGAACTCCGATCCATAAATTTGATAAAGCTACCAAATTTCCTCGTAATCGGTCCAATCCGTTCTCTTTTAAATCCCAAACGGACAGAAACACCATCCATTGACGAACAGAGAAAATGAGATTTTCACTAAAAATTTTTGCAGGTGGATTTTTTATCAAATTTGTAGATAGTTTGTGTATGGGCAATTTAAGTCAAACAATAAAGAAGGCCCTTTTGACATCTCATTTAGTTGTGAACAAAAATTGCATGAAATTCAAAATGAGCATAGCTTTAGACATATAATAAGCAACGCCAAGGTATAGCCATACCCAGGCAGTGGTACAAAATTTTATTATTTACGGTATAAACGAGTATAATTTTGGAAATTTATGGATGTGGGATTGTGCCGTTAAATTGCAACCCCAATGGAGAATTAGCCTACCGTATAGTACAAATCTCCGTACCAGAGGTATAAATAAGTGCCAAACATACAAATCAACGTATAGTAACGTATATTGTAAGTATATCAAAGTACCACAATGTTAGAACATTTCTGAAATTATACGAAAATTCACTAAATATATACGGAATAAGCCCCTTCTTATAAGTAGCACAATATTATTCACTATCAATAAGAGCTTATACAACTCATGACAGAAACAAATCGTAAATAACTTTTCTCTTTAAACGAATATATTGATCGGCAATTTGATCTCAAACTTTCACTACCGGACTTATTATTCAGTCCTTTTCATTTACTTCTCGCTTTGAATTTTACAGCCGTTTTCATTTTCACCTTATTTACAAGAAAAATACATTATTTGTAATTAGACCTCCCTTTTTTTCTTTACCGATAAAATATTCTGTACATATAAAATGGAAGTTGGAAAGTTTCACAAAGGGGAGAGAAAACTGCACAAAGCTTTCGGAGCAGATTTTGCCGTCTTCAATTGTCAATAATATTATTAAGTCCTTTTGATATTACTGGACGAAATAATGATCCCTATTACGTTAATGGCGTTTAAACATTGTTTTTAAAAGATCGGTTGTTTCATTCGATTCCAGCATAGATTTTTAATTACCTTTTTTTAATTGGCCTGGATTTCATTTGCTTTGTTGTTTCTTATACTATGCTATTGTTGACGTATATAAACCATAAAAGTGTTGGTAAAAACGTTTGACCACACTCGTTTAAATTTCTCTATCTAATCACATATTGACTGAAATAATGACACAACTTTTCATCTCCGAAGAGGCATTCGAGAAATTCTCGATTATGACAAGAATAACATGAAAAGCGTGTTCATTTTTAAGACACTTTCACACCTGATGTAACAAAATGTTTAAGCTGAGAAAATTAAGAGGGAAAAAGGGAAGAACTCATTTGGTAAAGTGGACTGTCAACTGCATTGTGAAATACACTTTTCCAATTAATAAACTAAAAACGTTTTCCTTTTTTAGTATGCACTAATTAAAATCGCGCTCCATTAATTGAGAGTTAAATATTAGGGCTATAAAAACAAAAGATATGAAATAATAAACGTAATATATTCAAAACAATGCAAAAGTAGAGGCGAGGACATAAACAAAGGCGAGGGTACAGATATTGGTGGAGCTCTAATAAGGTGTCAGCTCAGTAACGGCTGTTGGTGATGGTGAAAGTCTTCAAGGGGGTAACAAGTAGAAAGAAATAGGGATGAAAATGGAGGGGAATACTAAGTTGTTCCACTTTGTTACCTTTTCTGAAAAAGCGATGACGCAATGCGGCCCGGGCTCGACTACTCAATAATTGTAACTTAAAAAAAAGACTAGACGGGAACAGTTGCCTTTTTTCTGATCGATCAATATAAAGTGAAAAATTTTGGTTGCGAACACTTTTTTCTCCTTAAACAACTCTTGTTGCTGTATCGCCCTCTGATTCTCTCGTCCTGTTTCCTGATTAATCTCGCCCGCGCCATTGCCCCCGTTGTATGTCCGTCATGCTAAACTGATTCCATTTACAACAACTCGGTAAATCACATCAAGTCGAGTTGCTTTACAAAGTTATTTATTACCGTATTATATAAAAATGTTAATTTTCCCCTTTTATTACGAAGGACACCATTTTTACACGCCTTCTTAAATGTGATTTATAAAGTAATTAACGTTTAGTTTCCAAATCTTCTCCTAAGGTAAGATGGGAGAAAAAAGCACTTACTGTAAACCGCCGACACCAGACGGAAAGCCATCTAATGTCTCTTAATCTTTTTCCCATTGGCAGCCTGAGGATTATGTTCGTGTTATTGTGAGCCCCTAATACCGGAGGCTCTCTGAAACAAAAAAAATGGAGTTATTGTTGTTTTATCCCTAAAACGAGCTTATAGTATTATCGAATTATATACAGAATCAGTCTTTTAAGCGCAAAATAACGAAATTGGAACGCAATCGCTTATTGATTTATTTTTATTTATTTACCTAAAATTCGGAATTTCCATTCGTTTATGTACATAACATTTTTTTATATTTTTAATACAGGAATTCCGGGTCCACAGAGCGTTTCGTCTAACTAGATACTTAATTAGAAGATAAGGGAAACGAAAGAAAACCAATTTTTCACCACGCAATTAATTAGTTAGCACCTTAGTCGGATCATTCAAAATTTCGCAGCACAAGACAAACAAACATTAAAAAGTAGTGAAAAAAATCATTATCAGAATAAGGCAGTGCTCAATCAGCCATCAGCTTCTTTATCTTTAATTTAAATGTTGAGATTGTCATGCTATTGCCCATGAATGATATAGTATATAGGTATCTGTATACAGGGTGGTGCCTAGCGCAACGCAGCATAGGGATTTCAATGGTAATTTCTTTATAGTCAATTACTAGCTCCCCTAATTATTTTAGAGCAAAAGTCTAAATACGTTTTTTTAGAGAAAAAAATACTGCACGTTCTATTTTGATACCTAGAACCCCTGGTAGCGCGTTTTACAGACCTTTTAGGGGCACCCTGTAGACTAGAAACCAATCTTGGAACTATTTGAAATTATGGATTCTACAGGCCACATTCTATAAGAAAATTTTTTTTCCGGATCGATCTGAGACAATTTAGTTTCGGGGATCAAATAAAGGCAGTGTAGAACTTTCCTTTTTTACAAAAAATCGACTACACCAAAATTTCTCGGGAAAACACTTTTTCTTGTTAATTTGGGTGCGTAGAATCCAAATCAATTCATACTTTTTCGATCAGACTTCTTAATCAAAAGTTATAGACTAGAAACCAATTTCGAAAAAAAATTCGGGCTGTAACTTTTGAACTAGTAGGCCAATCTTGGAACTGTTTGAAATTATGGATTCTACAGGCCACATTCTATAAGAAAATTTTTTTCCGGGTCGATCTGAGACAATTTTTTTTCGGGGCTCAAAAAAAGGCAGTGTATAACCTTCCTTTTTTACCAAAAATCGACTACACCAAAATTTCTCGGGAAAACACTTTTTCTTATTAATTTGGGTGCGTAGAACCCAAATCAATTCGTACTTTTTCGATCAGACTTCTCAATCAAAAGTTATAGACTAGAAACCAATTTCGAAAAAAGATTCAAAGGGCTGTAACTTTTGAACTAGTAGCCCAATCTTGGAACTGTTTGAAATTATGGATTCTACAGGCCACATTCTATAAGAAAATTTTTTTTCCGGGTCGATCTGAGACAATTTTTTTCTCGGGGCTCAAAAAAAGGCAGTGTATAACCTTCCTTTTTTACCAAAAATCGACTACACCAAAATTTCTCGGGAAAACACTTTTTCTTGTTAATTTTGGTGCGTAGAATCCAAAACAATTCGTACTTTTTCGATTAGACTTCTCAATCAAAAGTTATAGACTAGAAACCAATTTCGAAACAAAATTCAAAGGGCTGTAACTTTTGAACTAGTAGCCCAATCTTGGAACTGTTTGAAATTATGGATTCTACAGGCCACATTCTATAAGAAAATTTTTTTCCGGGTCGATCTGAGACAATTTTTTTTTCGGGGCTCAAAAAAAGGCAGTGTATAACCTTCCTTTTTTACCAAAAATCGACTACACCAAAATTTCTCGGGAAAACACTTTTTCTTATTAATTTGGGTGCGTAGAATCCAAATCAATTCGTACTTTTTCGATCAGACTTCTTAATCAAAAGTTATACATATATATTACACATTATACCGGGTGATCGAAAAGTAGTGCGGACAGTTTGAATTTCCCGTAAAACTAAACATTTATAAAGTTGGTAACATACCAAATGTCATTATGTAATAGCAGCGGTGGATCAATTTAATCACTAATGCATAAATAAACTACCTTCTAAACATGTTTGCCAATTCCTTAAGTAAAAAAACATTAAAAACTTTAAGCACCCAATTTAAACTGTCTGCAGTTATTTTCGATCACCCGATATTACATGTAAAGGACTAAGACAGGATGCCGACTTAGCTCAACCTTATTTAATCTCTACTTAAAGAGACACGAACAAAAGTATTAAGATAGGGCTAAGGTAGAGGGATAGTAGTAGTAACAAGAAAGATAATATGGTCCTTGGTATACGCAGACGATGCAGTTATCACGGCAACAGAGGCAGAACAGATGAAGGAAATGATAGGAAGAATGGAATGGTATCGGGAAAGAAAAGGAATATATGTAACTAAATGTAGAAAAGTCAATTTGGGAAGGGGATGGAAGGAAAAGGAAGCTAGAATGGAAATGGAGGATAGTTAGGGTAGCAAATGCAAAGAAACAATGGGGCAAATTTGCGGATAAGAGAATTACGGAAAAAGGGAGTGGCTACCAAAATATTTGTGGGAAGGAAGAAGAAATATTAAAACAATAGCAAAATTCAGATGCGTAAATGAAGAGAGAATCAAATAGAAGACATGAAGACAATAAGAAGAAAAAATATGTACACTGGGCTGAGCGGAAGAAGAGGACGTAGAACACATGTTATGGAACTGTGCGGATGTGGAAATGACAGAGAGAAATAGGAGAGCGGTGTTGGATGAGGGGGGAGAAGGTAAGAAATAGATGACGTGGATTTTAAAGAAAAGAAGTTTTATTGTAAAAAGTTTTTCCATGCTGGCGCCAATAGATTGAATTCGTGGTCACTCGCCACCAAGGAAACCTCATTTTCCCCGCACAGGATCACCAATAACTCGGGAAGGAAGTGACTAACCCAAAAATCTTTTGTCGTTCTGTTTTCGGAGCTGTGCTACACCGTATAAGAAAGCAACCACAACGAAGTAGTAGCACAGACGGACAAATGCGGACAATAGCGTTCGTTTACCTTTTGGAAAATGCGCTGAAAATGTTAATAGCTTTTGACAATTTATTTTCTTAGTTAAAAGAGATCCAGAATAATTGTTATTTACAAAAGATTCTTTATAATAATAACAAATACGAGTAATTATGATAAGAGCTGGCTACGTCGAACACTCAAAATGAGATATGATTTTATTGCTAATTAAATAGACTTCCGTAGATGATTTTGTGAAATGAAGTCGAAAAGGTAATAATGTCAAAGTGTATATAGATCCTGGAAGTCTTTCCTTCTTATACTATTATATGTTGTAAATATGTATACCTTAGATCGGGGAAGGTATATATACAAGTTGGAAACCATAGCAACCAATTTAATCGGCTTAGCCCGTTTGCAATGATAGCTGTAAGCTGTTTAATGAGAGAGGAATATTTCATTTGAGTTAAGATAAAAGAGAAAAGAGTCGTTAGTATAACAGAGGTAGCTTATTGTGAAATGCATTTAAAGTGAAGAGCGAATAAGAAAGGGGGAAACGTAGAGAAAGGGTAAATTTTGAGTTTTATATTTTGTAGACCGCGGGATACACCTGATCGTTCAAGTAATCAAAGCGTCTATTATGTATGCCGGTTTTGGCATGAAAAAGGATATCAAAGGGATCTCTATACGATCGCACATAAAACATTAGCATGTCCCAATCAACTTAATGGTAATAGATGTATCCGCTAAATAATTTGATGATTTAAATATGGGGTGGTTTGGTCGAATATGCGAGGGTGGCAATACTAAAGAGAGGGTGGCATTACTAAAAGAAGGGTGGTGGTAACGCCAAGGGGTGTTACACTATATTTAATCAACGCAAAAGGGGAAGATGAATGACTCCGATAGTCTTCATTTACATTTAAATGGACACAATGGTTTACCGGTAATACTAAGCTCTGTTTGGAGACCGATTTCCTCAATTGAGATAATATTATCATGTTAATGATTATAGTTGTATACAATAATCGGTATAAACAAACTTAATGAATATAAATAGAGGTTTACACCATTACCCTTAATCGAATGCTAAACGCGACCGATTCATTAGGCCTTATACGCTCACACCTGAAAACCCGAACTTCAATAAAAACTCATTAATTTTCGCTTTCCCTAACCTTTTTTCTATATTTCATCAGTCACCCTTCGCGCTGTAGTCCTCTGATACTCTCTATCATCAAGTGATCAAGGGATTGTCACGATTTTCCTTCGCCCCTTACTTTATTGCATCAAATGGTTTTGACTGAATTGCCAGATTTCAGATTTAAATTTGATTTCGGAGGGCAGAATGCCTCCAAATATTGTACAGTTTGCTAATCGATACCTATCTCTTTCTCAGTTCATTAAAATTCAAAAATAACAAAACTGTAGGTTTACCGAGCAAAGCTCTATTTCCCAGCGTTAAATCTCCATCCTTATAAACGGCATTAAAAAGCGCGTAACGTCCCATACAATTTATTCACAACAGACTCCTAACTGATGACATGGCAACTTGCAAATATCGAATTTAAGGGACAGAGATGTTCGAATACTGCCCTAAAGGTAAAGCAGGATGAACATAGGCAAGTAGAACCCCCTAATTGTGATGAAGTCAGCTCAACATCTTTATTAACTGCTACGCTGTTATGGGGAAATGATATGTACAGATTTTGTTAGTGTATTACCTGCCAACGTAATCCTCCGGATACGGAATTATTTGCCCTTCCGGGCTGGGTCTGGGCGAGTTTCCAATCCAGAAGAAGGCGTCTGGGCCGGTTCCATCGTACGAAAATCCTTTAATAAAAATTGTGCTTTCGTCTACGGCGTAAACGTCTCCCTTAATACCGTGAGCGAATTCCTGTAATTTTCCTATAAAACGTCCGTAGTACGGCTCAGGATATTTTCCGCAAAAGGCTGCAACAAAGATACGGAATTAATTATAAGAGAATCGGAACATGAAAAGGCTCATACTGCACTCGATTTATAAAATTTCGGTAAACACCCGAACGGTTTTATTCCCTCTTATTTATTCCGTAAATACACAAAATCCATGCAAGCTTCTTTTGTACGATCTGCAATATCACTCTAAAATCCAGTACCGAGTGCTTTAGAGGGAATATATGAATATCTCCCGGATTTCCCCTATATAAAAACGTTAAAAGCCTCTGTGTCTGGTTCTATTTGACCGCCTGTCTACTGGGGTGTCCATTATATTACGAATCTGTAAGGATATACGCATTTGGGGCCACGATATTAAGGAATTAAACGTCTCGATTTTTCTTTTACTTAAACTTAGAAACTCAAACTACTTCGTGGGTCGGAACACTACCCAAACGATTATTTGCGCTCATTAATCGACGATCGCCTTGAACGTGCAAGATTGGACTTTTTCTAGTGCAGAAGAAAAATATAAGGTTTGCGAAGGTTTGGATAATACGAGTTTGCTCGAAATCGAAAATTAGGTTTAAATCACGAACAGTAAATACACTAGCTTTCTTTGCACAACTTCTGTACACTGTAAATTGCAGTAGATGGTCGATACTGTTATTGCGACTTCTTGCTTCGAACTACTTTTTTGAAAAATAAATTGCAACTTGTAAACTACTATTATACTTTGCTATGTGTACATACATATAAACTACCTATAGATCATTGTAGAAAAATGTACCTCCGCCAAATATACTTCACCACATGCGACAATCTGACAATAATATTGGATAATTCTTGAAAATTGAAAATACTCAAAATTATATAGATGTATATAAAGAAAGAAACTGTCCTGTCATATAAAATTTTCATTTTCGTTACGCGTTTTTCGTATATTAAAAGTTGATTTCATTTTAAAGGATAACATCGTCTTTATCTAACTGTCCGTTCAGATCTGCTTCTCTGCGACTGTAATTCCTCTTGAAGGTTATCGGATTTTTGTAACGGGACCTGGCTCTTGAAAATTTTTTGAGAACAAATATCTATAGGGGGTCGTTAAGTCACACAGACGGCTGTTGATGCGACCTGAAAACGTCTGTACCTAGGGAGTGCCCACCCATACGATACGATACGATACTGCTCCTTTCACACTATTTGCACTTATATTTATAGGTACCGCGTATGTTAGCTTTAGCCCAATAAGCGCTTTATCTTACAACCATGAAGTGTATAAATACTTAACTCCGCGCTGTCATAAGCATTTTGTCATTCAACATTCGTTAACGATAGACGTATTCAAATCGCACGTTTTGCTCTTGCATTAACCTAAATGACCCGCTTCATTTATCTCATCCCGAATATACAATTCGTAGTGCAAGATAAATTGTTATTTACTTTATTTATATCTGAAATAAAATTGCATTTCTACACGGCAATTATTACTTTATATTTCTAATTATCTTCTAGCTTTCTTGCGATTAAATAAAACGAAACCAACTTGGGTTATACTTATAAGTAACTGAAACTATTAATTTTCTTTCAATATTACCGTTACCGGTTACCGTTACTATCTATTTTCATGCATTTTCACTAAACTGTAAGGTTTTCTGTTATACTTTCATTCTTCCGATGGTCCATATCTCTTTTATAAATTTTCTCAGCTTCTCCTTGTTACTATCCATATGCCCCAATTCTTATTTCATCCCTACCTGCCGTTTTCCCTTTCTTTCTTTAAAGCCGCTCCATTCTTCTCTTGATATCTCGTTCCCTTCCACCTTTTCCTCTATCATATCCCCTTCTCCTGTTTTGCTTGCAGTGCTTTAATAAAGTGCTGTTTCCAGTCCTCGATTTGTATTTCTCTCCCACTCTCCCACTTTATGTTTTTCCCTTTTTCCTTGTTTACCATCTTCCAAAGATCCTTCTTTTTTTTCTCTGATTTGCTCTTCGTATTCTTTCTGTTTCTGCATCTTTTTTTCTTACATTTTCTTTTATACTGTTTTTCTGTTCTTTCAACTGCTTCTCATCTATCTCTCCCTTTGTTCTGTATCTGTTTCTCTCTTTTGTACACTCTCTGTCCCGCCATCCTTACTTTTATCTTTCCTTTGCCTTCATTTACCTACCTGTTCCCATGTTATTGCCTTTTTAATTGACCGGTTTTATGGTTCAGTGGTAGAGCGTTGGACTATAAATCCTGAGGTCGGGTATTCGAACCTGGGTTGAGGTGAATTTTTCATCGTGGCAGAGATGGGAATTACCTTAAACCAGTTTCTGCCGGGTACTCCGAATTAGGTTTTCCTGCAGTTTTCCTAATTCGTAAGGTAAATAGGTACCGGAGTAGTATAGAATAACTTAAGACCTTTTGCAGAGGCATTATGCGGGTCACTCTGTAATTGGGGGCAAGCCTGTTGAGGACATAGAACAAGAGAGGGATAATAAATTTTAAAAAAATTAAAAAAATACACTCATTTACATTTTCCAATCCTCTGTGTTCTCTCCTTTGCTTTTTTTTTGGTCCTCCATTCTAATTCTAGTCTCTTTCTATAAGTCCCGACAGTGTCTTTTGACCATATCCGTATCTCTCTTCGTCTTTGTATCTTTGCATTTCTTGATCTTTTTATCTTTTCTTTCCCCCGCGACCATATTTTCAATTTTATTTTTTACTCTTTCATTCCATTCACATTTTTTATGGCCATAGGTACACGTTTCCCTATAGACAAAGGTCAACTGGTAATGAATTAGGGGTTGACTAATGAATGTTCACAGTTATTGATACTGCTACTCCTACTACATGCGTACTAGTTTATTACTAGTGGCTTAAAACCAATAAAACCATTACATTTGGTTATGCAATGTCTGTAACGCTAAAAATCGGTGAGAATTTCGGATACCATCTTATAATTGTTTTTTACACTCTTATTACGCCTCCTTCTGCTCTTCCCTTTCTCTACCCCTTCTTCGTATATTGGTTCTTCCATACAGGGTGATTCCTATAGTACCTGCCACCGTTTGGGAGCGTATAGGGGGTGCCTAGGGGAGTATTTTGATATAGGACACTTGGGGTCGGAAATCTAAAATAAGGGCGCCAGAACCAAATTTATCTTCTGGAATTTCACGCCTGTATGTAGGCAACCCAACCGACCGACGTTTCGCGCGGAGCGATGCAGAGCGAGTTAGCGCGAGGAAGCGACATGGGAGGGAAGGAGGGAAAACGACAGTCAAAAGCAATAACGTTTACAAGTGTTCAACGTGGCCACCGTTGTTCTCAATCAGAGACTTATTATAACTAGACTGCGCGTAACGTAGATTTTACTATAAACGCCTGTTGTCAAGATAGGATAGGCAACCAACGGTTCATCGCGGGGCAGACGTACGTTCTGCAGCTTGCTTTAGCCACGTTTATTCTAAATTTTAGTAGCAAAAAAAGATAACATATAGCTGTTAACTGTTTTAATCGAATTTATTGGTATTTTATTTGAACTAAATTGGTATATAACTGCCTTACTCTAGTCCTAATTTGATTTATATGTGTATTTTGGTGGTGAACACGTATGGGAAAATATACTCTAAAGATGTAAGTAGTAAGATATGATTATTTAGCGGATTTTGATTCAATATAAGCCTATCCAAAAACCCAAATGGGCTGTAACTGTTATTTATTTTTCTTAGAATGCTGATAACCATTTTGTTTACAACGCGGTGTGGTGTGGATTGAATGAAAAACCTGAACACATTTTCAGCAATTTGGCAAATTTTTAATGCATCGCTTGATACGTGCAACAATCCTCCACGATTTTTTCTAGTTAAAAGCTTTGAATGACTCTCTGATGCGAATATCGCATCTGCACATATGGAACATTTAACAGACTTAGCTATTTTCCTTGTAACAAAACCTGAAATATACTTAGTACCAGCAAAGATCATACTGATCTTTGGTACCAGTAAGCACTTAGTTACGTCTATACCTAATAGGCAAATAGGTATTGCCGTTGTCTTGGTGGTAAAGGATGTCGAATAATAGTTCTACGTTATTTTAAGTGAATGGGAAAGTCGAAAACGCTCGGTATTGCATTATTGTTTAACACCTTCGTAGGTACCTTTTTAAAATCGGCTTCATTCCCCGCAAATGCACTATGGTGGGAGTAAATTTTTCTCTTCGAATGGATCCATTGGCCCTTTAAACTTTTATCGGTTGAAAATCAGCATATTATTTAAAAATTTATCGACAGAGTACATGTTGATAGGCACAAGTTAACCTAAGTTTATTGGTTTATTCTCAACAGAAATTTATCTGTTCACTAATTCGAGCTAATCACGAGAATGATTAATGAACGGAACATCTAAAATAACAGCTTATTTCATTATATTGCATATCATCTCAGCGATTTTTGCCCCGCGGTGCATTGTGTGTTGCATACTGTGTCGACAACACCTTAGATACGTTAAGCGCAGTCTAGTTATAGGAAGTCTCTGTTCTCAATGCACTTCCTACATCTAGCCAACTATTATTATACTATTGCCATAGTGTTTATTCACTTGATACGCGTCGTTGCAGACGGGATTTCGTGGGTTTAAACAATATTCTGATCAAGTGTCAGCCACACATCGCCGCCTGAGATCGCTCCGTGTGCACCGCCGGCCGGTTGGGTTGCCTACCTACAGGCGCGAAATTCCAGAAGGTAAATTTAGCTCTGGCACCCTTATTTTAGATTTCCGACCCCAACTGTCCTATATCAAAATACTCCCCTACGCACCACCTACACGCTCCCAAACGGTGGCAGGTACTATAGGAATCACCCTGTATATATGCATTCACTCGGTATCATGTTCTTATTTTCTCCCAGTTCTTTTCTTCTATTCATGATTCCACCATCCCCACAACGTTATATCTTCTTACAAACTCCAATAATTTTGCTTGCCACCCCTGGCACATTCCAAAACATCATCTCCATGTTAATAATCTTCATTTCTATTCACGTTTTGCTCCTTTC